GGAGACTGTTGCTGCCCTGGCGGCCTGCCACCAGTACGTGATGCTGCAGTTCGGCGGCATGCTCCACGGCGCATCGGATGTCAGGCGCGCGCAGATTGCTGATGCACAGCGCCAGGCCTTTGAACTGGCTGCCAGCCTGTACCAGCTCAAGCCTGAGCTCGCCAGCCTGCAGACCGCCGGCGCCGACTCGGAGCTGCGCGGTGCCAATCTGGTTGCCTTGGCAGCTATGGCCACGGCGGCAGCATCTCGTCTGCGGCTACAGCAACATCGAGTGGTGGGCGCGAGTCCGGCGTGCGCCAGGTGCAAGTGTACAACTTTTACAAAGATCCGTCGATCAGCGAGGCTGTTCTGCTGACCCCCTGGTGTTGGCCATTGCCAAGCGCACCGAGTTTTTGTTGGAGGAGTGGCCTGACCACGCGGTGCTCCAGCAGATCCGCGACATGGCACTCCGCCTGGTGCAACTGCCCGTCACCACGCCCCTGGCCAAGCTGCTTGCTGGCCTGGAGCTCTTGCACCAACGCGCGCAGGACTGGCAGGCGTACGCCAGCAAGGAAGTTTCGATTGAGGAGCTTGCGGGCGTTGCGCGCCTGATCATCCGCTGGCGCCAGACCGAGCTCAACTCGTGGCCGCACTTGCTGCAGGCGCAGGAACTGGACTTTGCCCGTCGACCCAACGAGTGGTGGTTCAGTCTGTATGCCTCGCTGGTCGCGCCCGAGACCGCCGACTTTGGTCACCTTGTGTCCGCTGTCGATCAGTTCATGCAGGGCAGTCCCGCGGGTGAGTTCCGCGGCCGCCTGAACATGCTCTGTGCCTTTGCCGCGCATCGCTCCTGCCTGCTCATGGCTCAGGCTGTGCAGCAGTGCCGAACGCTGGCCGAGCTGCAGCAGTCCGATGCCGTCTACGGCCCGCTGACCAACGCCATTGACTACTACCTGCAGTTTGCGCCGTGCATTGGCGAGCACTTGGGCCGCACCAACAAGTCGATCAAGAAGGATCTGGCTCAGTACGTCAAGATCTCATCGTGGAAGGACGTCAACCCTGCTGCTCTGCGCGCAAGTGCGCAGAAAACGCATCGCCATCTGACAAAGTGCGTCAAGCAGTGGCGCGAGGCCCTGAGCCAGCCCATTTTCCAGATCATTCAGCTGCACCAGACCGCGATCATCGCCACGGCCAAGGTCCCTGTCGTCCCCATCGTGCATCTGCCCCTGAGCGATGGTGGCTTGGATGTTTCTCCGCCAAGGTCGGTTTCCAGTTTGGTCGTCGGCCAGTTGCTATCCCTCCCGTGGACCACAGCGGCTGACCTCGATATCAGTGCCGAGGCCGCGGCAGCAGTCGCCCAGCTGGCCGCAGTGCCAGCCATGGCGCGCGTGCTTGATGCCAGTCCGTCGACGCTGCAGCAGTTGATCAAGTTGATGGCCCGCTCGACCGTGTTTTCGCAGCTTCACCAGCAGCAGGCTGCCTCGCCGGACTCGCTGGAGGAGTTTGCCCTGCAGATTGTCAGCGACATCAACTACTTCCAGGGCATCGAGACGCCCAAGCACCTGATTAAGCGCCAGGTCAAGGTAGCGCCGCCACCTACCTCCTTCACGCCCGCCGCCGCGCCGTTCAAGAAGCTCATAATCAAGTCCAAGAAGCAGAAGGCGGCCGAGGAGGAGAAGGCCGAGGAATACATTGAGGACGATGAGGAGCGCCAGCGGCGCATAAAGCAATTCTGGGGCGAGCAGCGCAACCTCCGCCGCACGCGCCTCAAGGAGATCCTCAAGAGTCTGCAGGAGATCGGTCTCAAGCGCCAATACCGCCCAGTCGTCACCGAGGATGATGAGGAGATAGTTGCTGGCGGAAAGACCTCGCCTCTGAAGGGCATTTCGGCTGTGCTTCGCCAGGCTCCCCTGGACGTCGCTGGTTGGCACAATGCGGCTGCCGCGGCGGTCATGCTAGGCCCCAGCGCAGTGCATGCCGAGACTCCGCGCGCTCACCGCAACTGGCAGCTGGCCAGCGCGGGCTTCTTCAGACTGTGCTCGCAGCTGGCGCAGTTGCGCTCGGCGACTTTTGAAGAGCACAGCGAGGAGATCAACCCCCAGCAGATTCAGCACATCACTGGCTTGATGGAGAGCTTGAACCACAATGTTGCCAAGGACCGCAAGTGCGCGGCTGAGCTGTTAACCCAGGCTACCAACTGGATGCAGACCGCCATTGGGTGGGGCGCTGTCGAGTACTCATCGACTTTGGACGTTGATGTTGGTGTTGTTGATGGCAGCGGCGAGGGCATTGGTAGCATGGACGTAGATGCGTTGGTGCCTGTCTCGGTGGTTGAACTCAAGCAGGCGGCCGATTCACTTGGCTCAGTACTGGCCCAGTTCCTAGCTAGCGCGCGCTCCATTGTGATGCTGGAGGCTGGGGTGCCAGCTTTGTACTTGTCAGCCAGGCCATTGCAACTGTCGATACTGCCACCAGCCAGTTCAACCAGGCCTCAGCCTCACTGTCAGTGATTAATGCCGGTCTTGTTTCTCTGCAGCTGACTGGCTTGGGCATCAAGGACGCGTCTGCGCAGTTGCTCAACTTGCAGCGCACGCGCGATTCCCAGCGCGCTGTGCACATAGCTGTGCAGGCTGTCCAGAAGGCGCTCGTGTCGGTTTCGCAAATGATATTGACCCTTGGCTGCTGGCTCCCTGGACGGGCCCATCACCACGGCGGCCGACAAGGTCAACGACTTGTTCAAGTCCACGAGCACGGTGGCTGTGGCATCCGGCTCTTCTGATGAGCAGCAGCAGACCTCGGTCGAGCTGGCCGATCTTGCTGGCCAATGGGCGACAGCTGTGATGAACGTATGGCAGTCGATCAACCGCGCCGAGAAACAGTACACGGAGTACAGCAAGGATACCAATATGTGGGGGCTAGCGTCCAAGGAGCTCGTGCACCGCTTGGAGCTCATGCACCAGCTTGTGCGCGCGCTTCACCTGCCCACCATGCTCGACCTCTGCCGCAAGCTGACGCAGTACCAGTCCGGCGTGTCCCCAATGATTGTCGGGTTTGTGCGCTCATGGGTGGTCCGCTACTCGCTGATCGTGCAGCATGTCGTTGCGCTGTACTCTGAGTGGCACAAGACCGTCGTCCAGTTTGCCTTGACCACGGCCACTGTACTGACCAACGTCATTGTGCATGGTCTGGGTACCAACGATATCCACGACTCGGAGGAGACGGACGAGTCCATGCAGAACGGCACAGGTATGGGCGAGGGATCGACCGCCGGCGCAAAGAATGTTTCGGACGAGATCGATAATGAGGACCAGGTCGAGGGCGTTCAGGGCGAGGAGCCCGACGACACAAATGAGCCCGACACCAACGATGATGCCATTGAGATGGAGAACGATTTTGAAGGCAAGATGGGCGACGCCGACCTGGAAACCGATAACGACGATAGCGATGACGACAGCAGCGACGACGAGGAGAACGAGATGGATGAGGAGATGGGCGATGTTGACCCGACCGACCCGACAGCCCTTGACGACAAACTGTGGGACGACGAAGAGGAGGAGGAGCAAAAGGACAAGGCTGAAGACAGCAAGGTCGACAGCAAGGCCAAGAACTCCAAGGAGCAGTCCGACATTGTTGCCGCCGAGGAGGACGCCGACAACGACAAGAACAACGACCCCGACCAGTCCGAAGAGCAGGGCGAAGAAAAGGAGGGTGACGACGGCACCGGCAGTGAGCACTCTGATAGCGACGGCGACGAGGACAGCGATGACGATGGCGATGACCTTGATGACAGCGTTAACAAAGACACGCTGGACCGCATGGCTGACGTAGAGGACCAGGGCGAGCAGCTCGAGCTTCCAGAGGACCTCGATATGGGCTCCGAAGGCGAGGAAGAGGGTCAGGACAGCGACGAGGACGATGGCCTGGACGCCGACATGGACGGCGACTTGCCCGAGGACGAGCCCATTGAGCAGAAGCCTGACGCCATGGACGAGGATAACGCTGAAGAGGCTGAGAACGACGGCAAGGATGACGCTGTTGAGGGCCAGCAAGCTGACGAGCGTGCCGACGACGATGGTCACGATGAAGATGGCGTTGATGACGAGATGTCTGGCGACGACTCTGCAGCGGACCACTCTGGCGACGAGGAGGAGGAGGGCAAGGGTGAAGATGAGGATGAAGAGGAAGAAGGTGGCCGTGCCGATGATGACGCTGCAAAGGACGAGGACGCCGAGGAGAGTGGTGCCGACAAGCCCACTGACGGCATTGACTCGGCGATGAACCTTGATGGCAACGACGACGCCGACCCCAACACAACAGCCGAGTCCCAGGACGCGCTGTCCAAGCCATCTGAGACCTCCCAGAACAACCGCCAGCAGGAGCCCGCGTCCAGCGCCATGCAGCAGGAGTCATACATGCAGCAGAGCGATTCCCAGAACCAGCAGCAGGAGCAGGCCGATGACCAGCAGCAGAAGCGCAATCTGAACCCTGAGCGCACTCTCGCCGATGTTATTGAGAAGTGGGAGCGCCGCCTCAACCTTATTATGCGCGAGGAGGAGGATAAGGATAAGGAGGCGCTGGACCAGCAGGAGTCGGCCACCAAGGACCAACCCAAGCAACAGGATGAGCAGGAGCAGTCTCCGGCGGACACGCCCGAGAGCCAGGACAACCAGGCGGCCCCCGAGAGCACCGAGTTTGAGCACGTTAAGGAGGACGAGGACTTTGACAAGGTCGCCCTGGCGGATGCGGATGAGCACGACAAGGAGCAGCAGCAGCACCAGCCGATGGACATTGACGAGGAAGAGACCGAGGCTGACCAGCCCCAGGACGAAGACTCCGAGATGCAGGACGCTGCTGCCGACGAGGACAAAGACGCTGCGGCAGCCAATTCGGCGGCTAAGCCAGCTATGGTGCATACAACCCCGCAGCAACTGCCTTCCGCACATACTGACGGCGAGAATGCAGCCGAGGCGGCGCAGATGCAACAGTCCACAGCAGCAGAGGATGCTGAGGAGCACGAGTCGATGGACACGGACAATGTGCCTGAGGCAGAGGACGAGGCGCTGGTCGACCTGGATCAGCTTCGCGAAGACCTAGAGCAGCGCACAGCCGAGTGGCGCGCCAACAAGCAGGACAGCGAGCAGGCGATGCAGTTATGGCAGTCCTATACGCGACTGACGCACGACCTGTCCCTGATGCTGACAGAACAGCTGCGGCTGATCCTGACGCCCACCCAGGCGACACAGCTCCGTGGCGACTACCGCACAGGTAAACGCCTCAACATGAAGCGCATCATCCCGTACATTGCGTCTGAGTTCCGCAAAGATAAGATCTGGCTGCGCCGCACAAAGCCCGCCAGGCGCGAGTACCAGGTGATGGTGGCCGTCGACAATTCCAAGTCGATGGCACAGTCCACACAAGCTGTTGAGCTGGCCTACGAGACTTTGGCTCTGGTGACTACCGCGCTGAACCAGTTGGAGGTTGGTCAGCTGTCGGTCGTTTCCTTTGGCGAGCAGGTCAGTCTGCTGCACCCCTTCGACAGCCCCTTTGACAGCGAGGCCGGCGCGCGCGTGCTCAGCCGCTTCAGCTTTGACGACAATAAGACCGACGTTGTGCAGCTGATGGATGCATCCCTGCAGCTCTTCGACGCCGCAGCGCACTCGGGTTCGGGCAACTCGGCTGATCTCTGGCGCCTGCAGCTTGTCATTTCCGACGGCGTGTGCCAGGACCACCCGCGTCTTCTACGCCAGGTGCGCGCTGCTATGGAGATGCGCATCATGACTGTTTTCATTGTGCTCGATCGCTCGGCCATTGCCACATCGGCAGCGGCTGAGACCATGGATCCCGAGAAGGACTCTATCATGAACACGCAGCAAGTGATGTTTGTCAAGGGGCCCAGCGGCAAGATGGAGATGAAGGTCGAGCGGTACCTCGACACGTTCCCGTTCAAGTATTATGTTGTTCTGCGCAATATCCACGGTCTACCGGCTGTTCTCGCCGAGACTCTTCGTCAGTACTTTAGCCTTGTTGGCAGCGACTAAACGCAAGGTTGTTTGTCGTTTGTCTTTGGTTTGTTTTGTATTGCTTTATTTTTCAATTTCAGATTTTCTACAATTTACACCCCGTGTTTAATTTTCAGCTTTCAGCTTTCAGTCCGATTCAAAATTCTTGACGTAAAAGTGTGGTAGTATCCTTCTTTTGGTTCCCCGCTGTGACCTGAGAATGTGATCAACGCCGCTTTGGTAAATTGAAAACGGTATTTATTTGAGTCGCTTAATGTTCGTGTGTTTTTGTATAAAACTACTAAATTTTATCATTTATAAAAAACAATCCCCTCCTTGCTCAATTACACGCTGACACCTTTCAAACCATTTCCTGAAACAAACCCTGAAGTCATCGCGTGTCAGGGAATCGAGTTCAGACTTCCATGCCTTTTTCACCACTCGAATGACCTTTAAATTGCGACCTCTGAGCCTGTTCTTGATGTGCGGGAAAAGCCAAAGGCCACAAGGTGGTAGATCTAGTGAGTACGGTGGTGTTTCAAGTAGTTCCATTCCAATTTGTGAAATGTGGTCCAACGTACGTTTTGATTTGTGAGGTGGTTGCGTTGTTTTGGTGAAACACGATTCTGCTGGGGTTGGCGTTCTTGTGCATTTTTTGCACTTGGCAAACACAGGATCGATGCTATCCTTGATAAAGTATCCACTATCGACAGTGTGTGGTTTGATGTCGAGGTTGGCGTGGTCAATACCAGTTTTGTAGAAGATAAGAGTAATAAGTTTGTCTTGACCAAAGTGCAAACGAACCTGGGTGGGTGGCATATGATCTCCAATAATATATGCCTTGGCTACCAAGCTATAGAATGGTGTATTCAATTAGACATACAATTCGTTGCATGTAGCAATGTTATATATATTTGCTCTGGACGAGCCAGTGAAGTTCTCGATGAACTGTTGGCTAAACCCAATGCGCGTTGGCTTAAGCCCATCAGTGAGGAAATGAAGAGCCAATTGCTGATGAGCCACTCTATAGCCCATATCACAATGCAAGACCTTTCGCATTGCTGTTACCAAACAATTGTGCTGCTCAGCTAAATTATCAGCTCATGTATGTGCAAATTGGCCGATTGTCTTGCGAATAGCGGCGCCATGAAGTTGTGCAATTTTGGATTCCGGACAGCCGCTTCAAGGCTCATCTTCAATATCCATGCGTCCGTGACTAAACCTGTTGACCCACTTTCTAACGGTTGATATAGAAGGTGCGCCTGTGCCGCAATGCCGGTGTAAAATTCGGTGAATATCCAACGGCATTTTTCCCTCTAAATAACATTTAATAAAAATGATATTCGATATTTGCATTATTTTTAGGCAGATATCATTAATCAAAGAGATTTTTAAGAATTGTAAGTGATAAAAGTCAAAATTTCAAAAGTTGCACAGAAGAAAAAGGAGACGAGCTAGGAATGGATGTGGGGGTGGGAAATAATGCTACGTTCTAACCTCACATTAATAAATATAAAAATGTCTGGATACCGACAATACTCTATACGAGGTGAAAAAGACAGTACTTTTAGTCGCGGTGATATTTACAATATAACAGCACAATGATAAATAAATTTTAAAAAATGGTACATGATGAGTTGGAACGCCATGAAAAACAGGCCAACGACACGTACGGCCTCAGGCGCTTCTTCTACAAGACAGATCCAAATAAATGACGCAAATCGAATAAAAAGGAAAGCAAGCTAGCTAATACATATGTTTTTCTTTTAATTTATCTAGCGATCAGTACCTATCCTGGCGCTCGTCCAGAACAGGCCCATGATATCTGCCTTATTGCGGTCTATCAGCGCCGGTGCCCGTGCACGCATGTACATGCATAGGCTAAAACGGCGTATAGTTGGTGTTGTATTGAATGGTTTCTTTTTTTAATGTTCACTGATTGGATGGTTAAAACAAAACTGAATAGCCAGTTTTTTCTCTCGATTCTTGATTCCTAAAATGTCTTAAATACCAAGCTGTCAGACCAAGCGAACGCAGTCGTATTGCTAGTTCTGGACACTAACGTACAAAGACGGCGTATACTAGAAACGTACTTTGTCAATCCTGCTTTGTAACAATATTTATATACATTTATTTTTAAAAATTTAGTTACAAGATATTTTCATTCATTGTCGCATATACCATTTGGTGGCATAGCTGATTGATTATAGATGATCAATCAGCCGACGATTAAAGTTACAAGCAAAAAGTAAAAAGGGTACAAAAGGTATAAATAAGGGTTAAAAAGAGAGCACACAATACCAAAAAAAAGCGTTCAAATATTGAATTCGAAATTCAACATCATTTTTCTTTCTTTTTCTGAATTCAACTTTTACTTTTTCATTTACCCCCCCTTTTTTGTTACATTCCAATTGGAAAAGAATGGTTCTTTACTTTACCAGCACAGCGGTGACACCACCAGTGACAATTTTCATGGGTCGGGATAAGTTCGAGAACGAAGACTTGATCAAGCACGGTTGGCCCGAGGACGTCTGGTTCCACGTCGACAAGCTCTCCTCCGCGCACATCTACCTGCGTCTTCCACAAAGCATCCCCGACTGGAAATCCATCCCCCCCGCACTCCTCGATGATCTCGCCCAGCTCTGCAAGGCCAACTCCATCGAAGGCAACAAAAAATCCAACATTACTATAATCTACACGCCATGGTCTAATCTCCTGAAGAACGGCAGTATGGCGGTGGGCCAAGTTGGCTTTAAAAATAGCCAGATGGTCCAGAGGGTGTATGTGAAGGAGCGGGAAAATGTGATTGTCAACAGGCTGAATAAGACGAAGCGCGAGAATCACCCGGATTTGTACCAGGAAAGGCAGGACAGGGATGGTGATGAGCGCAGGGAGAGGAAGAACGAGGCGTTGAGGGAGAAAATGGAGAAGACGCGGATGGCTAAGGAGAAGCAGATGGAGGACGAGTCATATGGGAGCATCTTCCGCGTCAATGCCCTGGACATGGAGGACCGCCGGCCGGCGTCCGAGAACATCTTTGGCGACTCGGACGACAGCGCCAGCGGGTCCGATGATGAGTTCACAGGCCGGTACGCCGACGAGCTGGCAGACTTTATGTAGCGAAAATACAAAGCAAATAAATATCCATCATCGCACATCATACAGCCGCAGCGTGCGGTCAGTCAACGAGACCAGCAGCGAAAGCCCGTCTGCGCCCCACTGGCCGCCGCGCACGTCGACGACATTCTCTGGCGGCGGCACCTCCAGGGCACCCGCCACGATGCGCAGCCGAGCGTCCCACACGCGCACGCAGCGCTCAGCCTCGACGGCGGCGGAGAACAGCACGTGGCGGGGCCCGTTGCCCAGCGACGCCACGCAGGACCGCGCCCACCGGCCCTGCGGCGACGCCACCCTGGCCTCCCGTCTCCCCTGCGCCACCAGCAGGCCCTGCGCGCCCTGCGCGCCCGCCGGCGCCTCCGCAACGTCGTACAGCTCATGCACGGTCGAGCGCCCGGGCGCGCGGAATGACGCCGCCAGCGTGCTGCTGGGCGCATCGTACGAGAGCGAAAGGCAAGAGCGCGGCTCGGCACCGGTCGCCGTCAGCCGCAGCCACGGCGCGCCGGCGGTCTCCGGCAGCGCATACAGGTGCTGGGCGTTGGCGACGATCAGGCGCGTGGTGCCCGAGCGACCGCGCACACAGGCGATGGCGTGGATCGGCGATGAGCCGACGGGCTGGGCGCCGGCCCAGGTGGCGACGGGGGCATCCACGCGGCGCACGTCGAAGGCCAGGACGCGGCCGAAGGCGGCGCCGGCGTAGAAGCGGTTGGGGTCGGCCGGGTCCCAGGCGCACGACCACACGGGGGCGCCGGCGGCGAACCGCGCAGCCACGCGCGGGGCGCACCTGCGCTGGTCGCAGGCCAGGGTGGTCAATGCCACGGTCTGGTCCATGCTGGCCGTCAGCAGGTAGCGCGTGCCGGAGGTGTGTGGGCTGACCTCGGCGCCGCGGATTTCCTCCGAGTGCAGCGGCGGCAGCAGTGTGCGGGCGCTGCCGGACGCGGTGTGCGCGTCGTGTGCGCTGACCACAGCCATGGTGTGCAGGTGGCCAGGCCGCGAGAAGCTGGCGTAGACCAGCGGCTCGTGCGGGTCCAGCGCCAGGATACGCGCTGACTCGCCGGGTGCCGTGGCCAGCGGCACGGTTGCCCGCAGCCGCAGCACCGCGGGCAGCGGCTCGGCCGTCGGCTCGGCCGTACTCTCGCCGGCGATGCCTTGGGCGGTCTGGTTTCTTGCGGCGTTCTCGGCCTCGAGCCACTGCAGCCTACGATACGTGTCTTCGGCGACGGTCCTGGCGCGCATAGCCTCGTTGCGCATCTGCGCGTACAGCACCTGGTAGTGCTGCAGCTCCGACTCCAGTTCGCACGTGCGCGATGCCAGCCGCTTGATCTCCCGCTGCAGCTCCTGCTGCCTGGAGTCATCGAGCGCGCGAATGCTGCGGGCGAATATCGCTCGGATGTCGCGCGTGGCGGCCGGCTGGTTGCATTCGGGACATCGGCCTTTCTGTGTTTTTTGGCGGCCGTTGCCGCGCAGCAGCCATTTGCGCACGCAGCTGAGCCCGAAGAGGTGCCCGCATTTCAGCGACACTACACGGTGTGCGCCGCTGATTCCCCAGCTGTCGAGGCAGATCGAGCATGTGCTGCTCTCGTCCCCGTCTGCCGCCGCTGGCGCTGGCGCTGGCGCTGGCGCTGGCGGGACGACGGCTGGGAAAAACCCACAAGCGTCGGATGCCGGCGACTCCATTGCTACGGCGCTGCGCTGCTGCTGGAACTCGTGCGCGTCATCGCTGGACTCATCCGAACCGCAGCCTTGCATTTCGGAAACGGGCGATTCTGATCGCCGCGAGCGCTTTGGTGCGCGGCATTCGGCCACACTGCTGTTAATGCTGGCGCTGCTGCCGACGGAGTCTATTCGCAGCAGGGATAGGGTGCGTGGTGGGCCTGCTGATCGCCGTTGATCTGGCTCGTGCTCATCCTCATGCTCATGCTTGTGCGCATCTACGGCGGATGCGGGGCGCTGCTGATGTTGATGTTTATGCTGGTGCTGGTGCTGGTGCTGGTGCTGATTATGAATCTGTGGTTCGTCGAATAGCTGCGTGAGTGACGGCGGGCTTGGAGAAATACCTTCCTGGTCGAGACCATCGACTGTCTGTGCATGGTCTGGCATTCGCCTCAACCAACCCCCTTTTTTGTTTGTTGAAGGGATTATGATAAGGAGGAGGGCTATTGAAAAAATACAGTACACTAAAATATATTTACGAGTGATTAATGCAAAAGCAGGCAAAGCTGTAAGAAATAAAATCAAGAAATAAAATCAACTTTTGTTAGGGGCTGCGCATTTTAATAACGAAAATAAAATAAATAAGTAAATAAATAAACGAGGGCAGATTAGGACACTGGAATTGCTGCTTGTATAGAAAAAATAATTTATGGGTGAGATTAGGGTTTTCTCCATTAATTTTTATTCATAAGGCGCGGTAAAATATAGCTTTTTGCTTTGCTTTGCATTGCATGAAATAAAATATAAATTATACAACCCTCCTCCCTTAATATTTCCATTATAGTTTTTTTTTTCAATTTTTCCCTCAGGAACAGGATCCAAATGTTTCACTTAGCATTATTGTAAGCTAAAAAATACGTGTATTTTTGCTTGCATGATTCCATGCTGCTATGCTGCTATGCTGCTATGCTGCTATGCTGCTATGCTGCTATGCTGCTATGCTGCTATGCTGCTATGCTGCTATGCTGCTATGCTGCTATGCTGCTATGCTGCTATGCTGCTATGCTGTGTGCCCAGAAACTCCTAAATGACCCTACCGCCTTCTGCTTTTTGCGGCCGACTCGAAAAATAAAAACAACAATTCGCCAAAGTCGATTGCGTATAAAACCCACCGACTGGGCCCGCCCGACGACACCAAAAGGTGAAAAACAAAAAACATAAACATCATCCCATCCCCTCCCATCCCATCTCGTCCCATCCAATCCCATCCAATCCCATCCAATCCAATCCAATCCAATCCAATCCAATCCCATTTCAACCGATCCCCCACGCAAGTCGGGTTTTTTATTATACATCATGATTTCTGCGCTCCAAACCCTCATTCTGCTCTTCGGCACAACTCTCGGGCTCAGCGTGCCGCTGCTAACAAACACAGCCGAGCGCATTATCGGCGGCCAACCCTCGCTCCCCTCCGCCTTTCCCTTTGCCGCATCGCTGATAATCCGGCTTCCCGGCGGCACTGGCTTCTGTGGCGGCACCCTGATCAGCGACACACTGGTGGCCACCGCGGCGCACTGCGTCTACAACTACAGCCAAGGCCGGCCCTGGCCCGCCACCGCCATGCGCGTGGGACTCAACAGCAACGTGCTGGAGAACCAACGCGCACTGCCTGTGCTCCAGGTCTACGTGCATCCGGCGTTTGACCCGAGGGAGCCTAAAAACGACATCGCTATTGTGCGTATTCCGTCTTCGGGTGGGGTGGAGACCGCCAGGGTGTTTGATGGCAAGCTGCCCTCGGGCACGCGGCTGACGGCTATAGGGTGGGGCCGGACATCGGCGGCACCCGGGTCGGTGCTGCCGAGCGCCCTGCAGCAGACCGCGATTGCTGTCGGAGAAACCGAGTCGTGTGCACAGTTCGTGCCTGGGTTTAAGGGCAGCGATGGTCCGCAGATCTGCACCGAAAACAGGCTGCTTCCGGGAAAAGATACTTGCCAGGGAGACTCTGGCACCGGAGTGTTTGTGGAGGATGCGGGAAAGATGTTTTTGGCTGGACTGACCAGCTACGGAGCGAATTTGAATGGTGATCCGACTTGTGCCTTGGATGATGGGTTTGCGGTGTATACCCATGTGGCGTTCTATCGCGCGTTTATCAATTCTGTTGTCAAGTCTGCTGCTGCTGCTCGCCGGAGAAGAAGGGTTGCTAGGGAGCGAGCCAGATCCACGGTGACTGTACTTGTACCTATTATGCCTGTTGTTGCTGCTAATGCGCTTTAATCTTTTTTCTTTTCTTTTCATTGCTTTCGTCATCATCCGCCGATCTGGGCCCCTCACCTTCCCCCCTCCCCCTCCCATTTTCACTTTCAATATTTTTTTTGACTCTGAAAAAAAATATATTGAAAATGAGGTGGGGGTTGTGGTGGGAAAGCAACGAAAACCTCTGACGTGTTAATTATTTTTTTTACACTTTCTTTTCTCTTTATGTTTTTTCTTTTTCAATTCAAAACGTTCAATTTGTTAAACTTAAATTTAAATAAAAAACCTTTTACTTTTCAATTTCATTATAATTTTTCTTCCTGCATTCAACAGCTATCAGCATTTCAATATTACTTTTGTCTTTCTATTAATTCCACAACCAAATAAATAACAATAAAATAAAATAAAAAAGAGAGAAACAGAGCGCAGCTTGATCCCCTTTTCATCCCTATTTAAACTGCTGTAGAAACTCATAGAACTTTGTCATCACTGCGCTTTTCTTTTCTTTTCTTTTCTTTTCTTTTCTTTTCCACATCCCTTCTCTCGTTTTTTCTTTTTTTCACTTCTATTCTTGTATTCTTGTATTATACAAACACACATACACGAACGCACGCTAAAGGTAAATAAACGATTTGAACAAGCAGAAAGCAATAATGGGGAAAGAGTGATCTCGCAGCGGCTATTTAAAAAAATCACCCTAAAATAAACTGTATTTTATTTAAAGTTTGACTTTTTTTTTACATTTTTAACTTTTTAGTTAGTCTATGTCGCCACACTCCAACAGCACTGGTGTCGATGCTGCTGCTGCTTCTACTGTTGCCTCTGTTTCGAATCAAACCAATACCAACAACACTTCGCCATTGCCTTTTTCGATCCACGGCAGCACTTCTTTATCGTCTGCATCAGCATCAGCAAAAAATAAAAACAGACGCGGCAGCAGCAGCAGCAGCAGCAGCAACCGCAACCGCAACCGCAACTGCAACTGCAATGTCTCTGGCAAGAGTAAAAGCGAGACTGACAGCGACAGCGGCAGCGATGAGCAGTGCAGGAATATGTCCTCTACAGGTAACTACCATCGTTTCTGGGCTACCGCCTCGCCCTCCGACAGCTCTCACCTAAACTCCCACACCATGGCCACGTCATCGGCCTCGGCGTCGTCCTCCTTCAAACCATCGCGTCGTTCCAGCCTTTCGCGCAACGACAGCAGCCTTGTGCTTTTTGATTCGGCTAATCATCTGCACGTGTCCGAGGAAAACAGCCGAGCGATGACCAACTGGCGCAACGTAATGACGTCCACCGGAAGCAACATTAACAACGGCGGCTCTAAACCAAACACTTTGGGGCTAGCCCTGCAGAATGGCGGGATTCCGGGAATAATGGGCCGGGAGCACCAAAGCCGCATACTTTTTGTGTCACTTTTGGAGAACTACTGCCGTACCTACGACGACAACCCGCTGCGCAACCGGCGCCTCTTTTTTGCCATCTGTCGCACTCTCTATTCCATGGGAATTATCGGGAAGGAGTATGTTGATGAGATGGCCTCGGTGAGATCAACTTACTCGGACGCATTTAGGCAGCTTGTGGTTAAGGCACAGGAGTCTTTGGATATGTATGAGCATCACGATATCGAATCTGGCATTCGATCTCTCATGACGGGGATTGCTGAGGAAGAAGAAGAGGAGGATAATAGCAGCGAGATGAGTGACGGCGTGTCTGGAGACTGTGCGTTCTCGTCTGCAGCGTTTTCGGAATCGGATAATGATTTCCAAGAAGACGAAAAGAAGAGGAGATCGCGGGATGGTGCGTTTTCGATTTCTGGAAACAGCCAGTGGACTAAACCGGCGTCGACATTAGCGCGCAGGGCCAGTCTACGCAGTGGCAATGGCGGCGGGTTTGGAGCTGCCACGGCCACTATAAGCGGCTCTACCATTCGGGAGCCATTCCGACCACAACCACAACCACAACCACACCGGCGCAGCACAACACCCCACATCAACAACCACACCGGCAACAGCAACATATACAGACGGGGCTCCATATCAGCCTCACCAGGGGGGCATCAGCAGCAACCTTTGGCAGTATGGTGATGGATATGCAACGATCGCGGTACCATGATGACTTTGTGCAGCTGCGGTGCCTGGGGAAAGGCGGATTTGGAAAAGTATACGAGGTGCGGAATAAGCTCGATGGGCGGCGGTACGCGGTCAAGTTAATCAAGATCAGGGGCGAGATTACGGCCGACAAGACCCTGAGGGAAATAAAAACCCTGGCTAACCTGGATCATCCTAATATCGTGCGCTACTATAGCAGTTGGATTGAGGTCAGTCGCCTGCGGTCGAAATCCGCGGCTGCTAATGGATTGCGCGCCTTGTCGTCGTCGCCGCTATTTGCTCAGTATGATCCGGCTGCTTCTGACGACGATGACGAGGACGATCTGTCGGCGGACGATGACAATGAGGGGCACAACATGGCCGGGAACTCTTTTGATTTGGGAGAGTTTAATATCGGGCATTTGACCGCACATGATATTGACGACGATATGTGGGTGCCTGCTGCGGTGGATACGGCGGACGAATGTGATATTGTGTTTGAGGTCAGTGGCGGCGGTGACTGCGGCAGTGACGATGAGAGAGCGCATTCTTATAATAGCGAGGAGCGCAATGGGGATTATGTCGAGGACTGCAGTGATGACGATGACGATACTGGGATTGTGTTTGCACATGCCGACAATGACGATAAGGAGCTCGGGCTGGGATTGGGCGTGCAGGTTGGGCCTCCGTCTTGTCGCTCCGACTCTAGTGGCAGCAGCACCAGCAGCACCAGCAGTGGCAGTGCTAGTACCAGCGAGAGTGGCAGCGGAAGTGAGACTAGCAGCATAAGCAGCAGCGGCGGCAGCAGCGATAGTGACACCGGTGATAGCGATAGCAATGACTCGGCTGAAGAGGAGATCCTCGCTGATGCTCTGCCGAGATCCAATCCCATTCCAATCGCCCTACAGCAGCAGCAATTGCAACGTCAGCCGCCCGCGCACTATCGCCGGCGATCAGTGCACACAACCGGACCGTTCACACCACGCACATCCGCGGGTCTCTCGGCCAACCGCCCGCCACCAGGAATTTACAAATCCAACTCGGGCAGCCAAGCGCGCTCTCTCCCCACGCAGAACTTTGAATCGGCCTTGAGCACAGTGACCGAGACCACACTTTTTGTGCAAATGCAGCTCTGTCAAACCACCCTGGAGGAGTTCCTCGCGCAGCGCAATACGCGTATTGCCGAGCAGCAAGCCGCGCACGCACTGGAGTGCTTTGACGAGTGCGATGCATTGGATATCCATGGCGGCCAGCTCATTGACCCTGTGCTTAATGTGCGGCTGTTTAGGTCGATTGTCGAGGGCGTCAAGTATTTCCACAGCCGAGATGTTATTCATCGCGACTTAAGGGCGCCAACGTGTTTTTGGACATTGTGTATGCTGACAGTGGCGGCAATCCGATGAGCCGCAGTGCTAGTGGCATTGGGCGGCCTGGCAATTCATCGCAATCTGTGGTTCCGTTTAATACCAGCCAGGTCAACTCGATGGCCAGCGGGATTGGTGACGTGCACGCGGATGCATGGGACGCTATTGACGGAGGTAACTTGAAGGAGCGGCCTGGCGGGTCCGGCGACAATCTGAGTTTGAGCGCGGGCAGTCGCAAGATCGACTGGGACGCTGTGTTTGAGTGCATGGTTGCCGGATCAGCACACAACAGGGCGGCGCCAATACCTGGGTTTTGTCTATCGACCTCATCGTCGTCTTCTCGAGGATCCGCCGACGCGGCCGGTTGCGCCCAGGGCGCTGCAGCGCGAGTCGTCAGGATTGGCGGCGCTCGTGCCGAGACATCCCTTGGTGACGTTTATTCCGCGCATCGGTGACTTTGGATTAGCGACAAAGTCCACATTGGGAATTCGCAGTTCTGGCAGCGACGGATATGCCTTTATCGGCGGCCAGAGCAAGACAGCTCCTGTATCGACATGCCTGACGCCCACTGATTCGTCATTATCAACAAACACTACTGACCGGCGCACATCCAATGTCGGCACAGTGACCTATGCAGCACCCGAGCAGCTCTGTGAGCAACTAAGCGGAGCCGGATATAACGAGAAGGCAGACATTTATTCCCTTGGAATTATTTTCTTTGAGCTCTACTATGCGTTTTCCACCTTTATGGAGCGCATTGCGGTGTTCAAGGATCTGAGGAGGGGAGTTTTCCCGCCAGAGTTTTTGCGGATGTGGCCGAAGGAGGCGGCGTTTATTTTGCGGTTGATGGATGCGAATCCTGATAAGAGGTTGTCGGCGAAGGAAATTTTGGCATTGGATATGTTTGATGTGCCGTCGGTGGAGTCGGCGCAGTTGATGAGGGAGGTTTTGACGCTGAAGCAGCAGTTGATGTTGGCTAATCAACGGAATGAGGAGCTTGGGTTGAGAGTCAGGGAGCTAGAGCGGATTGTTGATTTGAGCGTGAGGAGTGATTGAATTTAATTGAATGGGAATTTATTAGAAAATCTTATGTTTGGTGTTTGTCAATATACTGAACACTATTTCAATTAATATAATAATGCGTTATTTTTTGGCTAGCTAGTATATTAAAAGTGTATAAAATTAGGCGTGTCGAGTAATTGAAAATAAACGTTTTTGTAAAATATAAAAAGGCTGGAACTAGATGGAATTAAAAATATGGCCCAAGTGGGGATAGGAGCCAACATGTATAGACGCATAAAAACTAACATAATCCAACAAAGCGGCATTGACTCCAAATAACCTCATGTGCTTGTATGATGGCAGTGCAATCATGACAATTCCATGTGTGAGGGAAAACCTGCAGGCATACTCTGATCCAGCACCTCCTCAAATTATTCCAGCTGTTCTAGCACCGAGTTAAAAATTAGAAGTGAATCAATGTCTATAGTCCAAAGTTCCGTGACTACTGGCACTTTGAAATTGTGGTTTTCATACCCCGAAAAGTGGATAGTACACATTTTTAGCCATCTTAATTCCTTAGACAACAGCAGTTTAGTAGCACCATGTCAATGTGAAAGCTTCCCCACATTGGGGGAGGCAAATTACATCCAGATATGCGGCCATATCATGGAATTTCCATTGGATAACTGTGTCGATACTGGTCTGGTATGTCGTGCTCTATAAAAATATGGGTCTAAATCGATATATTCAAGTCTTAAAAATTACTTACTAAACTGAAAAAGGGGGGCAGCTCTGTAAACATCATGGTGTTCCTTGATGTCAGCTAGCAATAACAGAAATGTGTATAGTGGCCATGAGGGCGATCTTGATTCTTGAAAAGGGAAGATAGTGGCTTGAAATGTGTGTTGGGCACCACATGGTAATGTACACATTTGTATTAGCTCAAGCACAGAAAACTTCTGGTAGAAAACTTCAATTGGGTTTTCTGCACAGATATAGCCATGACAGTGTTATGTAAAAGGGGGTGGGGAGCACTATTATAATAGTGTTAAAGGATGGGTATTAATTATAATGTTTGTTAATAATGTTTCCAAAGTACTACTAGCGCCGGCCTCATCTTATATATGTATCTCATTGCATTTGTTGTGCACATTGTCAATTGTGCACTCTGTTGGCGAGAACTGGTTCTTCTGCGAGTAGACCAGTATCCTAAAAGTCAATGTTGTAGTTTTCACATATGTGCGCTCGTGCGTGTGCACTACAGAATGGAAAGCATATCTAGGCATCATTATTATGCCTCTCTAATTTACTCCTGCATAATACAATTAGTGCCCTATCAATCGGCATGTAGATGGAAACTTGTTTCAAGATTCTCAACCTCAACATCCACTTCCATATCCTTGGACCGCACAGCATGACAATAAAAGAAAATTACAGCATACGGATATACATAGAGCTGACGTTAGACCATTTTATAGGGTAGTCGATTCAAACCCGGATGTATTGCATATTTACACTACAATCAAAGACAAGGGCGTTAATTTTAAATTGTACACACTTAGATACATGTTCAAAGAAACAAAAAAGGTGTTGCTTAATTGCTCGGCCGACTGCATAAAACAAAGTATTGTGGTGGTTTTTTTGTTAGTTCGCTATAAGCTCTTTACTCTGAAGGCTTGGCTCGTATAAATAAACCCCGCTTGTTTGTTTGTAACAGCAATAATGGAGGATTAACTGCTGAACGTGCGCCAAATTTTGTTTCAATTTTTATTTTTTAAGACAAGCTATTTTATCTACTCTACTATAAATTAACTTGGTATTATAAGGTCGCATTTTGCACAAGCGATAAGTAGTTTACTTTAGATTAATTTCTCAACACCTTTATCCGTAATGATGGTTGCTACTGCTCTTGAAATGCCAATTTTTATTAGAATTCAAGTTTACCAATTCGCAAAATTGGTTGAATTCAAGCTTGTCAATTCACATTTTTAATTTATGTTAACCAGTAGTTTTTGTAAAAAGCTTGTCTTTGAAAGTCTTTTTGTAAAAAAATTGGAGGGAGAGCAAAAATACTTCTTGAACATATTTTATGTTAAGAGAGCTAGAATTTTATAAATAAGAGATAAGCGGCCATCGACCGACTGGTCAACACATTTAAAACCCTGATTTTATTCATTGTATAAATATTAGTACGCTTTTTTTTAGTTTTTGCTATACGTCTATTAGTAAAATTTTATATCACCCACTTTTATTATAATTATTTAGTCATATTTCAAATTATTAGCCCAATGCCAGAAAAGACTTTGTTAACCCCGTGAAGCTGCTAGGAGAGAATCCGGATGGTTCTATTGAATTCAAGAAAAATTCGTCAAACACTTGTGTATACAGAAAGGTGATAGAAATTCTCGAAAGCTTGGATGAGCAATAGAAAGAAATACAATTAAAAGTGTTGATGCTTTTTTTAAAAGTAATGGTAATGAACGCGGCTTAGACATTCACAAAATAGTAGATATGTCATTTCACACAGAGGTTGCTGGCTGTTCTGGTAACTTACTTGTTCGAACTAACATTAAAGATAGTCACGGCAATCCAATTACGTACAAATTTAAATACACTTTCCTAAAAATGACAATAAAAGAAGACGGAGCAACGGATCCAGTAAATGTTAGCACTGGTGTATTGGGATTGACTGATTAACCAGTCTTCATTGATGTTGTTTATCTGCCGAAGCTGGATGCAGCCAAGCATGATTATCTATGTTGTTTACCTTTTTAGTCACACAGCGACACATCACATAATTGTTTTCTTTCACTTTTCCAATGCATAGCACTCATAGTATACAGCTTATTAAATAAATATTATGTTATTTATATCCCGTTCATAGAACATACATAGTTCAACAGCTTTGTATGGGTCGACATACTTTTTCTAGGGCATGTTTATTGGCTAAATGATTGTTTGGTTAGCAGAGCAGATCTTTCAGAAGCAGAGACTTGTGCGCGCAAAGTGAGACAGAGATTGCTCTTCATTTAAACCATCCATTCTCATGTTTCCAGTTGATTGGCACTCGGAACCTGGAAATCAACACATACCGCATGGTACAAGACAAAGCTAGGATTTAAATATGGTTAAATTAAAAAGCATGTTTGATATTCACAGCTTTGCAATTTAACAAAAATAAATGCAACCCCATGCTTATTTACGTGATGCTCACAAAGCAACTTTTGGCAAACAATGCCAGTGGATAAAGATGTATGGATTCAATTGGTGAATTCAAATATTTAAAAATAAAGAATTTGCTTGAATTCAACAGCTAAACGGAGCTGTGGTTGTCTTTGTATAGTTCTGCAGCCTAAGAAAACGTTTGCAAAAAGGATTATTTTTCACCACACAAGAATATTGCATTATTCGTTCAGTGCATGACAATTATATTATGTTATATTCTTACACTTGATTAATATCCTGAATCTGAAAATGGCACGGTCTTGCTGACATTCTCAGGAGCTGATAGAGTAAAAGTGTGCTTATATGAGCCGATAGTATGGCCCAAGCAATCCTGAGTCGTGGAAAGTCCGTCTATAAAAGCCTGCAGTGGTGATACATTTTAGTATTTTATTATTTATTATACAAACATTTTACAGCCACCATTTGAATATTTCTAATTGCTGGAACGACAAATTGATTCAAAGATCTGTAATAGGTGCATAATATAAAATATTACTGATACTTTCGGCCAGCTATTAAAATAATTTTTTTTAACCCTAGACATACTTTGTATTTATTGTTTATATATTAGTATCAATATCAAAGAGTTTAAACAAAACATTTTTATTTATTTAAAGTAGGTCAGGATAACTCCCCCTCCCCCCGCATAAGGCGCTACCACCAGAGTCCAACCACGATGAAATAACCTCTTCAATCGCAAAAAGCTCATCCTTATTGTTCCAAAAATGCGAAGCCCCAGGAACCACTCTAGTAGTGACCTTACGCGTATCCAAAGCCCCCATGCGCATCAAGCGATCGTATTCCCAGAGATCCTCCTCCGGCACAACTTTATCGCAAGCACCGCTGATATTTAGCACAGCGCATTTTTCAAAAGGCAGATCCTTCACAATATCCATACGCGTACTGCATCTTTGGTCCAAATGCTCCGATTTTACCCAATATTCGCGCCTGGGCACATTTCCTCCATTAAGTTCACTACCATGCATTGTATCGTCTTGGGTTTGGTTGCTTGCATTGCCATATGTGCGCCAGAGAAACATTCCTTTTGTTTGCAAATCACCTACTTGGTGTGGTTTCCAGCGATTGGGCGTTTCACGTGCTAACCAGAACCGGGGCGACACCCCCACGATCATCTGTGGACACAGAGTGGGCACGTATGGGCAAACAAATACACACTGGATGCCCCTTGGAATGGCCCAGAATACCGACCACCCGACAAAGTGACATTTTCCTGTATGTATTCGCATTTGCTCGCTGTTCACGTACTCGATGACCTGCTTGATATCGTTGGCTTCTTCGTGGTAGTTTCCGTAACTTGTGGTGCCTGTGCTGTGGCCGTTGCCGCGAAAATCAAAAGACACGGTGGCGAATGGTAATGTTTTTTGCAGGTGTTGAAAGAGTGGCGCGTGTTTGGTGTCAAGAAGACCGTGGCATAGTATGAATACGCTTATTGGTGCTTCCTTGCCATGGTTATAGTTGTTTTTGAAATTGGTGGTGGCCGTGCATTGTTTGGAATGCATAGTTGTGAATGCAATTGGTCGCCGCCATTTACTGCAATTTGAAATTGAGAGACAAAAAATGACATGCCAAAAAAAGAGTGCAAATAAAAAATGTAAAATAAAATCAAGAGAAAAGGGTATAAAAGGATGGAACTGCGTAGACAGTGGAGATCGAGTTGGATCCAAAGGGGAAAAAACAAGCCAATCGGTTTTTTTCCCGATTGTTTTTCTATTGCGCCATTCGTCGATACATATACAGATAATGTTTTTCCTCTAATTTTTCCAGATAAGAATTAATTTTTTTATTTTTATAGGGTTTTATGTTAAAAAAGAAAAGCTATTGTAAAAAATAAAGTTTTTTGTATGGTTTTTTTAAAAATAAAATGTTGAATGTGGCGGCGGCGGTAAAAAAATTTGTGTAAATGACAGTGAAGACTATAAAGTCTAATTCTGATGATTGTTAGTGTTTGTGTGTTTGTGTGCGAAAGCTCAAAATGAGGTCGACAAAGTTTAATGCGGGTAATGTAAAAAAATAAGCAAATCACAAAGATGCTAATATAAGTAATAGAAAATTAAACGCAAAAAAGGGAAATAGAAAATAAAGTGTGTGAAATCATTAAAGTGACATAAAATGCAGTTTAATATATGAAGAGGAGTATTTTGAAAGCATGGTAGTAGGTTTTTTAAAAGCATGTTAAGCTAGAGTCCTTTTTATATTTAAAGTTCAATAGACGCCATCTCTTAAAAGGTGGTCTACTCTCATCGCTGTTTTGAAACTAAAGGGTGGAGAAATGTAAAATAAATGTGAAACTTTAACCATATATAACAGCGGGCCAGCCTGCTGAATATAAAAATGGATAGAGTCACCCGATGTAAAAAAGATGAGAGAAGAGATGACGGCCAAAGCTATTTTGTTTTGTGGTTAATACAACCCAAATAAATAAAGAAAGAAAAAAGAAAAGAGAAAAGAAAAAAGCTGGTAAAAAACGAATCTTTAACGAGTAAAATTATGAAATGAGAGGAAAATGAAAAAGTATGATAAACGCTGTAAATAAATGCAAATGTAAGTGAAAAAGATACCAAAAAGCTCCACTATTTTTTTGTTTTGTCGAGCTCAAAGTGTATGTATGCTAGTAAGCTCCAAGACTGGGAGATGAAAAATGCTAATAATAAAGTTAAAGATAAAAATGCTTAAAAAATATGCGAGAGAAGAGAGAAAAACGAAAAATATTAAAAGCTGCAAAAAAGGGATAAATAAATAAAAAAAGGTGGTTCATTAAGTTATAGGAAAGAGAACATGCTATGTAAAGACATGTGGTAAAGAAAAATAATTGATAAATTTTTTAAAATGTTTTTTGTTATGCAAGTTAGTTCGGATAGTAAGAACGAGAGAATACTCAGCTGGTGAATGCGGTTTAAAAGCAAGTAAAGGAAAAAGTCACACTCAAAAAATTGAGGACAAAAATGCTAGTTTGGTAAAAGTCACTCAACAGGCGAAGAGGACAAAAATGCAAAGTACTGTTTAAAGAGATGAATGGATGCGGGTGTGGGTCACTCCATAAAGTAAGGAGTGATCAGATGCTGGTAAAAATGCAAAAAAACCAATTCCATCCTCCCAAGGTAAATGCAAAAGAAAGTAGTTAACCTCAAATTTGCTCCTCCATCTCCTCTACCGCCTTGCAACTGATAAAAGAGTAAAGACCCAAATGCTGAAGAGCGTGTTTAAGCGCAAGGTCCGTGAGAAAGAGGTGCTTGAGGAGAGGAGAGGCGAGGCACGAACAATGCTGAGCGGGGAGGATGGAATGGTAAGTAGTCTACTATAATGAAGATAGTAAAACCAACAGAAACAAAATGTGGAATCTAGCCTTTCTTTTATACAACTAATTTGTCAGTGGTTTTTTTGCAATAAAAATAAAACCCAGGGCTCTGAAGTGCTCGGTATAATAGCACGAGAAATATTGTTTAAGCGCAATTAACAGTTTGAAAATATTACTTGATTATTTGAGGCTTCAATTCGGCACGCCAAGTTTTCTTTGCATGTAGATCAATAATCAGAAAACCAATTATTTTGCTTTGTGGACAGACACAAAAATATTCACCATGCATTTTTATATTCAAATTTCTTTCTGACAACTATGTGATCGACAGGATTTGTGCGCACAAAAGACAAGGGGAAACAGCATTTCTGTGTGGATATCGAAACCAGCCTTGGCGCACACACGAACGTGCAAATCTCTCATTGATTAGAGGGTATCCCTTTTTCTTTTCCTTATGTCTGGAGAAGATGCTAATAAAACCAAAAGTGACATTTTCTCAGTGGAAACTACGCAGGGTCTTTGCAAAACAAAACATGTGAATTTGCAGTGGTGTAATAGATCTACACTCGGCGGTTCAATATTATTTTTAGTTTTTACTAATGGTCTGTCGCCTCGAACTGTTAAGAAGGGGGAATGGATGTGCAAAACTGTCATGCAAGGGAAAGAAAACGAAAAAGGGTTTTCTTTTCAATTTTCTTTCAACGACTAAAAATAGACTGGTCCACAAACTAACACGAGGTTGCTTTGCAATTGGAAAGAAACAAGAGACTTGTCTGAGCGCAGTAAAAAAATTGCAATTTAGTTGATTGATTTATTGATTGATTTATACTTAATTTGGCAGATAATGGTTAAATTACAAGATTAATAATATCCCCATTTTTAATTGTTCGCCTCAAATAAACCAAGCGTGTCAAATTAAATGCACTTGTGCTTGTATCCATTGCATAAAACATACGTGCGATTGCGCGCACTTGTCTTTTTTTGTTTACACCATCGTGTCTAAACACATTTTTTTATTGTTCGAGTAAATTAGTATGTGTGCAGGTTTTTTTTCAATAAGTGACATGTGAGCACGTGTGATTGTTTATTTTATTAATGAATTCAAAAAAGGGTGAGAACAGAGGCAATCCATCCGGCCAATTTCCCCCCTCCCTGGATAATTTTTCTTTCCGTTTTAGTGATATTTTAGAGTGGAGAGGAGATATGACGATGATGATGCTGGTGAGAAACGCACATCAAAATGGTATCCATCCGCGTGGTCGTATGTGTTCTAGCTATTTCTTTTCTCATCATCATCGTCATCAATCATTTTTCTCACTTTTTTGCGTTTTTTTTCCTTATTTTAAATTTTTCCTTCTTTCAAATTCACAAAATGGAAAGCGAAATTAGCGCAATAACGCTGGAAGCAACCAAGCTGCTGGCACGCATATACCCAACAAAACAAAACGAAACCACGCCCCTGATAGACCTTCCACCACCACCATCACAAAATACCAGCAGCAGCAGTGGAGGAGGAGTTGAGATCCTCGACAGTTTCTTTGCAGCCGACTTCATGATACACCACCCAACAAGGCGACCAACCAACACTAGCAGCATTATCGGCAACACCAGCAAAACAACCAATATGGACATTGAGGACGAATCCTACGGCACCAAATACATCAGGTACTTGAACAAGTTTCGGATAGAAAAGACCAAAGTTGAAAAGGGTAAAGACCTCGTGGACACCATTGTCGAAGCAATAAATGGGTCACCCGAAGTGGTGGCGGAGTACAAGGTGCGGGAGAGCATCTTGGCTCGCGCCATTATTGTACAGGCACAGATTGAGGCTGGGAAAAGGGACCGGGTGCATGGTGAGCGGTTAGCCGAGGAGTTTGTAAAGGCGAAGATGGACAATGGGCTCTGGTACAGTATCCAGGCGCACTTGCACTGTAGTGACAATAATGAAGATGCCTCTGCTGGTCGTAGCAGTGGTGGTGGCAGCAGCCCCGTGGTTGGTGTCGATGAGTTAGAGATGGCTGTGGAGCTTTTATTTATTTTTTCGCACTGGTCGCTCGCATTGAAGCGCAAGGAAACTGTGGCGCCGGGCGCGCAGTCGCTGTTGCGCGCGTGCTTGGCTGTAGAGCTTTTTTCGCGGTATGCGGCGCGTCAATCACAGCCGTCTTTGTCATCGGCATTGTCGCGCCGGCACCACCGCGCACACGGCCACCAACAGCAACAGCAGCAGCAGCAGCCTGATGTCGGGAGGCTGCAGCGGATACGGCTCGGACACAAGGCGCTGCACTTGTTGGACATTACGTGGGGAATTCTCATAGGGGACGAGGCCGAGGCCATGCGGCGGCTGAGTGGCAGCAGTAATGCTGAGGATGCTGGCAGCAGCGTGGCGACAAGGGGGCTGCGGCCCAGCGGCTTGGCTCGCGATGCGTTGAGGCAGATCCGCGACAGCTGTGAGCGATACCCGGAGCTGAGCGCCGAGGTGAACAACGATATTGAGCGGCTGCTGCCCTTTATTCATCCGTTTGACGGGCACTTGACGCGCAGCGCGCAGCTGGGCCGGTTCGGGCCGATCAGCAGCAGCAGTAGGGATCAGATCACGGCGCAGCAGACTGCCGATGCTGTGCATTCGGTCTCAATGCCCAGAGAGTCATTGGCAGAGGGTAGCCGCGGGACTGTGCCGAAGGCTGCAAGAGAGGCTGTTGCCGCGTATGTGCATGCGGCGCAATTGACGCGGTCAGAGCGCGAGTACGGCGAGTGGTGGCGGCGGCTTGTGGGCACGCGCGGGTGGCCGATGAGTCTGACCATCAATGGCGGCGTGCGCGGCAACGACATCATTCTCAATCCGCTGCAACAACAACAGCAGCAGCAGCATTTTCACGGCGGCATCATCGAGGCCGAGGACATGGCAGCATTGGAGCTGGCATTGGACAATAAGCTGGACCCGTGTGGCTGGCCGCCTGGCACCGATTCTGAACCTGGCGCTGGTGCGCGCGCGGCGTTCTATTGCGCGCTGTTTCCACTGTTGCCTGTGCTGTGTCGCGCGCTTGTGCGCACAATTGCTGCGTGGGCACCGGCCGAGCGCGAGCTTAGTGCGGCGCCGGCGCCGGCAGGGCTGGTTTCAGAGGTTTCTGGGCTGGGCATCATTGCATACCCAAAGTGGGAGCTACCGGCGTCAGCAGCAGCTGCTTCTGCCGCTGCTGCCACTGCTCACTTGCTGGGCGGTTCCAATGTCCAGCGCTTGGACCGCACAGCTAGCAGATCTGCCAGCAGCTCCAGCATCAACACTGCCAGCAGCAATGGCAATAGCAGCAGCAGCCGCAGTGCTAAGAATGGCGGCGGTGTTGTTGTTGTGGCGGGACTGGCGGCACGGTTGCTGACGCAATATTCCCAGTGGGAAGTCACTGGGCGGTTTCTCATGCGGCTGCTGGCAGGGCTGCAGGCCAACCATATTTTGCAAGTGGGGTACGTGGCGCAGTTGCTGGTTAACGAGAACATCATTCCAGCCATATTTTGGTGGCTGGGGACCGCCAATCTCCAGCTAGGAATCAGCCTTCCATTGGCTGTGCGGCGCCGCAGCTTTACAGCCGAGTACGCGCTCGAGCTGCGCCGAGTGGACCCGCAAGCCGTCCAGTCTTCATCATCTTTCTTGTCGTCTGCGTCATCGTCTGTGCTGCCGGCAAAGCAGAGTGCACTTTCCTGGCGGCCGGCGCTCCAAGGACTAGTCGACTGCTGCCGGGTGCTGCACCGGCTGACTGCGCACGATGGAATGCGCAAGGGGTTGCTGTACAAGAACAAGGCGCTGTATTTCTACTCGCGAGTCATGTCCGTGCCCCTACTGCCCCTGCGCCGAGTGGTCGCTGAGCTGTACCGGGACATTGTGCCTATATTGTCCCGGGCGAAGAAAATGGCTCATATGGATATCCTGTCTTGCGTATTTCTTTATGCTCCGCCGCTGCTGTCAGACTCGTACTGGTTGTCCGAATATTTTGTGGATCCACTGGTCGAGATGCATCGGCATGTGGAGCTGCTGAGGCTGTTGCATTTTTATCATTTTGAGTGTTTTGGGCTGTTTTTGCCGCAGAGTTCCGCCCTGTTTCCGTCATTAGTTGCTAGGGTTGTTGACTTGCCTCTGAAACCCGCTGATGCTAATACTGCTAATACTACTTCTGCTGCTGCTGGAGAGATCAGACCTAGGTCGGTGCCTGCCGGGAGGCACGGCAGGACAGCTAGCAGCGGGAAGTATAGAAGACCTGGGGTGGTTACACCGGCGCCAGCCAGCTGCAGCTTGCAGAGCGCGTCGGCCGCGGGTGTTTTGATGAGCGAACATAGCTGGATCAAGTGGGATTCCGAGCTGGAAGAAACACTGAATCAAGTTTACATCAACAAGTCATAAAAAAGCCCCTTTTGTAATTTTTTATTCGACATTCTGTTTTTGAGTTCTTAATGGCAAAGTTAAATATAATGTTTCAGCGAACGGCCTCTTTATCTTATCCCTCACATCCATGTACCGAACCATCTGGGGTCTTCTCTCCTCGACAGCATCGGCAATGGCCTGGTGTTCCTCAGCAGTCAACGGCAGTACATTCTTTGGAAGCTTTCTGCGCAGCACACGGTATCTGCTGCATATGCTCTGCAAAGATGCATTGAGATCGGCAATAACCTCATGCATATCTGTCTCTGTCGGGTGTCTGTATAACGCGCAGTGGTCCATAATTATCTGGTCCTCCTTTTCTGTCCACGTCCGGCGCTTCGCCCTTTTCTTCTTCCCGTTTGGTCCCCCAGTACTCTCATCTACGATAACTGACAGATCCTTGCCGTGCATCAAACCAGCATACCACTTTTCCGTATCTTTATCCATCTTCCCACCATTGGGTAACGGCGTGTTTGAGCCAGATTGTCTGAAGGATTTTAACATATACGTGGCAATAAATTTGCAATGCTGGGCGTCGCGGTGGAGGGTGTGGGATACGTGAGACCAGTCAGGAGTAAGTTTGCGAACTTCGTGCTGGTGTGTGTATAAAAACAGCGCTCGTCGTTCGCTTAGTGACCAGAGTTTTTGTGCGCGGTGGTGTGTGCTGTTTGTATTATCATTGCCGCTGTTGCTGCTGGTGCTGTTGTGCCAATTTGGGTGTGCTGGGAGGTTGGGTTTCAGGAAGGTCAGAGTGCGAATTTGGCGTTGAGTCCAATGTAGAGGGCGGATAATGTATTTTAAACTAAACATTGAATAGGGAGTCGCTTTGTTGTGTGGTTGAGATTTTTTGAAGTAAATGTAATGTATGAAAAAGGCTATTTGAACTAAAAAACGCAATATAAAATAATTGCTTAAAATGTTTACAGCTAATCCAATACGCCTTGGCGTATGGTTAATAGTCACGTTTTTAATTATTCTTTATGCGTTTTAAAAATAAAATTATTGTCATATTGACGCCATCAATTTTCCAGTACAGGGCGATTTTTCGACCAATTCGATTAATAAAATTTTTTATCTTTTAATTTTAATTTTAATTTTAATTGTAATTGTAATTGTAATATTACTTTCTCCAAAAATGTTTTGGATGTGGTTATTTCAATGTCACCACAACGCAAGGAATAACATGCCTGCCTTTAATGGGCAAGAAATGTTTAAAAAAAAATCACCACAGCTTCATGCAACTGTTTCATCGTCCAATCCTTTCTTGTATTATTAAACCATTTTTTGGCTTTATAGCTAAATATCAAGGGCATTGTTGCATAGTAGTTGAGGCTGAACTAATTTAACTGGTCTATGATACAGCCTTTGGAGAAATATTGGTTGAGCTTTTTCCGGTTACCTGGGTATTCTCGTTGCTTTGGGGTATTAGGATTACAATGTTGCTGTTTGGAAGCAGCTCTTCTTTTTTAATTGCGGTTAGTCTTTTTATGTCAGTTTTTGATCGAGAGGAGTCTGATACATGCCTATGTATTTATTATTAGTGTATGTGCAATTGATACGGTATGTTTTATTAATGACCATAGAGTAAGGTGAGATGTCTTTTTGAGTGCTTGTTTTATGTTTAGATGGATGAAAAAAAGTTGTGTGAATAGGCTAGACTGAAGTGAAGGAAAAGTATGAAAAAGTATATTTAATGTCTGCTGTCACAGAATGAAGTTTATATCCTTGAGCAGTCTGATGATATGGAAGTGGATGTCGAGGTTGAGAATCGTGAAACGGGTTTTCATCAACATGCCGATTGACAGGCTATAGGTGGTACTATGTAGGATCAAATCAGGGGACATAATAATGATATCCTGATATACCCCTCGTTTCATAATGTACACGTACGGATGCGTATATGCAAAGGCTGCTCAACAATAAAAACGTTGGTTTTTTTAAAGCATTCATAGAGTTATGATTTACAAAATAAATATAGTCACTTGTCTATTTTATTTTTTTGCAAAAAGTAAATATGTAAAAACTACTTACTTTTTGTCTTCCAATAATATGTCATCATTATGCCAACGTGCTACAAGTTTCCATGGTTAATTAAATAAATGTATAGTAAAAAAAGAACCTATTTTTTTAACATTTCGTTATATAGTGGTCAGCGCGTTTTTTACAACTTGCTTTATTTTTCTTTGCTTATCGATGGCAACTTTGAAGTGAAGAAAATAAATTAAACAAGTGATTTAATCAAGTTTTTGTATTGTATAGGATGGGCATTTCTTTAACAAAAGCGTCAATGCGGGTTATTATCTTGCTGTCTTGATTATGAGTATCTTAACGTATAACAATGTCTTGCCGCTGTATTCTGGGCATAAGGGCAGGCAGCGAGCACACATGTTGAGTAGAGCCTTTCTTCGTTTCTTGCCACCCCTGGGTTGAACAAGTCTGCTAAATAGTTGATTATGGCAATGGGCGAAATCGGATCCTCCTCTTTAATGTTGGTAGTGCTGTGCAACACTGCTTTGCTATGCTTTATCAAAAACATTATTTTTATACTCATATTTTTATTAGGAAGTTATTATAAAGCCATCAAAGTCGCTAGAAAAGAAACTAATATTCCTCATAATGACCACATAACATACTCATCAAGGGCAATAAACCTTTCCTGTTTCCCAATCCGACAACTTTGGGTTCATCGTAGCAACGCACATAGGATGTGCCCAGCGCACCCGCCCTGCCGCCGGCGGCGCTTCAGTATCAGTCTCAGCACCAGCACCAGCACCAGCGCTAGCGCCAGCGCCAGCGCCAGCATCAGCCTTGGTGTCATAGTCATTGCAACGCACAACAACGCCATTGAAAAACCCACGACAAACCACACAACTCTCTTCCGCAATGCCTCCACTACCACCAGCAGCAGCAGCATCAGAAATCGATCGGTGGGTTTCCAAACACTGTTTAACGCCACAGACCCGTGCCGAAGTAACCATTAGATCATCATCTGTACCCTGCTCATCCTCATCCACACCCATAGTTTCCTGCGCATGTGCCTGTGCTGTTCTCGACCGCGTGCCAATCCGATCACCTCCACTCTCCGAACACACTGGCAGTGAAAATGGCACCATTGGCAATCTCGGCGACAATGACCAAGCGTGTTTAAACTCCACGTGCACATCGGGAATAAACCGGGCACACAAATAATGCGCAAATATCCGACCCTCCGCTGCTGCTGCTTCACCACTACCCATGCCGCGCATGCCACGCACCGGCAGCAAAACGCCATTCTGATACGCACACAGAGCACAGGACAACTGATCCGTATCCATAACGCAATTCGCACACTTATAGTCCATATGACCACGAGCACGAGCATAAGCGGAGGGCTCTAGCGCACAGCATAGTGGGTGGACAGTCAGCCCGCATTGCTGACATTCGACGTAGTCCGCGCGAAGAAGATCCATTGGCAAAAGACAGCCGCCGCAGGTACCCACTGGCGTATGCAGGGAGGCTGCAAAGTAGTGCGGATCCAAATCCAGCTCAGTTCCAGGTTCCGCTGGTGGCTCCACGGGTGGCTCCGCTGGCGGTTCAGGTACAGGCTTGGGCGCGGGTTTCCGTGTGCGATACACGGGGCGTTTCGCTTTAGGCTCTTCGGGCTCGTGTTCGCCTTCATCCTCTGCTGCCACAGCTGCCACAGCTGCCTTTGGCGAACATTTGTCGGTGGATTTGCGCTTAGCCGTGGCCACCGCCACCGCCACAGCCTCGGTCTTGCGCGGTCTCCCAATCGGTCTCTTCACGGCAACCGTAGAACCAGCGGCGGCTGCAGCAGAAGGTAAATATTTCTTCTTTTCTGCCACTGCTGCCGCCGCATGTCGTCTCTGTGCAGCCCTCTTCTTCGGCAAACTCACCGACTCCACCACCATATCCACAGGCCCCTCACCCCTTCTCCCACGTGCCTCCTCGCCAAACCACTCCATCAGATCAATCGTCACCGAATCCTTCACGCACTCGCAATGCCTCGACAACGGCGCGACCTCGAGCCACCGGTCAATGGCGAAATTCACACTCTCCGCGCAATTAAATCCATGATTAAACCCAGCATGATACCCCAATGGAAACGTCAAAATAATCTCCCCGGCTCTCTGCACAACGCGGTTGAACGGAATCCCCTGCGACGCAAGAAACCGCGGCGATAGTAAAAATGCTTTGTGCCGGAGAAACTGTGAGCATAGTTTATGGTCTCCGGCGAAAACATTCTGCATGGACATTTCGAAGCGCGCGCGTGCCTCGACAGGGATGGCATACCAGGCTTTGGGGGAGCCAAAGTGGATGTAATTGATCGAGTACAGGTCCATGTCCTCGACATGCCAGGCGAAAGTTGCTTTCCACATGCCCAGGTACAAATACGGGTCGTTGACGCCCGGCATCCGCTGGTCGATTCGGCGCAGAAGGCCGGGCAACCGGCGGATATTCCATGTGGGAAAGTCCTCGACCGGCGGAAACAGCGTGCCAAGCACGTCGGCGCCGTACATCGGCGGCTGAAACAGGAGGTTCTTCCAGTACATGCGCTCGAGCTCTTCGTTTTCCGCGTACTCCGCCGACGACACGAACAACGCGCGCCCGTCGCGTGCAAATGAGCGCGCTGGCCGCACACCGTTGTGGTCTGCAGCCGGCTCCCCATCCGTCTGCGGCCGCGGGCGGTACGATGCTGTGGCCGGCTGGAACTTCGCCCGGGCGCTCTCCGACCGCACACCCTCGCGCACCGCCGCCGCCGCCGCGCTCGTCAACCGCACATCACCAGTCCCATAATCCACAGCCACGCCCACGGTCTCCGACGCATAGACCGCCGGCTCCGCACTCTGCTGCTTCTTATGAGCTTTGTCCCCCCTGCTGCTATTGTCCTCGGCACCGGCCTTGTGCTCCGGCACTCGGTGGCTGGCGTCCTGCGACGTTTGGAAAAACTGCGCCAGCTTGACCTTGCGGTGGAACTCTACGTTGTACTGGTGGAATATTCCGCTGTTGCCGTTAAAGTGCTGTACAATCGGCTTGAGAATGGGAAAGTCCTCTTCGTCAAACACTCGCACTCCAGCACTGCCCTCGAGCTCGTCGCGCCACTGCGTGGGCGGCACAATCTTGCAGATACCCGCCCGCAGTGCCAGTGGCTCAATGGCTGATACCAAAGCCTCAAAGTCGCTGAACTGCTCTGTGCTGGGGCAGAACACCGGCACGGAGGAGTTTGGGTAAAAATAGTATTCGATCGCCTGCCCGAAAAGTTCCGGGTAAAATATGCTCGCTGCATCCGCGTCTGAAGCGGAAAACTGCTGCTGCTGGTGCTGCTGGTGTTGTGTTGACGATGGTCCTGTGGACCGGTTAGGTGGCAAAGAGGTCTTGTGTGCTGAGGAGCTATGAGAAGAGGAGGCGGCAGCGCGCGGCAGACTGTTGGTGGCTTTTCTCATAGCCATACTTGCACCTGCCCCGGCGGATACACGACTGCGCATAATCATTGCTGTGAATAGAATATGAATAAAAGAGTGAGAAATAAAGGTTGCTGAGGAATTTATATAAAAGAAAGCAGGGAAATAAAAGAGAGGGAAATGTAGGAAAAGGGGCTTTTTTGTGTGTATGTGTGCGTTGCGTGCTTTGTTATTGTGCGTTAGAAATTTGAATAGTAATATTAATAACCGAAATTGAAAGTTGAAAATTTAAAAGTGAGAAACAAAAAAGGAGGCGTAAAAATATTGAATAATGGAAAAATAATGGAAAAAAACCACAATAAAAGAAAAAAGCAATCAACAAAAAGAAAAAAGAAAACGAATATTTGTTAACTTTTTTCTGTTTCCTATTTCTTGGCAAAGCGCAGCAGCATCAACAGTGGGCAGCAGTGTAGTAATCGCCATAAATGATGTCCAATAGCTATTTCTTAATACAAAAGCTGAGAAAACCTCCTGTTGAGCCTCCTTCTCTGCTGCGATTTTATAGGCAGCTATAAAACTGTGGCCGCTGCTGCATTAATGCCTGCCTGCTCAGCATTGACTTGGCTCGCAAGCCCTCGGCTCAGCTGAGCTTATGTGGTGAGAATCACCACAAGCAGCAGTATGACGATAAAAAATAAAGAGCAACCATCAGCCCATTTCGCCTATTGTATATTTACTGCTTTTAATTATTTTTTGTTCTTTTCTTCTGACGTCGTGTGTCCGGTTATCAATCTTCTTTTTATGTCGGGCTGGGGTTCGGAGGGGCTGTAATAAAAGGGAGAGGCGAAAGCATTGGAAATTTGTCAGCTGTTCGCGAGAAAATAGAAGAGAAGAAAAATCGTCCAACACCCCAAAACCCCTCTCCCCTGTGCACCCTCACTGCAGAAAAAAGAATCAGGCCATTACTCATGTGACAATCAGAAAATAAAAAATCACCGAATCACCGAAATCTAACGAAATCTAACGGATGCACTCCAGCACATAGCTGTCGGGCATCTCCCTGGTCTTCCGGTCCAGCACCCACGCGACCTTCTTTCCAACGCCGATCTTCCCGGCCTTCTCGCGCTCAAAGAACTGCAAAACCTGCGCGCGGTTCATGCCAAAATCGCCCGCCTGGGGATTCTCCCCACTGACCACCGCGAGAATCTCCCTCTCGCTCGGCAGCCCAAACGCATGCGGGTACTGGTCAAACGCCGCATCCGCATTAATGAACGATAGCTGCTGATGATCAGTTTTCCCAGCACTGCCGCTGTTGCCCTCAAAGTACTCCTTGTGCAGCGCGCGCATATCCACAGCCTCGAGAGTCGAGGGCTGCCACTGCGGGTCATTGGTTTTGCGCACAAGCAACGCTGCAATGCCCTCGTGCATATCTGCGGAGCCCAAGCGGTGCTCGGCAAGCCGCAGCTCCAGGGCGAATGCCTGTTGGATGTTGAGCCGGCGGCCGGTGCGCAGCTGCTCGAGAGTCAGCTTCAGCGACGACGGCGAGACGGCCGAGAGCACTGCCAGGGTCTGGCGTGCCCACTCGGGCTGCTCGGTCTCCTGCTTGAGCGCCTCGACGATGGCCTCCATGTTATTGAACGCAAAGCAGCGGTCAATGGCATTGCGCAGGGGCGCCAGAGAGTACTCGATCTCTGAGAGGTCCTCAGGCTGCGCAGAGAACTCCTCGATCGCCTGGTTGATCACCGCGTGGTCGCGGGTGCCGATCTCCTGCAGGCGCTTCTCGAGCATCGGCAGCCGCTCCGACGGCACATAATGGGTGGCAATCCCGGCATACAGCAGGTCTCTGCCCTTAAGCCTCTGGCCGGTCAGCCCCAGGTACGTGCCAGTTTGCCCATCCATGCGCGGCAAAAAGAACGTCGCTCCGACATCCGGGAAAAACCCAATCTTCGTCTCCGGCATCGCAAACACCGTTGACTCCGTCGCCACCCTAAAAGGCGCATGCATCGAGAGCCCGACGCCGCCGCCCATAGTGTATCCGTTGAGAAGAGCCACCAGAGGCTTCTCGTACGTGGCTATCAGGTGGTTGGTCTGATACTCGTCTTGGAAAAACCGCATTGCTGCGCTGCGGTCGCCGCGCGTCCACTTGTTGGATACGTCGACGACGTCGCCGCCGGCGCAGAACGCCTTTGCACTGTTGGACCGCAGGATGACGATGTCGCAGAGATCGGATTGCCGCCATTCCTGAAGGTGCCGCCGGATTGACTGCACCATTGGGTGAGTCAGCGAGTTGAGCGCCTTTGGTCGGTTCAGAACCAGAGACCGACCGGTTAGGTTGTTTACCGTCAGCACGTCGCGGTCGCCCTCGGAAGTTGGTTTGGTTGAGATCTATTTGTGGAAATTCTGTAATGCTTTTTTGTTAGGATTTAGTTCTTTTTAAAAAAAACCCTGAATTGATGCTAGAGGGTTATCAGGTTTTGTGTGTGTGAATTCAAGAAATGTTTTTTACCATTCGTTGGATTCCTGCGAGACGGCGAGTTGCTGTTTTCAATTGAATTGAAGATTTGGTAAGCGAAGCTGCTGCGCCCACCGTCAAGTTCAATTTGCTTGCAAACATAATAAATACTACAAACGTAATGAGAAAATATATAAAAAAGAAAGAGAGTGTGGCTTTATTGAAAGTAAGAAAAAAAGTGATGAATAATAATTAGAAAAGGTGTGAGAACGGTAGACAATGCCTGAAAAAAAGAGATTTCAAAGTATGCGATAGCGCAAAAAAACGGTCAGCTATATATTTTTTATCAAGTGATTGAAAGAAGAAAGAAACATATGATTGGCTGTTTGATTTTCACCCGCAACCTTTGCACCGCCTAAATCAGATCCACGAAAATCATCACTCACTATTTTCTGTCTGAGCGAGATCAACAATATGTCATCTCGAAACATCAACTCTGAACTAAAAAAACATATTTTACACCTAATTAACATATGTCTTGCATATATAATCAATTTTGTAAGCTATCGGGTTGCCATGCGCATCTCGAAGTTTAGTGTAAAAATACAGCGTGCCAGAATACCCGTCAACTGTCTGGAAAAAAGATGGTAGGCTGTTTTCATGAATGTCCAAGCCACAAAGCGAATCCGTAGTTTTAAACATGGCGTCGATACGGTCAACTATAGGATATCTGTATAAGTTTCTGCTTTCTAATTTTGCCATTTCATTCGCCTGAATGTACAAGCGCTTACACGACCATGACTGGTCAATATGCAGCGGACCCTTGTATTTATTTTTAAAATATTTGGCATAAATAAACTCTCGGGACGACATTGCTAGAACAAAATAATAAATATATAATGTGTATGAAAATATAAAACTATGCTTAAATGTATAAATAAAGCAGGTCTTTTCTGTCTAGAGCCGGGGGAAAAGACGCATCTTAAATACATCAATTATAATTTACTTTTTGCTTTTGCATAATAATGACAAGGCTGGCTAATGCCCAACAAAATTAAAAGGCTACTTTTAAATATCAAGTGTTTAAGTAAAAATTGGTATGTAAACCATTGTCACATGGATACTGGACAATCACGCAATAACGTTAATTAAATAAGAAAATATAGCGCAAAGTCGACCTTTTTTAATAAAATTGACTCACTTATTTCAAACAAAAATGAGCAATGTGATAGTGACATCATTTCTCTTTATTTCCCCCCAAAAAAATTGGTTTTATTCAAAGCAAACGTGTGCCTAAAATCCCAACCTTACTCTCAAAAAAATATACAGCACTTGAAGTTGAGTTTGTTAATAAAGTGTGCAGCATAATGGTTGTATTGTTATACTTTGGCTGCAAGACTTTGCAGCACATAATTCATAAGAGGTAAGCTGCTTAAATTTGAGTGTTGAAAAGTGTTTATTTCTGCTTTCAGGTCAATAAATAACATACCGCTTGATACATTAACCATATCCCGCGTACACTATTATTTTTAGGTGTATAGCGCAAAACCTTGCATATATAAAATTGTACATAGGTTGCTTGTTTTGTATTTACGGCAAAATTTTAAAATAAAAAACTAATATTGATTAATTGCAATACATGCTCCGTATTAAAGCGCTTATTTTGGGGTTTGTAGTTTGTTTAGACAAAAAATATCTAATGCCAGTTGGTCAATTTAGCTGTTCCCTGCGCCCTGTGTGGGGGTCGAACCCACGACATTTCGGTTAAAAGCCGAACGCTCTAAACCAACTGAGCTAACAAGGCAAACTAGTCTGAACTAGGCGTTATCACTGAAAATAATTTAATAGTAGGGAGGTTGGTCGTACGCCAATTCTTTTTAACAAAATAGTTGAATAAATCTTGGCACTTTTGAATTGCTTCTCTATGAAGACCTAAAGTGCCATGAGTTAAATAGTTAAATAGTTAGATAGTTAGATAGCCAAATAGTGAAATATTTAAATATTTAAATATACATGCATTATAACTAAATCAACTAACATCAATTCGCTTTTAAAAATGCTTGTTAAGGCCCGAGTAATAGAAAAAATAAATGGCTTATTGAAATAATTGTTGAGAGAAACCTCGTCAAGCACACTTGTAGTCTGTCTGGAAACAATTAGTTATATTTAGTAGGTTAGATGTTAAAAACCCATATCGGTAGTAGAAAAATCAGTCGCGCGCTTTAAAAATACAAATGAAATTATTTTTAGCTTGTGAATCGACTCAAGATAAAAACACAAAGAATATATAATTAAATAATAATGAAGACCCCATGCTCTCAATTGTGACCAATCGGTTCTTTGTTTTGGAAGTGTTTTTAGTCAAGTATTGGGATATGATGCAATAGTGACAATGTCGATAATATCGACAATTATATAGCAAGCGTACATGTATTTGCGGTAAACAAATGTATACTTTTTTACTTATCAGTAGCAGTAAAAAAAGAATATATTATGTACAGGAATCTAAAAACATATAAATATGCAGGAATACATCGTGGCAAAAAAAGGAAATTATAACAGTTCCTTCATCTCTGTAGCTCGCATGTTGTTATACTTTGCTTTGCATTGAGCGCTTGTCCTTGTACCAACATATCGCGCGCACTCAGCCCAATTCTTGCGGCCCTCCACACAATCCAAATACTGCTGTAACCGCTGTGTTTCCTGTGTGAGCCACTTTTTGTTCTGCTCTTCATACTGAAAAGGCACAAGCTTATCATTAAGCCTGGGTGATGAGAAAGTGGTGGAATATTGTGTGGGTTCGGACGATTTTGATTTATGAGCGTTGTTGTTTGCCATACATTGAATGATGGCATTCTGTATGTCTTCCTCAATACACAGTGGGTGCTCGGCAAGGACGACTGCTTTGATTGCGGCTACGCTAAAGTAGCTGCCGTTTCTGTTGACAATTTCCTGAATTGAATCTATTTCTTCCTGGGACAGTTCGGCGACCATGCTGTCGTACACAGGGCTCTTCTCAAATGAGGATGGGCCGTAGGACATTGTTGAGTGCCGTTAATATTTGGTAAGGCTGGCGTTATAGATGGGTTGCTGAACGGCTGAACGGCTGAACGGCTGAAAAACCAAAAAGATGAAATTAGAGCTCAAAAATAATATTGAAGGAAAAAGAAAAATCTTGGCATCGAAGGGAGTGAGTTTATATATAAATATAATGGGGGAACGAGCAGACGCACAAATTGTTTAATTATCACAGGAAAATAAATGGGTGCGTTCATCCTTCGGATTTCCTCCCCGCAGAGCAATTAATACGGCCGAAAAAGCTGTACAAAAAATATATTCGAAAATTGACTTGCGCATTTTCCTTCCAGCCTTTTTGGGCTATTTTGCGTTTTGATAGGAGTGTTCGTTCAATTTTAATAATGCAAATCAGTAGCAGCAACATTTTTCGACATTGTTTTTTGAAAATTTGATTTACAGACTTAAACTGCTCTTACTAAAATGAACAAAGGCTTCGTTTAAGGTGCTGACTTAGAGAAGAAACAAGAAAAGAGTAAAAAAATAAACGACTGAACAAATTTTCAGAAAAATACAAAGGAAAACATTATTTTTATCAAAGCCCTGTTTTTTATACCTTATAAAGAGCTGCTCGTTTTTTTGTGACAAGCTGTGCCCACTATTATTGGTTGCACTTTTTTTATTTTTTTATATTACTTTTTCTCCCCTTCGCTTGTGCTCATGTTTATATCCTTTCTACTCTACTCCCCTATTTTTGAGTATTTCAATGCGCCAGACTTTTGAGAAAATATTGTATTATCAGTTGAAGCATTTATGCATTTATATGGGAGGCATATTTTTTTTAAAAATATAATTACAGCTGTCGAATTAATTGTTAGATTCGCCAACATTTACTGATAGACATGCAATTGGCACAAGCATTTTCTGTTGCAATGGTTGTTATTTTTTTGCTGTTTTAACTGAAAAATAAACCAACTCCGACAACACCAACATCAATAACTTTTTTTCATTTTTTATGCGTTAAGTGGTGACGACCGAACAAGTTCAAAGGTTGAATTGGATGTGGGAGGTGCATTAATGTTTGGCATATCTGAATGTGCTGATTGACGCGGCGAAACAAAGGTTTTCTTACAAAATTAACAGATAAACCCCAAAATGCCATTATCAAGCTGTTTTGAGAAAGAAAAAACCAGTTTCCCAATGGACGTGGTCAATCATCATTAGTAAATCACTCATGTCTTTTGTGTGAGTTTGCTATGTGGAATCGGTGGAATGGCAAAGCAGCTGGGAAAAAAGGTTTATTTTTCAAAATCAGTTATGCACTGCCAAGCATGAAATAACCTTCGCTACAGAATAAAGTCGTTTGTTTACACTTGGCGGTTGGGGGAACCTATCCAGATAATAATACTATTATGACATCCCCACTTTTTTACCAGCTGAATTAGTTCTCAGACAATGATGGTCACACAAATAAAACCTGTTCTCCTTTTTTACTTTCCTACTTTCTAATTTTAACTGTAGGATCCATGAGAGCACAAAGTGGTTTGGATCTACCATGTATTTTCTACTTGTCTTTCAAACGAACAAAAGAAGTACTAATCACTTTTTTCTTTTTTGGTTTGTTGTTTTGTGTGATAAAAAACCAAATTGCTTTTAAAAATGAGACGTTGACATTAACGGCAACGAGTTTTAGAGAGCGTCAATGAGAGGAGAAGGAGAGCGTAATAAAAATTGAATACCGCGGATTGCTTTGTAACAGTCAAAGTTGAAGGAGCTACTAAGCCAAAAACCCCAGTGTGAGCATGTGGAGCCAAGTCCGAAATTTGTATGAAAGTGTAAAAATTGGCATTGCCGCATCCCTGCATACAAATATACACAGAACTACTTTGGTTGCAGACAGAAAGCATAATAAAAATCTGAAAGGAATGGATACCCATGTGCCACTTAGTACTTTTGCATATTATAAAATTGGTTATTTTTCGTTTTTTTCTTTAATTTTTTGTTGCTTTCAAAAAAGAATAGAAAAGTGGATGCTGAGCGTGGGTGATAGAAAGGGTGAGAGGAGGGGCAGCGGAATCTGCACTTGGCTCTCTTTTTTATAATGCAGTGCATAAATCCCTTTATAAAAAAGAGATTAAAAAGCGCAAAAGGGGCAGTGCATTTTATAAAGCACTATTTTTTGCACTCTATTGTTTTGCAGAATGAACATAAAATAAATAGAAAAACTAAGTGTTCTTAGTCTCAATCCTACCTCACTTTTCTTTTTATTTTATCATTCTTTTCTAGAGAACAGTGGCAGTTTTATTTGCTTTGAAATAAAAAGTAGCAATAATGGACAAAGACCATGTGCACACTGTCAGTTTTTCTAATTTTTTGTTTTGTTAGCTGGCCTTGTTGGTGAGTATAAGAATACGGCTATTTGTCCTCCGAGGAAGAGCAGAACTACTTTTTCTATTTAGTTTTCTCATCTATTCATATTCACTATTGCATTAAATTTTATCTCAACATATTTGTATACTTAGTACCAGCTACACAACACAACACAGCATAACTTAGCAAAACAAATCATTTTCTGTACTTTTATTTTAATTAGACTTGTTACCAGTTCATCTATTTGGTTTACTCACATTCGCATTATATTTTCACGCACAAGCAAGCAGCCACAACATTGCTCCAGTCAGTCTGACAACAAAAATCACAAACACAGCTCCACACACACATAAAAGGTTCATATTCTTTTAACAAGTACAATCAATTCTGTTAGTTTCCCCATATACCCCCCACATCAATGTCGTACTCATTCATGAAGCGTTACAACCGCCTATGCATGCGGCCCGCCGGCGTCCGCAACCGGCACAGCCTGACTGTAGACACGCGGTTTGTCATTGCACACACAGATTTTGAGTCGCAATACAATGGTATCTTGTCCATCCGCAAGGGCGATATAATCCGGGTCAAGCAAGGCGGCGACGGTCATCCTAAATGGTGGCTGGGGACAGTGATTAGAAGTTATGAGAATACAAAGGGCCATGGTTATTTCTTCCCCGTCCTTACTGAGCAGTACAACTTCATGGATAATAGGATTGCGTCGCGTATTCCAATGGCTCTGCTGGATATCCATGGACATTTCCGCAAGTACGACAAGAAGCGTGTGCGCACCAAGGCCTAAGTAATATTAAAATTAAAGCGGTTGTCTATTTTAGTTCTCTCAATATTGTAACAATATGTACTCCAATAAAGTATTTTTTCATATCAACAATTTTTTTTATTTTTTTGTAAAAAAGATATACAAACATTACATTTTTTCTTTCGAAAATAAGCTCAAAAACATTTAAGCCTTGTAGAAATCCTGAGTCCAGTACAGACCGGCCTGGCCAAAACCAACATGGGTGTAGTCACCAACCATGTTAACATAATGGCCGGAGCTCTTGGTCCACGCGCTCATAACGCTAGCAACATCCTGCTGGTTCCAGGCAATGTTTTCAGCAGCGCCCTTCCAGGCAATATGGCGAGAAGAAAGACGAGTGCCGAGGGTGCCGTTAGGGTCGCTGTGGGTCATCGAGTGAATGGAGTTCTCGTACTCTGAGTGCGACTGTGCAACGGTGTTCAGGGTAGTGTCCATAATCAAAGCACTCTTTCCGGCAGATGCACGCACGGCGTTAATCTTGGCCAGCATATCGGTTCTCCAGTCGTTGGACACGGGAGCAGTGTAGGTGGGCTTGGGGGCAGTGTAAGTAGGCTTGGAGGCGGTGGTGTAGGCGGCAGCCACGGTGGTCTTGGCAGCGTGAGCCACGGGGGCAGCCTGGGTGGTTGCGTAGGTAGGCTTGGCAGCAATGGCGGAAACCGAGGAAGTGGGCTTGGCGGCGGCAACGGCAGTGGCATAGACGGTCTCGTAAACGGTCACAATAACGAGGTTGCGGGGAGCCAGGGCCTCAGCGACAACAGGCTGAGCGCTAGCAAAAGCACCAAAAAGGGAAGCAAGGAAAAGGGCAGAAGCAAACTTGACCATTTTTAAAAACAGGAAAAAAATTATTTAAGAAAGGATTTCGTTAAAAGTGAAAAGTTGTACGTTAAAAAAGCTTAATCTGGTCAACAGAATAAACTATAATTGCTGATATTTGTTTTAAAAACGTAAAAAGGAGAGGAGGAAACAAGAAAAAATGAACGAAAGATATTGAGGAAGACAGAATTTTGGTCGACCTTTTATAACAAAAAGTTTGCAAGGTTTTCGTTCTGCTGTATTTTTTCACATTCCCAAAGGTCTTATTTTTCTTCTCTCCCCCCTTTGGGCCATGCGTTCTCACTCGGGACCATTGTGTGCTAGCACAAACGGCAACAAACAAAAGGGTGAAAATTTTGAACAGTATATCCGCTTCAGTTTTGGTGAACAATATGGATCTACGATTATTTTAACTATTATCTAGTAAGAAAACAAAGGGAGAAAAGGGGGGGGAAGATGTAGTGCACAAAATTTGGGGGAGTCAAAATTGGGTTGAGGAATGTCCATTTTCCTTGTCCTGCAATATGAACAAAGTTAATATCATCCAATAATATAATTTCAATGCACTATTAACATTTTATGTGGCAAAAAATATTGAGTAAATTGCTCACAAAAACGTGTTAAATTTTTTAGTTTTTACCCACAGCTTGTCTTGTTTCTCGTTGGCTGGTAAAAATTGGTGCTATATTTTCGCAAACGGACGAGTCTCAATAAAGTTTGTAGCAGTGATTGGACCAATGAACGGGTGAAGCCGATTATTTGGGGATTGGTAAAAAAAAAGTTTTCACATTCACATACACACACTGTGAGGAGATTGTCTGACAACGGACTGTTTGTACCGTCCCATCCGGAATTCAGCATTTTCTCAATATAACAAAATAATGCTATTTGACCAATCACCTATTTTGCCCACAGTCAAGCGTAAGCTTTTTTCATGCTCACTAGCAAAGTGAGAAAAGTGAAAGGTTGAGAAAATACGGAACCTACAAGATTAAATACTGAAAAGAAATACCTTATTAAAAACGTAGAATATTGGTATCACTCTACTGGGCTGGCTCAATAGTCATATTGCGTGATTGTACCCAATTGCAATATGCGCCTAATAACCGATGGAGTTCCTGATATAATCACACTCACTGAACAATGTTTAATGGAAATATAATAGGCCGATAATTGACCAAGAGTAAACGATTAGTGATATGTTGATTTGAAATTAATTTCACAATAATTATATGACTTAATTTTGTTGGCTATTTTGTTTCCTTGGCTTGGTGATAACGCAGTGGTTCAGGATGGATCCGCACAAACACAGTTTAGAAATCTTCATTATTCAAAAACCTGGAAGCGAGATAAAATAGATCCATTGAGCGAAATATAAAACAAGCAAAAAACAAAAATTAATGATTAAGGCTGATTGTCTACTATGCCACCTTACCCATCATGGGCTCTATTGAGGAACTTGAATACATGCCTCTATAAGAAAAATATTCTAGGGGTGGGGGGTAGTGTGGTTTGAAATTATCCAGATCTGGGCCTAATTGCCTAGCGGTGGAAGTGTCCACTAGGTGTCTTCAGCTTATCGCGGATTTGGTATTTTGGATGTTTGTTAAGATTAGAGTTCTCATCAACAATCGGCATTTCTCAGACAGCAAGGATCCCTGCATTTCCCATTCGATTTGCAGGCCACAGTGTCCCTTGTACCAGTCATTCTGTTTGCCTACAATCTCGTTTAAAAACACCATTTCTTGTTTTGCGCGCTCCCCTTGGAGTTTATTGACCAGCATTGTGTACCTGCCCTCTGGCAGCTCCTGCCATCCGCGCCTCATATCCAGGTCCAGCTTCTTGTCCTGTTAGTAAGCGCCCACACGTTTCTTGAGATCCTCCAATAGGACATCTGTCGATCCTGGATATACCTGGAGTCTGCTGACCATCTCAACCACAAGATCTGCGGCTGGGCCCAATTTGTTAGGAATGAGGAATGAAAAGTTCCAACATGGCTTATAATTGTTGAAATATGTACGTTCTGTGAACGAGATATAAACAATATAAACAATATAATACTATGTATTTAATAAGGGGTATACTATGAGTGCTATGCACTGGAGAGGTAAGAGAGAGTAATTATGTGGTATGTGTCACTGTGTGACTAAAATGATAGGCAATGTAGTGTGAGCATGCCTGGCTGAATCCAGCTCTGGAAGGTCGACAACAACAATGAAGGCTGGTTGATCAGTTGATCCCAATCCATTTATAACTTGAAACAGGGTAGAATCAGTAGTGTGGTTATGCTTACTATTAATAGTGGTGTTAATAAATGCATTGAAAAATTAATTAAACACAAAAATGAATGTGGTTTTTTCTAGAACCTTGGTCCGTTGCCTTAGTATTTAATACAATTCGAGACAAGCGAGTATGGCCGTGTTGTTTGTTGTAAAAATCAACGTACAGAGGCGACTGGCAAAGACGGCGCACAATGTATTCCTGTTTAATGCCACCAGTGTTCAAAATTTGCTGAATGCATAAGTTGTCCAAAAGGGGATCGATGATAACAGTAGTTAATCCTGCTGCATTTACATAGTAATTTACTCATCAAGTGTAAATTTAAACTTCTAAAAACATATTCCAAGTGCACTAACATCAGATTCAATATTTATTATATTATTGTTATTACTGTTATTAAAAGTTGTACCCAATTCTGTCTTATTATAACTTTTTACCTAAATTATTTAAATTATTTTTTATATATGATTTAATTGTTTTGAAGCTCTTTTTTTGTAGTATGGCATGTAACATGAATTATTATTTTACTATCTTTGTTAAACGTGGTTGGTGCATTAACTTGGCACAGATAATCATAAAAATCTGTTGAATATTCACAATTAGCTTTATAATTTGAAACCATAGTCAGTTAATATAAATCTAATATATAAATCAGAATTGTAAATAGTGTTGCACAGACCGAAGATATGGAAGTGGATGTTGAGGTTGAGAATCATGAAACACGTTTCCATCTGCATGCCAATTGATAAGGTGCTAATTGGATTATCCAAGAGTAAATTAGGGAGGCATGATAATGATGCCCAGATATACTCCCCATTTTGCAATGCACACGCGTGAGTGCATACACACGAAAACCACAACACTGACTTGCCAAGCTACCAGTCTGCTCACAGAAGAACCAGTTCTCGCCAACAGTGCACAATTGGCAATGTACACAACAAAAACGACGAGGCACATATATAAGACGAGGCCAGCGCTAGTAGTATTTTAGAAACATTAGTAATAAAACCCTTTATAAAATCACCCCTACTTTTCTAACACTAGATAACTAGTACTTTTTACACCCCCTATTACATAAAAATAGCTAGTGTCAATTGTAAATATATGTTAAAATCTGGCTAATAATTTGATGAATAATTGTTTGATAATATAAACTGTTGATAATGCAACATATGCATTTATTTATAGTTTTTATTTTAAGCTATTAAATATTTTTTTACAATTATCAGCATTGCCCACATTGCTCTATTTGCCTTGGTGCTTGCTTAATGCTGCTCTGCTGCTGCCTTTGTACTTTCTTGGCGCTGCTTCTTATGATGTATTTTGCGCTGCTTTAATGTTTTACGGGGTGCTGATTTGGCACTGCTTTTTATAATGTTTGTCGCACTGCTTTACTGCTCGCACGTTGTTTCATTTTTAGCTTTTCGGTGATGTTAATTTCTTAATTCATTTAACAAAACCCCAAATTAACCATTTTTATGTATAAGAACTGCTTTTGAACATTTAATTTGTTAAATTTAATTGCAATTTTTAGACCATCCACTTGATATATTTATCAATGAACGATTTTACTAATTGCAACCAAAAAATAATGATAATTGCAAAGTACTAAATCCGCGTGCATTATGTAAAGTCGAGTTGTGGCACACTATTGTTCTCCGTGCAAGGTGAGAAAAGTGTGATGTTGTATGTGAACATAATAAAAATTAATCTAATGATGTGTTGCGCACCCCTGTTTATTTTTATTTTATTTGTGCGCATTCTAGAGTGACAAAAATGCATTTACGGATAGGTCTTGTTCTTTTTCTTTTTTATGAACAGATATTTTGATATTGTCAGATATAATTGGTCTGTCATATTAAAAATAAATTGACTACATGGGTTTTTTATTATTGCAAACGCAGTCGTGGCAGGCAGTGAATATATATCATATACATAAAAATGTTCTTAAGTTGTGTAGTAAGAAAACAAAAACTTTTTTAGTTCAATATCAATAAATTTGCTCATTTATCCAAAGGCATAATTTAAAAAGATTAGAAGCAACCGTGTTGGTTTTGCCACTAAATCAACATTAAGAAAAATATTTTATAAGGCAATGAGCTTAACTAGGGAAACTTAATGTAGTCACTATTTAATTTGATAATCGGTAAAATTAAGATCTACTCAACGCAAAAAAATATGACCACTGTTGACTATTATTATATTGTCCATTGAATTTTGGTGATATGGCAGTCACTTATTTCAAAACCTATTTTCCAAAAAGAGGGGGTGGGAGCACATTTAAGCACTTGAGCACTACCACTTGACATGTCTGAGCCAATAACCCTAAAGAATAATTTCATGAGCAAAAAAAACTAAACAAGGAATTTTTTCTTCTTTAAAAAGTATAGCTGAATAGAAAACCAAATATCTATTATGTCTTGCATTCCGTGGGATTTATTTGCAACCTGGCTACCAGCCCATATCACAATATATATGATATATGAATAAAAAACCTCTGGTGATAATATTGAACTAAACCCACAAGATCACAAAACCATTGGTTCAATCGTTTGTGCCTAAAATATCTTGACCAATATTTTCCAGTTTTTTTTAAAAAATTTTGTTTAATCCTTTTTATTTTATTTTCCATTATTACTTTCCACTAAAGAAAATAAACACGATGGAGTCACACGATGAATCTACGGTATACCCTCAGCAACCCGCCGATATTCACACAGGCGATACAACAGTGCTGACCAACCACGCAATACTGGAGCTCACCAGCAAGCATATCCACGTATACAAAGTAGAAATAACAAACCTCGACGCCAAATCCAACCAAACAACAAATGACACAGGAACGGATAATCGGCAAGTTAAGGAGACAGATCTTCGGCAGGATATTTTCAAAAAGGCGTTTAAGGACACTCTGCTGGTTTTTGACTCGAGCGATTATGCATATTCATCCAAAAACCTGCACAAAAAATGGCCGACCATCATGGAAAACAAAAACAGCAGCACGGCAGAACTCGCACGTACGGCTACGCATGACGGGCATGATTTCCGAGTAATTCTTCGGCACTTGCGCACATACGAGCGCAAAGTGCTCCTGCAACACTGCCAGCAAGCCAACAGCAACACCAAGGGAAAGAAGGGGGACGAGGTTGTTGGAGACGGGTATATCCAAGGGATGCTTTTTGCCTTGGACAGTATAGTGCGCAGCAGCCTGCGTGTATTCGAGGACCTGGACGGCCACCAGGTGGATCCATCCAACAGTATAGCAACTGACCGCGGGTTCGATATCTGGTGGATACACCGGTTGACTGTGCGCCCCGGGTGCAACCACCTTTACCTCAATATCAGCACCAGGGGCGCGCCTATCAGCAACCAACCGGACCTCTACGCGCTTGCCCAGCAGCTCCTCGGATCCGCCCAGGACCTCACCCAGCAGCGTGGGGGGTGGTGGCCAGGGTTTGAGCTAACAATTCGTGGTCTCCGTGTGCTCACTCCCGAAGCTACCCAACCAGTACAAGTACGTTCGCTTACCCGGAACACCATGCATAGCTGCACTATCAACGGGGAATCACTCGCAGAGCATTACCAGAAGACATACGGGTTGGACGCGGGGAATCCCGGAATTCCCTGTGTGGTCACGGCATCAGGCGCCACGGTACCGTTGGTGCACTGTCGGTTGGCGCATAGACAGCGGCTTGGTGTCTTGGAGGGCGGCGCACTGCGGGCAATTATGGGGGCAACAGTGATGCCGCCCCAGTGGCGCGTCCAGGTGTTGCGCGCGGTGCTCCTAAAACTGGGTGACAAGGCGCAGAATCAAGGGTTATCGAGGGTCGCCGATATGGGGATTAAAATCCACACGGAGCCGGCGCACTTTCCGGCCACGCAGCTCCAGGAACCAAAGCTTTTGGCGCAGAATAGTCGGCCAGTGCGAATCCAGGGCAGTGGTCGAAGCTGGACACTCGGCCCACAGCAGCAGCAGCAGCAGCAGCAAAAGGGAGGAAAGGATGGGGGTGCCTTGGGGGTGTACACTGGCGGGCAGCTGTACTCCTGGGCGGTACTCTTGCTGGCACCGCAGGTGGCGCAGGCGCAGGCACAGCAGCTCGTTGCGCAGCTTACCAAGGTATGTGCGGAGCTCGGGATTGCCGTGCATAATCCCAGGCCGCCGATCCACCGGTGCGCGCCACAAGCCAACCTGGCACAAGCCATGCAACAGGCCATCAGCCTAGCAGCAACCACGGCTGGAGGCAAAGTGCCTTGTCAGTTGCTCCTCTGTGTGCTGCCGTCGACGTCGACGGCGCTTTATGGCGAAGTCAAGCGGCTGGCATATACACAGCTGGGCGTGCAGACTCAGTGTCTGCAGGCTAGCCACTTGTTGCGTGCGCATACGCCGCGGCTACTCGGGATGCTCGCGCTCAAGATTAACTTGAAACTAGGCGGTACCACCACGCGTCTGGACACACCGCTTCTTTCCGATCAGCCCAATAGCGTACCAACGATGATTATCTCTGCGGATGTCAGCCATACGACAGAGGCAGGTGGCATGTCGGTGGCCGCCGTGGTGGCCTCAATGGACCTTTGTGCTGGCGGTGGCCGGTTCCATGGTACTGTATTGCAGCAGCCGGAGAAGCTCGAATATATAGAGAATTTCGACACGGTGATGCGCCACGCCCTGCGTGTTTTTTACCGCGAGACTGGTGGGCGGAAACCAGAGAGGATTATTTATTATCGCGATGGCGTTAATGATAAGCAAATGGCTGTGGTGAAGCAGCTGGAGCTGCAGGCTATGTACCGCGGCTGCGCCCTGGTGGATCCGCAGTACCGCCCGCAGATCACGCTGATTTTGGCGCGCAAACGGCACCACGCGCGCTTCCTACCAGGTGGTGACAGCGAGGCAGAGGAGGCTGGCGATGAGGCTGGCGGCGCGAGGGTGCTGGCCAATTGCCCGCCAGGCACCGTGGTCACCGCTGGAGTCTGCCATCCGGGCATCTTCAGCTTCTTTCTTTTGTCGCACCAGTCCGTGCACGGCGTCAGCAAGCCGACATACTACGTGGTGGCGCACGATGACAGTCAGCTGGAGCCCGAGGCGTTGCGCACGCTGACGTACCACTTGAGCTACGCGTACGGCATTACGACGCGCCCGGTAACGATGCCGGCTTCGCTGTACTATGCGCACAGGCTGACTGGAAAGGGCCGCCTGCAGCTTAACCACGCGTTTGACGAGCTGCCGCGGTTTAATCGGGCATCGGGAGCGGGCTCGGCCAAGGCCTTGAAGCGGCAGCAGGCGAAGAGAGAGTACTATTTGGTCAAGGTGCACGAGAACCTGCGCAACACAATGTATTTCATGTGAGCAAATTAGAAATAAAACAATTAAATCAACTTAATCCATTTGGTACTTTATTTCAGGAAACATCGTGGCGACCAGCAGGTCAAACACGTGCAGGACCAGCCCAAGATTGCGGCCACGGTCCTGCACAGCATCAATCAGCGTACGCGCGCCCTCACGAGCGTTCCGCCGGCCAACCATTGACCCCAGGACACCCGGCACATACGCCAGCACACGAGCGCGCGCCCTCGCCGCCGTCTCCCGCCTCATGTCGTTCGGCCTTTTCCCCGCCGGCGGCGCAGCAAACGCGGCAAAGCCAAAGCCGTTGTTGCGTTTGGGCAGATCCGCCCACAGGGATCTGCGCACATTGTCCAGGAGCTCTGCGAGTCTCTTGTCTTCGGTCGCTTGGCCGAGAATGTCCCGGATGCGGCGCTCGACCGTGCCGCCGAAAATATGCCGCAGGAGAATCGAGATCGCCTGGCGCCGCAGCCAGTTGCGGCGGTTGGTCAGGCCGAAGACCTGCATGAAGAGGTCGCTGAGCGGATCAACGAAGGCAGCGTGCGGCTGGTGCGGCTGGTGCGGCTGAGGCTGGTGCGGCTGAGGCAGGTGCGGCTGAGGCAGGTGCGGCTGCTGAGGCAGGTTCGGCTGCTGCTGAGACGGGTGCGGCTGCTGCTGAGACAGGTGCGGCTGCTGAAGCGCCACCTGGGCGCCCAGCTCCTGCACGATCAGCTCAAGCATCGACGCAGCGCCCGGTATGCCCTCAATATCCATGGTCACCGTGCGGTGGATCCGCGCCATCCACCCATCATTCCCCTCGGCCTCATCCTCCGCCTCCAAATCCCTGCCTTCCCCATTTGTCGTGGGCGCCGGTACCGACGAGAGAAACGCCAGCAGCGGGCCGCACAGGTGCACGCGCGGGTCGCGCAAGAGCGCCTGCAAATACCGCTCCAGCGCCAGCCGGCGCAGCTCCACCGTGCGCGCGCGATTCGGCTGCTGCAGCCGGCCGAGCGGCGTGCGCGCAGGCAGCTCCGCACGCACGCCAGGCACGCAAGCGCGGATCTCTTGATGCATCGCAAAGAACTCGCGGTACCGCCGCCCAACCACCCATCCGGTAGGCGCGTGGCCGCCACGTACCCGCTCGGCCCCCTCCCCTGGTCCGCCGCCCGGTCCGCCGCCCGGTCCGCCCCCTGGTTGCTGCACTTCCACAAGGTACACTACGTGGTCCGCCTGCATGACCGCCCGCGGCACGTGCACGCGCGTGCTGGAGCCTAATTGGTGGTCCGGCAGCGCCGCCTCGTAGATTCGCTGCTGCTCGCGGGCGCGGCGCAGCTCCCGGCGCAGGTCATTGTGCGACTTGGCCAGCACGCGCTGCTCGTTTGTGCGCCCGCGGTGTTGCGCCTGGCGCATGAGCGCGCGCACGATGGAGAGCTGGTGGGTTTTGCGTGTGGTTGATAGGGAGAGCGCGGAGAGGTGCAGGGGGAGGAAAAGGTCGCCTGGGGTTGGTGTTGTGAGGACGCGTGCGAGAACGAGGGACTCGGCCTCGTCGCCGGATGCGGAGCCTGATTCGGACCCGGAGCTGGACGGGTCGGAGCTGCCGCTGGAGTCGGGATTGTGGTCTTCGCGGTGGGCGCCGAGGGGTTGCGGCGGTGCAGAGAGCGGATCGTCGGTGGACAGCCCGATTGCCTGCAGTGACGCGCTGAGCCGCCGCATCTCCATCCTGTCCACGCGCACTGAGCGCCGCCGCACGACCGGCGGGTCAATTGGAGGATCAATTACAGGCTCGGCAAAAGGCTCAATTGCAGGCTCGGCGAAAGGCTCAATCGTCAGTTCAACCGTCGGTTCAACCACCGATCCAGCCGCCGATCCAGCCGCCGATCCAGCCGCCGATCCAGCCGCCGTCACCGCCATCGCCCGCGCCACCGGCGTCGACCTGGCCTCCAGCGCCTCCGCAAGATACACCAGCGACCTAGCGCGCTGCCCCCCGCCCCCCAGCGCATCCACCGACACCGACGTAGCCTCCGCCGTCGCCGTAGCAGTCGACACCTGCGGCGCATCGATTTTTGCGCGCATCCCCCACCGAGTCGGATGAGTCAGCATTGGAGGAGGAGAGTGAACTGAGCTGAGCGTGTGGATGCTGGATGCCGAGGAGCCGCCTGAAAAAGTACGCCGTGGGAGAAACTGCTGTCCACCAGGAATGCTGCTGTTGCGGGAAAGTGAGCTTCGCTGAGGATGCCGCGAGCGGATGCTTGGGCTTCTGCTGCTGCTGTTGCTATTGCTGGTGCTGTTGGGGGTGGTGCTGGCGCGGGTCGCAAGCGGTGGCAAGGTCGTGGTGTCTGCCTCAGCATCGACTGTAGCTTCAGCCTCGACTGTATCTTGAACCTCAGCCTCAGCCTCATGCTCTTCCTCCCCCTCCCCCTCCCCCTCCTCTTCAACCAGCGCGCCCTCCTTGGCAAACAACGCCGCCTGGATGTGCTCCCTCCTCGGGGTCACATAATACTCCCTCAACACACGCGAATAGAACCTGCTTTTCAAAAACGACTCGAAGCAGTTCCCCTCCATATACTTAAACACCGCCTCCTGCACCGAATAAATCAGCCCCAAAGCCTCCCAACACACCTGCGCCGTCAACCCATCCAGGTCCAGATCAACTTCGCCCTGGGCGCGTCTCCGGGGCTTCAAAAACCTCTGCACCCTCGATATTGCTTCGCCAACAAGGTCTCCGCCGGTGCCGGCGGTGGTGGCTGCAACCAGTTCGTCGACGCGCAAGGTGAAGTAGGTTTTCCACAGCGACGCAATGATCCGCGGGAGGAGGGCGGGAAGTGGGTGGCGGACGCCCTCGACATTGATCCAGAACTCCAGGAGAAACCGGCAGCCGATCAGATCCATGTATTCGGCAAAGGCGGAAAGCGATGAGCTGTTGGTGAGGATCTCCCGGAGTGTGAATTGCGGCGGGCCGAGTTTCGTCGGATCATCGCGGTGCTCGTAGTAGGCGGACACCCGCGATCCACCGCCGGTGCGCCGCGACAACGAGCCCGGCACACTTGGAATCTGCAACGGCAACGGCAGCGGCAACAGTGGAGCCGACACGGGTGGGCGCGCCGGCTGCGCTGGCTGCAGGGGACTTCCAGTGGAGAGCATCTGTATCCGACGCTCGGCCTTTTTTTTAGCCACGTACAACCGGTTAATATACACGATGATGTCGCCGACGCGCATTCCGTGGACTATGTCGTCTTTGTTCTGGCCCATGATCAGGATGCGGCGCTTGCGGATTTGCGCCAGGATGTCCTCGCTGATGCGCTCCAATTCAAAGACATCTTGGCAGCGGTCGATGACCGCCATGAATTCCTCGTAGGACCGCACGTTGTCGTCCTGAGCGTCTGCAGGATCCCCCTCGGACCCATGGGTGATCGGTTGCTGCTGGTCGAGCACCCCGCGCAGCTCGTTGACCATGTCCTGTTCGCGGATCATTTTTTCCAACTGTCCGTCTACCAGCTGGTTCAGGGTATCCGGGTCCGCCAACATCATTAGGATCGGGGTTAGCAGGGATCCAGTCATGAGCTCGCGCACAATGACGCGGTGCGGCGCGTACAGCTGCTCAGCCGGCAGCACCAAGGGTAATACCAGGTCCACCGTGCGCCGAATATGCGCCATCACCCTGCGTTTCACCGCCTCCTCACTGTCCTCACCACCACTGCCCTCTGCTTGACTGTCCGTGGTGGATCCACTTAATGCCGGGTGCGCGCCTTCGCCCTTCAGATGCGCGGTGAACAGTGGCAATGCACCGCCAACAATGAACTCTGCCAAATCCACAGCACCCATAACTCTCTCGGTCAAACACCCCAGGGCTGCGGAGATCTGCGCCAGGACGCACCTGGCAAACCCCGGATCCGCTGAGATCTCTCCAAACCATTTGCTGACAAAATCCCGCACAACCAAGTCCAGCACAACCCCGACTCCTTGTGCCAGCTGTGGGCTGCCCTGTTGGAGCTCACGCACGGTGGGCGGCTCCCAAGTGTCCTTGGTGTACTCTGAGGGTAGAATTGACGTGAGTAGGGCGCGTGGCAGCTTGCTGGCGAATTGGAGCCGTGGGATGCGGGTTACTGGCGGGGTTATTGTTTGTTTGTGGGTTCCTGAACGACTGTTGCTGCTGCTACCTGTGCGTGATGGCTGGAAGTAGTAGGAGATGAATATGTTGGTGAGAAATAGCGTTAGTGCTACGCATATTAGGAGAGTGGGCAAGAGGAGAACATAGTTGAGAAAGGAACGGAACACTGAAATTGCCCAACCCGCGCCCATTTTCAAAAATAAAAATAAAAATTGTTGAATTAGAATTAAAAAGTTGTATTAAAATGTAACAATATAAAAAATAATAAAGGTGAATAAAAAAAGGTGAAATAATTTAAACGACGACAAACAAAACAAAAGAAAAAGAACAGTATTGTTTACCATTTTTTTGAAGTCAGTTGTAAAAATTTTTATTTCAGTTACTACACTTTCATTTGATGCAGTGCACGTCACAATCACCAAAAAAGGTATTGTTTCAGGCTAAATTTTGTTGATACGTGTGGGGTAAAAAAATAGTGAACTGTGTTCCAATTACAGCTTGCTGTATCAATAGTGCCCAAACAACCAACCAAATAAAAAACCTGTTCTTCAATGCAACATATCAATAGCATTCAATGGATTTCAAATCGAAAAAATCAAAGCAAATAGCTTTCAACAGTCTCATTCAACGGCAAGTTTAAAATAAAATGTATTTACTCGTAAGTATAACTTAAAAAAGATGGCACACCAGAAATAAAAAACAAAGGTTGGTTCATTGTCAATATTAGCTAAAGGTTCATTTTTATTTGTATTTGTATTATGTAGTAAGCCGTTAAACCTCTTATTCTTAGCATTTAACCTATGTCGTGCTCTATAAAAATGTGGGTCTAAACCGATATATTCAAGTCTTAAAAATTACTTACTTAACTGAAAAAGGGGGCAGCGCTGTAAACATCATGGTGTTCCTTGATGTCAGCCAGCAATAACAGAAATGTGTATAGTGGCCATGAGGGCGATCTTGATTCTTGAAAAGGGAAGATAGTGGCTTGAAATGTGTGTTGGGCACCACAATATACCTCTCCTTTCCAGAATGCATATGCTTGAACATGCATATGCAAAGAGCATAGCCTTGACATACCAAGACACCAGTCTGTCTACAGAAGAACTAGTTCTCACCAACGGAGTGCACAATTGGTGAAGTGCACAATAAAGGAAATGAGATACATATATAAGATGAGGCCGGCCCTAGTTCTACTTTTGATTCCATTGATAATAAAAACCTCCAAAAATCAATACCCCACCTTTAACACTGGGCAAGTAGTGCCTCACACAAATTACAACACTGAGTAATATAGTATTGTATTTAAATTTGCTGCGTTATCACAAGGAAAAATATTTTTAATTTCAATTTGTGGGCGTAAATATACTATATAAAAATAAAAGTCAAAACTTGTACTCCTCGCTTTCGCTGCTGTCAAATCCAACCCCTTCATTATTCGATTCAAGGCCCACACCCAAGCTTGGTAGCAAATTCAGTTTCCACAGCGCCAGCAGGCTCGGGAACTTTAGCAGGATAGTGTATCTTTAAAAAAATGTCAAATTTTTTGAAGAATACCTTAAAATTGACATCAGTGCATATTTTGTTGACAAGTATGTGAATTTTAGGTGCCCCTTCTCTTCCAATGATTTTAACAGACAACGGCGAAAGCGTGGCAAGCATTCCCTCGATTGCTTTTATGGTGACCGCTAATGCGATATCAGTGTAAATAATTCCTCCTCTAAAATAGCTTGTTTCAGCCCCATTGATACAAATGATAGCTTGATGAGCGTAAATAAAATCTTTGGCGTAAATTTTAAACTCATCCTCAGCATCATTGCGCTTATCTGCAGGACTCTCGTATAACTTAATGGCCAGCTCCAAAAGCTCGCTAATTTGGTTGCGTATCTGAGACTGGCGGGCTACCTTTTTTATATCGCTAGTGTGTGCGATTCCCAAGTACGACGCAAAGTAGTTTTCGATGGCCTGGGTAGTGCACACAGTAAATTGGCTGTAGTCTTCAAATGTCGTGGTAAAGACAGTGTTTTTTTCCTACTGCTTGAAGTGGTTTAGCAATATAACATTTGCTTGTCGAATAAAAATAACTGGTTAATTTTTTGAAAAGCATTGCATGGCAAACCTGGGTCCTTAGGTCGCCATCTGGAACGTTCAAGAAAAATTTGGGAAACTGAGTGGCCATAGTGAAAGCGAGTGCCAAAAAACAAAAAACAAAAACAAAAAAAGAATAAATAGGAAAATTGTGAGGGACTCTGCTGTCAAAATTTTGTAAAAAAAATTAAATATGGAGAAAAGGAAAATACTTGTCAAACATTTTATAATGTTTTAGAATAGCTACACGACTGAGTACTTGAAGGAAAAAATATTGTCAAAACAGCCCAAATTTACAACATACAGCCACGGCATACTTATGCTTTTTTCGGCCCGACAATTTTGGTAGGCAGTTTAACTGGAAAATATTTGCGCAAAATTCGGAAAAAGCCAAATTGTGCCGATGTCAGAAATCAGCGGCACTTGGCTTGAATTATTCGCTGCAAATTTACAAACAAACAAACAAACAAACCAATTTTTATAGCTTTGTTACGCAGGCCATGAAAACAAATTAGTTCTTGCTGTCAATAGAGGCTTGGTTGTATTAAAAAATAAACAAAAAATTGAAAAACATGTGATGTCACTATTGCTGCATCAGCTTTTGCCTTTTTTAAATTAAAACAAACTACAAAAAACAACAACAATAAAACATTTATTGACACAAAGCCCACGGAAAATAAACAATGTCAAGTTTTATGTGGATGCTAAAACATAGAAAAATTGGTTGTTGTTTTAAGTTATACTTTTAAACATGAGTATTAAACTCAATACTCATTTTTCTTTTATTTAGATACTTGGTCCGCCGGTCTTGTGTTTATACCATTTTGAGGCGAGTGCGGCTTCTTGATACTTGAAAACACCAGAATACAATAGAAATGGCCTTTGGATGATACCAGCGGCTTATTAGGATTATTGACATATATTGTCAATTCTGCTGCGTAGCAATTTATACATGGCCAATGTTTTGCCAGTATTGACGTATGAATGATAGGCTGATGATCCCTTGATTAATCGCTGAAGACAAGCCGCACAATAATTGTCACATTGGAAATCTGCTACAGTGAACTGAGAGCTGGGCAGTTGCATTTTTTTGTTCTTTCCATTTTTTTAAGAAATGTCTAAACCGACCAGGCTGTTTACACTGTACCAATGCAGATTTGCGCTCGGGGGTAGGCACAGCTGGGGGTTTGCGCTTTCCGCTGCTTAGCAATGTGGAGAGCATGGCCACAAGCAGAAGGCCGCTCGCAGGGCAGATTGAGAAAAAATATTCACTGCTGACAGAGCTGGTCAACATTGCTGGGCACAGATTTTCTTTGTAGCCCAATGCTCATCAGTTGCCTTTTTCTTTGTGAGCACTAAGACTCAGTCATAAAAAGGGCAAAACAACAATACCTATAAAACTACCTTCATATTGGTTGATGCCGATCAACTGATTAACCAGTCTTGGCTGTTTGGCCACACAAACAATAAGTCACACAGTGACCAGAGCAATATGCTCTCTTCTCTTTACCTCTCGCAGTGCATAGCACTTATTCATTAAATATACTTTACATCTTTATAGTTTATCTACACATTCATAGAACGTTCCTATATTCCAACAACTATTCTGTATTCAGAGGTTTTAGATAAGGTTTAGGTTGTGGTACCCAACACACATTTCAAGCCACTATCTTCCCTTTTCAAGAATCAAGATTGCCCTCATGGCCACTATACACATTTCTGTTATTGCTGGCTGACATCAAGGAACACCATGATGTTTACAGCGCTTCCCACACAGCGCTGCCCCCTTTTTTCAGTTTAGTAAGTAATTTTTAAGACTTGAATATATCGATTTAGACTCACATTTTTATAGAGCACGACACTACATGGTACCATCTATGCCCTATCAATCGGCATGTTGATGGAAACTTGGTTCGCAACGCTCAACCTTGACATCCACTTTCACATTATTAGTCTGTTTAACAAAAGGCATTGTATTTTATTTTGGGCGAGTTGATATTATATAATATTGAATTATTATAAAATGATAAGGTCTGCGGTCTCTGTCCATATTCAAACATGTTTCTTATTTTACTCTATTGTTGCAATATGTATATTCTATAATACTGAATATAAAATAATATATTACTATGTATTAAATAAGATGTATTCTATGGGTGATATGCACTGGGGAGGTAAGAGAAAACAACTATATCATATGTGTTACTATGTGACTAAAAGGATAAGCAATGTGGTGTAATCATGCCTGGCTGCATTCAGCTCCGGTAGATCAACAACAACAACAACAATAAACAATGGTTGATCAGTCGACCCAATCAACTAATATTTATTAAGCAACAAAAAGTGTTAGAATGTCATTAAAAAGCAATTTTTTATAAAGATGAAGCTAATCCCGCTGAACGAGTCGGAACACGGACTCAATTTTAGGATTATGGAAGATCAGTCTGAGCATGTTGGCGGCTATGTCGCAAAGCATACAGTATCCTTTACTTTTGGGGTTGATGGAAGTTCACATAGGCATAGTTGAGCAGCCACTCATTTCTAGATTTCCTAATATTCCTTGCAACATTGGAAATAAAACAAAACCAACATAGTTGATTAGCTTAAGCGCATTAAATTGACATTTAAGAATAATATATTAACTTGTGAATAAACATTTACAATAAATAAAATACAAAATACAAATATTGTTTGTTTTACCCTAAATTTTATGCAATCGTTTTTATAAAAAAAAGTACAAAGTATTTAATTAGCATTAAAAATTCGATACCAAAAACTAAACCTTAAAAAAGGAAACTACCATATGGATTCATGAAATCCGTTTGAATGAATGTTTGGAATATGTGAATCGCCAGATTACGTAGCAAAATATATCCACTGCGCTTGTGATCATCCCAATTTACATATGCGAAATGATCAAGTATATCAGCAGTAAATACATCAAAAGAACTAAGCTGGGCAGTCTTGCTTAAACTCATTGGCAGGCGATCTCCACAAATCCATACTAAAATAGGAAAATGGCCTGTGCTAATGTTGCTCTCGTGTCGGATCCAGGATATTTCAATCTGGTCCTCCTGGTTAACACCAAAAGTTGCAAGCCAGCATACGACATAGAGCAATGACTCGTATGTTTCTTTTACGCAGCGTGGTGTTGTTTTCTGAAGGATAGTCGAGACAGTCGCAAACGCAAGCATCTCGTCTCGTATTAGCTTTAATTGCGGCAGGGTCTGGTCCACATTGGGAATTTCGCAGTCCAAAAGCATGCTCTGCACAGTACCCGATTCTTGGTCGCGGACAATCCAAATAGTCTCGGTCGTAATTTTGTAGATTGCGCGGTCACACAACCTGGAGATCTCATGTATTGTCACTAGGGCATGGGTCAGTACGCAGTACAGCTCAGTCGCTGACCCGATCAAACTCAGGGGCTCGGCATACGGGGTGATAGCAGTCAAAACAAGCTGCCTTCTGGTTATCGGAAACCTTACCAACCCAAACGCGCTGACAAATGGAGATTCCTCAGCTGTGTATAGATGGTCAGCACTGATATCGCGAGTGACACCGTTCAGAGTGGCAGCTGCTGGGCCGCCAGCCAGCACCCAAGGCAAAACAATATTAAACCCTGCGTTTTTCAACAAGGGTGCCAACACCCGGCTAATGCGGCACAAGTCATACAGCTCCTTGGAAACCCAAGGAGTTCCTGGCTCATCAACTGCTTGCATCCAAGAGACCTTGACAATCAGCGACGGAGAGTTTATGCTTGCCAGCGACTCTGCAGCCGGGAAAACGCGAACCTGATCGAGTATGGCGGTTTCACGGTGCAAGCTCGGATCACGCGAATAAAACGTGTGCTCGCCCGATGTGCGCTGTCCATCCACAGTAATCCGACCAACACGAATCTCCCAATGCTTACCATAAACCATGCTGGCTCTGGGCACGATGTTTGGGATATACCCGCGCATTTCGTCTCCGCAAATAGTAAGAGAGTTTACAACCATCGACAAGCAGTAATAGTCATACTCGTTAAAAATATTGAGTATCCTCGTTACAAACAGCCCAAAGATACCCACATGGCATACCTGCACGAGAAATCCACAAGAAACAAAGCCCCAGACACCCAACCGGTTAGGCTGATGCCGATAGATACAGTGGCAGGTCATGAGGACTCTACAGACAGCAAAGTTAAGTCGAAGCCTATGGAAATAAATCTCTGCATCTCCGAGAGGCTCGGGCGGAATTCTCTCGAGCATATCAACGGGTGCAAATATTGCACTATAGAACGGCGGATCAGTAATGTCCTGAGACCATGCTCCAGTGGCCTAAGCCCCAGCGTGCGGTCTACCATAAATGTCGGTCTCTGACAGGATACTCGAGCATGTGTTGCGCGTAGAAAAAAAGAAATTTCTTGGTGTGATCATTGTAGGATGGAAGATGGGCAAAGTCCATGTGTAATTTTGCCTGAAACATTAAAAAATTTTGTAGATTGGCATGGTAACTGAGAAAACAATGAGATATTTTTGACAAACAAAGTTGAATGTTTAAGAAAAAAACCAAATGTCAGAATTTCTGCTAAACGTGGGAATTGCTGATTATTTAAACATTTATTAATGACTATTTATTATAAATTAGCGGTAATGCAATGCAACATCTGTAACACATAAGCATTTGAATTAATTTATCAAGCTTTTGGATTTAATAAAAAAACAAAAACAAAACAAAAGCATTTTAAATCAAGTTTCTCATAATGGAACAATGCCTTGTGAACCCCACCAGTCATTCTGCAAAGGCAGTCATACTCTCTGCTCTTATGATACGTCTTCCATTTGACATACGCAAAATGATCAATAGCATTTCGAGTGGAGTTCTCCACAGTCTCCAGCTGCGCCGCCTTAGCTCTGCGATCCGCTAAACCCCCTCCCCGTAGCCCACTTCAAAATAGGCAGCTCTCCCGCATTGATTTTCTTCTTGCAGCGAATTTTTGAAACCTCAATCTGTTTCTTCCGGATCAACGCCAAAGATAGCAAAGCCAGAAAAAAAGCGTACAACAGAGACTCGTACACATTCAAGATACCCCTTGGCAACGGATCTCTGACCAAATCCAAAGCACACGCAAATGTGAGCATTCCATTACGCAGCAGGATTGAGCGTGGCAAAACTTGTTTACGTTGGCGATACTTGCAGTCGAGAAGCATGCTCCACTCAATACATTGCGTTTCATCGTGGACAACCCAGATACTTATTTTTGGTTGTATTCTGTACACTGCGCGGCTGCATATTTTGGAGACATCAAATATGGTTGTCAGCGCATGGGTCATGACGCAGAACAGCTCCTCGGCGGATTTTACAGAGCTCGGTAGCTCAGCGTACGGGCTGAGGATGGCAACAGGCAATTTGTGCCTGTTTGGCACCAGGGGGCATTGCCTGCGCCAAAGGCTGTGAATATTGGGTTAGCCACATTACTATCCTTGTAAATCCAATCGGTAGTGATTTCAATGACATTGCCCGCAATGTCGGTAGTCGTCAGACCGCTGGCCAGCATGTGCGGCAGCACATCGTCATATTGCGTATTCGCTAGCAATGGAAATAGGGTGTAGTAGATTTGAAATAAGTTGCCGGTGCCTTGGGAGGCTGCCAACAATATTTCATACCAATTGCGCCTACCCACAAAGCAGAACAAGAAGCGACGGCCGGGCTATGGCCACCAGGGACTCTGCCGTTGGGAACACACAAACCTGGCTGCTATTAGCGATCCCAGGCTTCACACTTGGACCGCACGAGTAAAGCACGCGCTGCACTCGACTTGCGATACCTGGCCCTAGTAATCCAGCCGACGCGGATCTCCCAAAACGCGCCATGTGTGCGGCTAGTCTTGGGCAAAATATCCGAAATCAGCCCACACTGGGGTTCTCTGTTTCATTTGCCAGCACAAAAATCACCGATCCAAGACTAGCCACGTTATTCTTCGTGTTGCACAATCAAACACCCTCGACAGGATTATTTTACCAGAGCCCACAAAGCAAACAAGAATAGATAGACCAAGGGAGGCAATGCCCCTCCCCCTCCCCAGACGCTGGTGCGGTTGTGCTGGTGGCGGAATATGCACTGGCACCTGAGCAGAAACTTTGACAGGTCTGGATACCCAATCATTTGCAAGCGCCAGCTGTTTGGTGTCGGACAACTCAACAGGGTGCCATAATCTCGGCGTAGAGCGGCGGGTCCGGGTCCGGGGCGGTGATTGTCCTTGACACCGTGCTCGATGGTTTAATGCCCAGTGCGCAGTTGCAGACGAATGTCGGATCTCTAACATAGATGTGTTTGTTGGCGGAAAGCTGAGCTTGAGCTTGGGCTCAGGCTCTGACATTGAATTGTGAGTAAAGGTGAATCATGTTTTGGAGTAGTTGGAGCTATTTAATATGTTGCTGATGGATATGTATGAGTTTGCCATGGTCTCGAGCAGGGAGGGCAGATCCTTGTAACCCTCTTTTGTCGGCATGTTCATATCAGCCATGTAATTGTTTTGGTCCACTATTATATTTTTTGAATAATATATAGAGAAATGGAAATGAAAGCAAAATAAATAATAATAATAATAATAGATGGAGACTGGTATTTATTGGAACTCTCATATTTTAATATCGGCCTATAATCATATATTTTCAATACTTATTTGAAAGACGTTACAATATTTCCCAATCCTTCCCTCAAAAAAAAATAAACTTTGCCAATTTCCCCTTGCCCTCCACATCATTTTATTGTTATTGTTATTGTTTTATCCAATGGGGGGAGCTGTCCCTATACTGGATTCCCTAAGTGTAAAAGGGTTGGTCATTTCTTGGCGGGTCTGCATTTGTCGAGTGAGTTTTTTTTTTGCTTTGGCTGTTGCTGTGGCAGACAAGTTGTGTTTGGTTATTAGGTAGAGTTTGATTGCCAGGGCTTTCTCTCTTTCTCTCTCTTTCTCTTGATGGTGAACTGTGAGCCTTCGAGGTCGGTTTCGCTGAGTGGGTCGGTTCTTGATCGATCGATCGATGTGGCTTGTGGGTGGGTAGAACTTGGGCCAGAAAGTGCCGCTGCAGTGGTAAAGCCAGCGCCTTGCAGGAGGTATCGCGGCGTTCAGCAAGTCCTTGGCTATACGCAGCATGTAATTGGAGTAAATGACTGCCATAGTTTTTCTTCTTCTGTTATTGCTTTTTGCACTTGCAACATATAACAAATAAATACCTTTCAAATTTAAAAGAAGAAAAAAACAAAGATGGGAATAAACAGTAGTGATTGGTTGGCTGGTTGGTTGGTTGTTGGTGATACGTGGTGCCCCCCCCCCTCTTGGTGGTCTTGACAGCAAACAAATTGGACTCCCTAATTACAATTAAAATTACAATCAACGAAAAAGAAGATCTAAAAGTGGAAGAGTATCTTTACTCAAAATCCATGACCTCAAAGTAAGTGACATCATTGCGATTAACAGCTGCCACGCACCTACGCTTATCAAACCGCACCTGCCAAACACTCGTCAGATTCGCCAACAAGTCGCGCACAAAGGCGCCCGTCCTCACATCCCACAGCTTCAAAGTCGTATCCGCACCCGAGACAATCTTTGTTCCATCATGCTGGAAGCACGTAATCGCACTCGTGTGTTGTCTCAGTACACTGCGCTCATTGCGCACCATGTCGCCTGCTGCCAAAGTAGATGAGATGTCCAGCAGCTGTTGGTGATGCAGCTGGTCATTGGCACGCTGCTGGAGCTGGAGCTGCTGGAGCAGCTGCGCCTGCTGTAGGCTGGCCACGGTCTGCGTCACCAAGTGGCCTGTGGCATTGGTGTTGGCGTTGGCGTTGCCGCTGGCTGTGCTGCCGCTGCCAGCCGGGGTCACCGGAATAAGGTCGCCGCGAATGTTGCTGAACGGGCGCTGGAACGACTTTGGCTGCGGACGGGCGACGGTCGGGTGGTCCCAGATGCGCAGCGTCGTATCGGCGCCAGCAGACACCAGCGTATCGTGCTGCAGCGCCAGCAGCCCGACAAGCGTCAAATGGCCGCGCAAAATACGCAGGCACGCGCCCGAGTCCCAGTTCCACACACGGATGGTTCCGTCCATGCTGCCGGACAAAATCAAATGGCGCTCGGTATCCAGCACAATGGTGTACACCTTCGACGTATGGCCCTCGAGCTGGTGCAGCTGGGCGCCGGTGGCCAGGTTCCACACGCGGATCGAAAAGTCGTACGACCCGCTGACCACCATGTTGCCGTGGCCAGCCACGGCGCGCACCGAGTCCGTGTGCCCGCCGAGGGTCCGCACAAAGTATGGGTTGGCGCGGGGCACGCCGAATGGCGAGCGGAAGCGCATTGCCGCGTCGCCGATGCTCGGCATGGCTATCGACTCGCCACCCGAACAGCCTCGGCCGCCCGCGCCGCACGCAGCGCCGCCGCCTGCGCAGCCGCAGCTGCTTGTGCGGCCGCCGCGGCGCGCGTAGTTGGCCGGCTGGGGCCAAGCCTAGCAGCAGACGCGAAGGCAGAGGCGGAGGCGGAGGCAGAGGCAGAGCGGAGGCGGAGGCGGAGGGGAGGCAGAGGCAGAGGCAGAGGCGGAGGCGGAGGCAGAGCAGAGGCAGAAGCAACGGCCAGAAACAGAAGCAGCACCAGCACCAGCACCAGCACCAGCACCAGCACCAGCACCAGCACCAGCACCAGCACCAGCACCAGCACCAGCACCAGCACCACACCACACCACCACCACACCACCACCACCAGCCGGCTCATCGGCGCCATCCACCGCCATGCGCGAGTCGTCCGCCTCGGCCGCTGCCCCGCCGCTGCTCCGCCGCTGCCCCGCCGCTGCCTCCGCCTCGGCCTCCGCCTCCGCCTCCGCCTCAACCAGCAGGCGGCCGGCCGTGCGCGCCAGCGCTGCCGCGTGGCCGGCAGCGACCGCCGAGCGCGGCGAGTACGGCGCGTCGTTCAGCGGGCTGGGCAGCTTCCACACGCGCAGCGTCGTGTCGCGCGACCCGGTGACAACCAGCGGCTCCGGCGGCTCATAGCGCACGGGCGCGCCCAGCGCACGCTCGCGCGCCGTGCGCACGTCCGTCGGCAGCAGCACCTGCAGGCACCGCACGGTGCTCGAGTGGCCGGCGAACACGTGCGTGCACCGGCCGGACTCCAGGTCCCACACGCGCACCGTCCGGTCGGTGCTGCCGCTGACCACCGTGCCGCCCACCACGGCCAGCGCCCACACGCCGCCCTCGTGGCCCACCAGCTGGCGCACGGTCGCGCCGGTGTCGATGTCGAACACAAAGATGTTCTTTGTGTCGAAGCCGGCCACGATGTACCTGTCGGTGAGCTGCACGCACGTGACGACGGCGCCGCCGTCGCACGCGAAGCTGAAGTGGCGGCAGGCGCCGGCCTGCCAGTTGCGGTCGAGCCGGTAGTCGCGCGCGTACTGCGCCTTGAAGGCGTTGCCGGCCGCGGCCGCAGCGTGCGGCGTGGACGCCGCCGCGGCCAGCGCCGCGCCGTTGCTGCCGCGCTGTGCGCGCGCGCGGCCAGCGGCGCCAGGCTGAGCTCGGCCGGCGTCGGCGCGCTGCACGTGGGCGAGCGCGGCGGCTGCGCGGCGCCGAGCCCGAAGTGCGCGTGGCACAGCGGGTGCACGCGCGGCGCCTCGGCCGCGTACCGCGCGTCCAGCAGCCGCGCGCGCCACAGCGTGCGGTCGCCGTCGACGGCGCGCAGCCACTTGCGCGACACGCAGGCGGCGCGGCACAGCGTGCGCGTGTCCATGAAGCGCAGCACGTGGTGCGCGGCCTCGGCCGGAAGCCCGCCGACGAAGTCGCGGTGCAGCACCGGCAGCACCGTCTGCGCGGCGAACTGCAGCGTCGGCCGCGGCGTGCGCCGCAGCAGCTGGAACAGCAGGTACGTCTGCATGGTCGGCGGCAGGTTGTCGTACGTCGCCATGATCGACGGCAGGCTGTACAGCGCCGCCAGGTCCTGGCCGCGTCGCGTGCGCCGCGCGTCGTTCGCGTCGCCTGCGTCACCGTGCGCCGCTGCGCCAGCGCGCCCAGCGCGTCGACCGTCGCGGTGTCCGACACCGTGTGCGCGGCTGCGCGCCGCGCGCCGTGGTGCGCGACGTAGTCGAGGATGCCCTCGTGCGCGTCGAAGGCGCCGCTCTGGCGCGCCGACGCCGGCGGCGACAGCCCCGCCGCCGGGAACCGCAGCCGGCGCCGGCACGCGTACGCGGCCTCGTCCAGCACGTCGTCCGTGTCCATGGGCTCCGGCTGTGCGCGCGGCGACAGCAGCGGCGAGGGCAGCGGCCGGGCGCGGTCGTCGAGCGCGTCGCCGCCGCCGCCCGCTGCGCATGCTGCCGCCGGACGCCGGGCGCTGGCGCTGCGCCGCAATGTCCGCCTGGCGCTGCAGCTCCTGGGGCGCCACGCCAGCTGCTGCCGCGGCTTGCCGCCGGGGCGATGGCGAGCACGTGCCGCGCCCATACGTCCTGTTGCGCTCTCCGGACGCCGGCGGGCTGCTGCTCCTCCGCAGCGCCACGTGCTCCCTGCTGTCGCAGGCGCCGCCGCCGCCGCCGCCCCCTGGCCTGCGCCCAGCAGCAGCAGCAACAGCCGCGGCATCTGGCGCCGCTCCGCCGGCGTGCAGCATCTGCAGGCGCATCTGCCGCTCGGCGTCCTTTGTCGCATCGTCCTGCGTGTACATCGGCGTCATTGCGCGCGGCGGAGGCTGCGCCGCGCTGCCGGCGCCAAAGGCCTCGTCGGCCCCCTCGTGCGAGTCATCCCGCATGTTGTCCTCGATGCTCGCAAGAACGTCGTCGCTGTGGCAGGCGGCCAAGTCGCGCTGCGAAAAGAAAAGGTGCTGTCCGTTCAGGTCGAGCGCAAACTGCTCAAGGGCGGGCGGCGCGGTGATGTGCGCCAGCGGGTAGATGTCTGGCCGAAGCAGCTTGTGCCTGTCGATGCGCGGGAGCCTGAGGGACGGGTATGTGGTTGTGACTTTGGTCGTCACTGTTGTTGTGGTGACTGTTTGCGCTGTGAGCATTGAGTTTGTGAACGGTTCGTGCTGCCCATTGGTGCTGTTTGTTTCGAGCGGCGATGGCAGGGGGCCTGCGCTGAGGCGAATTTGTTGCGGCCTGCAAAGGCGGCGCCAGCGCCAGCGGCAGACGCGGAGGCGGAGGCAGACGCGGAGCCCGCTGACAGGGAAGACGAGGAGGGCCTGCTGTTTGGAGCTGCGGCGGCAGGATTCGGATTAGAGGCAGGGTCGTTTCTGGCAGGACTAGAGCTAGAGTGGGGAATGTATTGAATAGAATTGAAGGCATTTTGCTTTTGAATTAGTGTCGGTTGGATATACAAAAAGGCAAACAAAAAAGTAAGTGTATGTGCAGCCGGGCGCAACGCCACCACGAAAACCGAGTGTTGTGTTGAATTGTGTTGCTGGCGTGGTGGTGGTGGTGGTGGTGGTGGTGGTGGTGGTGGTGCTGCTGCTGCTGCTGCTGCTTGTGTCATTGAAGCGAACTTACGGAACGTAGTAGTCCATTTTGTAAAATTGATTTGACTAGAGCTGAGCTGAATTGGACTCGATTGATAATGCACAAGGAAAAAAGGAGAAAGGGAGAGAGAGAGGAGAGGGCGGAAATAGTATGTGGGAAACAAACAAAAAGAAAAATTGTGATAATGGCTTGGGGAGCAAAAATAAAAGTAAAGGTAAATGGAGTGACAGAGTTTGTATGTGTGTGAATATTTAAGTGCAAATAAAAATAAAAAATAAAAAACTATAGAAAGAAAAGGAAAGAGGGAGAAGCGAGTAACGCAATGATTTTTGTTTTTTTTTACTCATCTTTGCTCCCCTTTTCTGTCGATTGATTTTATTGTATTTTTTGGCTTGGCTGCTATTTTTTTTGTCGCTTCGTTTGTCAGCCATCCAGCCCAATCCAGCCCAATCCAGAAAAAGAGAAAGAAAGAAAAAAGGTACAAAGACAATAGAGGCTACTTTTACAATCCATCAAGTGAAAAAAGAGTAAATAGAAAAACACGTAGTCAAGTGGATAGAGCAAAAAAATCCAGCTATTAATTAACTTAATGGCTCAGCCACCCTGCTCCCCACACACATACACACACACACACACGTGCTTGCTGCTTTTTTTTACTTCTGCATCAACCGATCGACAATCCCAATTCCCGAAGAAAGCTAAACTGTTGTTTTTTACAAGTGCTTTCGAAGCTTGTCTACAAAGACGCTCATATCGGACCGGGCGATCTCCAGCACCGAGCTGTCAAAGAATCCCTGCCTCACATCGGCGCCCAAGTCCTGCGCAACCTCATCAAACACCAGCCCAAAATGGTTCCGCGCCGCACGCCCCCCACCCGCCCAAGCCGACCCAGCCGACCCGCCTGATCCGCCTGATCCAGCCCCATACTTGGCTGCGCCTGCCAGCGAATTGCGCGGGCGTAATCGGGCGCCGTGATGCCCAGCACAAGCATTCTGTCTGGCAGCTCGGCAGACACCGGCGCGGCAATGACAAATGGCAGCCGTGCAGCGCGCTTCCTTGCAGTGCTCTCCGCACCCAAGTGCTGCTCGCGCAGCGTGTGCATCAAAAACAACGCCAGCTGGCGCAATACCGGCGGGCTAAGGTGCGCGGCATCGGCCTCAGCGACCACAGCCAAGCGGAAGGCCCTCAGCGCCTTGACCGCCTGGCGCTCGAGCATCCCAAGCCCCAAGGCAACCACGCGCATCTGCACTGCCTGCGCCAGCAGCAGCCCGCGGCGCAGCGCATCAATGTCCGCCAGCGCATCGTAGGCGGCGTAGAACCCGTCGTCCTGCAGCAGCGCGAGCAGCGCCAGTGCCATGTCGGTGCCCGACACGCTGGGCTTGCGCCACCCGTAGTCGCGCACAAAGCCGGGTGCCACGGCGTCGGCCATCGCGTAGTCGGCGCCGATCTCGGCCATCGCCGGTGCAGCTGCAGCTTGAGCTCCGGCGCCAGATGCTGGAACGGCGCGCGCGCCTCGGCCTTGGATAGGCCCAGCTTGGCCAGGAGCAGGTCGAGGCGCGCGCGACCGCGGCTCGACCATGTGCCGAGCCGCGTCGCCACGTATGGGCTGAACCGCATGGCGCTGTCCAGCGACCAATGCCGCAAGAGCGCCAGCTTGAGCTCGGACGACTCGGCGATGGCCGTGCGCGGCCCGGCTTGGCGCGCTGTGCTGACCAGAAGCCCGGCCTCCGCTGCCGAGCCGGCTCCGCTGCGTGCCCGCGCATAGCCCTCGTCGTCGTCAGCGTGCGGCAGCTCAAGCTGCGGCGTGAACGCCTTGGGCGTCGCGTCGGCCGCGCCGCCGGGGGCTGCCGGGCCGCTGACGCGGCGCACAAGATCGCGCAGCCGCGCAGTGGTCAGCGCGTGTGCGGCACCGTCCGCGTGCTGCAGCAGGTGCTGGGTGGCGGCGCCGGTGATGGCGCACCATACGGAGTCGAGCGACGCCGGGTGGCCGAGCTGCTCCGCCAGCCGCTGCATGCTGACGGCGCATGCCTGGCCGTGGTACGCGCCCTGTGCGTAGTACGCCTGGATCCGCTGCTGGTGCGCGCTGCGCGCCTGTCGCCGCTCCGCGCGCAGCCGCTGAAGGCGGATGAACTCGTCTGGGTCGGTGCTCGGCCGTGGGTTCCGTCGCCGTGGCTGTGGCTGCGCACTGTCGTCGCCGTCGCTGGCGCTGTCCCTGTCGCTGGCGCTGTTGAGCCGGCGTCGCCGCCCGGGGCTCTCGCCGTCGCTGCCGCTGCCGCCCCCATCGCCGCCCTCACTGTCATCCTCGCCGTCGCCGTCGTCGTCGCCAAACTCAATCTCCTCAAAGGCCTTCTGCATCTCAGCCATGCTCTCCTCGACCTCGCCGTCGTCCAGACATTGCACCTGGTCGTTCCAATAGACGTTGTACAGGTTGAAGGGCCGATGGCTGTCGACAATAACAACAGTCAGCGAGTCGCGCAAGGTCACGTAGTCTTGGATATCCACGGTGGCTCCGCAGTTGAGGAAGACCAGCGTACGGATCTGCGCGTTGGCTGCGACCAGCTTGGCGTTCATCTGCACAATGTCGGCGTAGCTACTGATGGGTACGATCTTGTGTCCGATGGCGTCGCGCTTTAGAAGGCCTGTGAGAATGCGCAGCCCGCAGAGCGTGTCGCCGTCGGCTGTGCTTGCGAATATCACCACCGAGGTGCCGCTGCTGTGCGACGCCCCGGCGACTATCCGCTGGTACGCGTCCTCGTACTTTGAGCTGGGCACGTAGACCATTATTAGAAGAAAAAATTAAAAGTTTAGGAATATTATATCCAATATTAAATAAGAGTAAAAAAGCAAAAGGAAAAAAATGGAACGCGAACAAACTGGAAACTCGAGAAAAACAACATTTCAGCTCACAAAAAAAAGGGTAAAGAATTTAACGCGACGAAAAAAAATATATTCTTGCTTTTCTTTTTGTTATATATATAATATATATACACAACTTCAAAATATCCCAACACCTCTTTTTACGAAATACCTCACCCCCTTGACCTCAAATGGACTCTTTGAATGCGCCCGTTGAGAGTGTCGCTGCCCAGCGCGTGGTCAGCGAAATTAGCGCCGAGGGCACAGTGGTCCTGCAGCCGACGCCCACAGCGCAGGACCAAATGAGCCAGCAAATCGCTCAGCTGTGGGAAATGCACACCAATTTCCAAGGCCTCCCAACGCCCGATTCCGATTCAGACACCAATGAAGAGCAAGAACACGAGCACGAGCACGAGCACGAGCACGAATACAAACACGACAGCGAAAGCGAAAGCGAAAATCAAAAGCCAGCGACGGATTCCACCAACGACAGCCTCGACGCCTACGCCGTGCGCGCGCAGGTCCACGAGCATCTGACGCTGGCACAGTCGGAAATCCAAGTGTCGCTGGACATTGTGCGGCTGCTGCTGGCCGCCAAAAAGCAGGCGGCACGTGAAGAAGCGCTCCAGACGCAGACGCAGATGCTGCGCCACGACCAAGCGCAGCGCCTGGCGCCATCGTTCAACGCGCTCGTCGGCAGCGGCAGCGGCTCTGCCGACGAGGTGCAGATCGGCGGGCTGCCGTTTGCTGTCGGCGTCTTGGACACGGTGCGCACCGAACGGCGACCGGCGGCAGCCGCCGGAGCCACGCAGTTTGTGCTGGGCGCCAAGCACCGCCAGCTACACGAGGCCGCGGACACGCTGGAGGCCAGCGCCCGGCGGTTGCGCGAAATGGCCGCGCGTGAGGCGCGCTTTTGGCGCACAGCCTTTGGCCTGCGCCGCCGCAACTGGGTGGTTCTGCACCAGAGCCAGGTCAACTCGGCAGTCCGCGACGACCGCTACTTTGTCAAGTTTGGCTTTGCCGACTGCGGATCGTCGGCCGCAGAGCCAGCGCTGGCCGAGATCCTGCGCACGGAGGACGCCACTGATGAGCCGCTGTTTATTCCCGGCGCCGCCGACCGCAGACGCGTGCACGTTGCGCTTGTGGCCGGAGCCGGTGCTGGAGCCGGCTCTGGATCCACAACCAGTGTCGGGTCCATAACCGGCCCCAATGCCGGCGCCGTGGGCTCGCACGAGCGGCTGCTGCGTGCGCGCGACGCCGTGTTTGACCGCGAGCTCTACCACAGGCTGTGCCGCGAGGCGCGCCTGCTGGAGCTGGGCTCCATCCGCGCCATTGCCTCGGCATCGTCTGATTCCCCCGCTATGGCTGCGCGCGAAGCCCTGGTCACTGCGCTGAGCCGGGACAACGCCGCTGAGCATTTCGAGTGGACGCTACACACGCCCGCTGCCTTCAATGCCGATGCTGCACCTGGCCCTCTGCAAACCCACGCTAGCCGCTCCTTGCCCGAGTGGCAGCGCAAGCTGTACGCCTCAGTGGCCCTGGTCACCGCTGCCATGCATCAGCGGAGGCAGCACCGCGAGGCCAAAGCGTACCAGCTCGGCCACGCGCTCTCAAGCCGCGCACTCACCGCACACCGTGGCACGTCCTCTCTGCCCGACGCCTTTGCTGACTCCAGCGCATCCCATAACCAATCCATCACCCCGTCTGGTTCCTCCGCTGATCCGGGTCCCTGGCGGCCGTGTCGCGGCCAGAGCTTCTGCTGCTGGCGCCGGCGCTGCAGGCGGTGCAGTTTGCCAAGTGGCAGCATGTGCTGGCATCGGCACGCAGCGCGCCTGTGCGGCGTGGCGCCGGCTCGTGGACGAGCCGATCGAGGTGATCAGCCATTTTGGACGCACATTCCGCACGCCCGCTTGCGGCCAGAAGCGCACCGCTGATGGGCTGTTGGTGGGCGCGATGAGCGCCCAGGAGATGGCCGAGTGGCAGCGCTTTTACTCTATTGGATCGGCGCGTCGCGGGTCCGCAGCGGTAAACGGCGGCATGGCGTATGTCGTAAGGATGCGCTTCCAGGGCGGCACCGTAATGGCCATTCGCCTGGACTCCCATGGGTCACTGTTCTTCGCCAAAGGATATTTCCCTCCGCCTGCCAGTACCGCACCAATGTCACCTGGGCTAGCTGACACTGATCCGGTGCTGGCGATGCTGCTGCTGCTTGGATATCAATACCGGTGGTAGTGCCAGAAGGCCTTGGCAAACTCAGAACAGAAGCTCATCCACAGGGTTTTCCGCATTGTGCCTTTAGCTGGCCTGCCTGAATTCCTTGATCAGCTGCGCCGCGAACTGCAGTCACTAGTCTTGCTGCGCGTAGCTGCTGCGCTTTCGCGCTGCTCATATCGCCGCATAGGCAAGCAGTGTCAGATGGGCCAATGGTATGTGCATCAGTCGCAATTGTGTGTTGTCGGCGAGTGGTGGCAGGGCGCCCGTCATCGTCAGATTATTGGTGTGGCTAAATGGTCCTCTTCGCCACTATTACCGGATAATGTTGATTCTTATGCAGAGGGCTCGGATCTCGAGGGTGAGAATGAGCGTGAGTGGGAGTTGACTTTGTATTTTGGTCCGAAGCATCCGACTCAGTTTGATTTGCCGCTTGGTGCTGCCGCTAATACTGCAAAGGGCGAATTGAGGATTCCTTGGACCACTTGTTATCCGCCACCTAGCCCGGAACACATGCCACCATTGAAAACCTTTGAAGAGCGGCTCTTCAGCCTATTGGTTTCTGCATTTTAAAAAATTATTGTTTTTTAATATTCATTTGACTTTATCATAAATGACACATGTCTTATTTATCAACAATGTTTTTTTTGTTTGAAAGGAAAAATTAATGTATTTGTTTAAAAAAGGGAAAAAAAACATATAGCAAAGATTACATCGGGCAGCGGCCGATATAGACTGTCGATGTGACCTGGATATTCGACTTGGTAACTGTAGAGGATTCACCACTGTAGCTGACCCACTGACAGCAGAGGATTCGTTGACAGTAGAGTACTCTTCAACAGGGGTGGGCTGCTGATGCTTTCTGACTCGCTTTTGGTTACAGACACAGACTCATTCTTGGACTCGCTGGTTAAACCTGGCATAACTATGGCAATAGAGCTGTAAATGGAATCAAACTCAGAGCCACTATCCGTGTAGTCAGGAACCTCAGGTAAAGGAGTCTCGGCCTCAATATAACTGCTCGTGAAAATTGTTTCAATATCGGAAGACGCCCATGTCGTGTACATTGGCGTGGCCGAAGGTGTAATTGCGATGGACTGCAAGACATCCGGGTATATGACGTCGCGGGGAATGAGACCAGCGGCGACGGAGCTGGCGCTGATGAGAGCAAGGATGGCGGAGGCAAAGAAGGACTTCATTGTTTGTTTTTAAAAATAAAAATGTAATAAGTAGATGTAAAAGTGGGCTGTTTTTCTGGTAACTGGTATCAAGCGATAATTAATATAGCTGCTGATTGACAAGATGCAGAAAATAAGAGTGATATAAGAAAATCAAAAAGTTTAAAAATGCGAGGATGGATGAATTTGTGTAGGGAAAGGTTTGATATGTCAAGGAAAGGAAAAAAAGAAAGAGAGAGCCAGCTCAAATGCTTATTTTAACTATATTTAAATGTGAGTAATGACAGTATGCCAAAAAATGATGTAAAAGCTATGCAGGTAATAAATAAAATAAAAAAGTGTAAGTGTGGATGCGACAAAAGATGAGAGACAATTTTTTTGTGTACGTGGGCGAGACCGCTTATATACATGGTGTTTTTTGTGAGAAGGAATGCCCCCTCCCCCTATTTATTAATGAGTATAAAAATATGGACATATCTACAAAAAAAATTGAAAAGCGTGTCTGAAACTAATTGTTTTTTAGCAGTCCACTTTTGGCAAGCCTAATTGCAATTCTGGATAGAGAGGACACAGGTTTATAAAACGAACTTGAAGTTGGTTTCGGGCACTCACAAAGAAAAATGTTTTTATGTGATTGGTGGGACCAGGACCAAGACCAAGACCAAGCAAAATAAAAAGGAAAGAAAAATAATGTAAAGAAAAGTCCAAGGATCGTCCATCCCCATTTTTTAACCCTCCTTTGTGCTGTCTGGCCTTGCCCCGTGTCCATCCTTATCATTTTTCTGTTTCTAATTTTTCACACTTTTATTTTTAACGCACACAAACTCAAGCAACCAGTATTGCTTTTTTAATGCAAACACTTTTAAGGCGGGGATTTAATCTAGATTGTTTAGTAATCAGAATGTTTTTTAGTGGATAGCTCGTGTCTGCAATTTGTAAAAAAAAGCAATGAATGACATAACTTTTATATTGCATTCGGCTATTGGTACCGCGTGTTGCCAACATTCCCGTTCCATGTGGAGAGACCGGAATCAGCGTTTGAAGAAAATCAAAACAAATGCAATAATATTTCTAATTAGAAGCTAAATAATAAATACTACACTTGATGTGCATTAGCCAGAATATTCTTTTAAATTAACTCAAGCTGGAATTTTACAAAACTAGTATGGAGAATGACATTATCGTTGATTGCATGGATATGGTTTGTTTTTGTTGTTGTAATTAAAAACGCTTGAAAGTTTAACCAATTGCTGAAACCAAATTGGTTTTACGTAGTCGGTCTTGGTATTTGTGGTAATGGAAGCCTTGATCACTGTAGTGGGCTTGGTGGTGGTCACGGTCTTAGTGTACTTTGTGGATGTGGATACCTTGCTCACGGCGGTGGGCTGAGTAGAGGTAACAGTCGCAGTAGTAACCTTGTTGACGGTAGTGGGCTTGGTTCTAATGACAGTCGAAATAATGGTAATATATGCCTTGTCGGTCACGGTCTTGGTGCAGCACTAGTTGCGGGTGCAATTGAAATAGCCTCAAAGACAGATGAAAAGTTGGTAGCGTGGCGGTTGAGTTGGGCTGCAGCGGATCCGGCGCCAATAAGGACAAGGCACAGATAAACAAATGTGAGCTTCATTGTTGAAAATTGTAAGGGATGATGTGAGGCTAGATGGATGGATGGGATGGGATAGACTGAATTGGCTTGGGTTGGATTGAATAGAAAAGTGTAAAATTAAAAGTATTAAATTAATGCGGAGTGCGGCAAAAAACGGAAGGTCGGGTAAGCTGTAGTAAAAAAATAGATTGTGCCTGTGGTGATTCTCACCACATAAGCTCAGCTAAGCCGAGAGCTTGCAAGCCAAGTCAATGTTAAGCAAGCAGGCACTAATACAGCAGCGGCCACGATTTTATAGCTGCCTATAAAATCGCAGCAGAGAAGGAAGCTCAACAGGAGGTTTCTTCAGCTTTTGTTTTAATAAAGATTTATTGGACATCATTTCTGGCGATTACTACAGTGCCCATTCAAATTAATTTTTAACAGAAATAATCTAATTTCAAGAGATAAAGAAAATATAGAAATAGTGCAGAAAAAAAAGCGTGGTGAAAAAAAGTGTGGTTCAATTTATGCACAATTTTTGCTACGACTTTCAGCCACGAGAGGAAGAGCCTGCCAATATCTAAAAAACACTCAGTTCACCAAAGTGCTACAAAAACGAAAATGAAAAATCAGGCACATAAAAAACATTCAATATACGCAAAAAAAGCATTTGGTTCGAAAACTCACATTCCAAGCTTGCCAAAAGACAATTACCATTACAACACGTGCGATTTCAACGATAATTGCGTTGGATTTGATATCTATAAAGAAAATTGCATACTTTGTGACCGATAAGACCATCATCAAGGATTGCCATATTTTTAACAATTTCAAGAATAACGCCAGAAAAGGATATACATCCGACCACGCGCCAATTCAACATTCAGTATACAGTTGTTGGGTGCCTTTTGTGGGTATTTTTTACATTGGTTTGTAGATATTTCATTCAATGCTTTGTAATGCAATTGAAAAATTGGAAACATAAATACTTTTAACCAGGCCCAACACAAGAACATAAACATAAAGCAAACATTATGTAAAATTAAAATCAATTTTTTAATAAATGTGTATCGTTTTTGTTAGGCAATATTACCTACAAGACTTTTCTATTGGGGTGTTTGTAAACAATGAATTTTATTAAAAATCATCGCCCAAAAATATACACACATGCAATCTGCTTTTCTGGATGTCGTTTTGTACTATCAAATCGGAACGTAATATTCTAAATACTTTTTTGTACACTGTACAATTTGGATTACAGTGCGTCAATATTATTGTGCACTTTGGGGCTTTTCACAAAGCTTGCCACATAACATTCTTCATAATAAAACTATAATGAAAAACACTGGCGTCAAGCATGTGAGCTTAGTGAATTCAAAGACATGTGTGGTGCCCAACGCACATTCTAAACCATATCTTCCCTTTTTAAGAACCAAGATTACCCTCATGGCCGCTATACACATTTCTGCTATTGCTGGCTGACATCAAGGAAAACCATTATGTTTACAGCGCTGCCCCTTTTTTAGTTCCTTAAGTAATTTTTGATACTTGAATATAATAATTTAGACCCACATTTTTATAAGCACAATAACATGCGTCTTAATTGGTATTGTATATCTTTAATTATATAATAGGGAAGGCAACTTTATACAAGTGAAAAATTATATTGAATTCCGGAAAAGTTGTGTAAACGTGTAGCGTGTGTAGTATATATATGAGTGTATATAATATATTACCGTGTACTGAAAGAGTCAAGTCATACACTTGTGTTAGGTCGCTATATGACTTATAAGTGACTGTGTTAGCTAAATAGCCAAGACTGGTCAATCAGTTGATTGCAATCAACTATTGCATTTCTATCCAGTAATTATTTTATTATTTTTCTGTAAATTACAATAAAATAATTTTTTTGTATTCACTTATAAAACCATTTAATGCAACTTATTATAGCGTTCTAAGGGCAATCACCATTGGCCAAGATACAATCAAATTGAATGCCCATTATTATTTCATAAGATAATGGCGCCACCAAATAAAATATTATTTAATTGTAATTGTAATTGAAACAAGTGGCAGTTATGTTATACCAAAGATAATTAGTAATGTAATGTAAAGTATTTTGGATTTGGGATAATAATTAATATAAATACGGCCTCATATTCTTTCAAGCAGTATATAATATTATTATTTAATTTTAATTACTAACCACCATATCACAATCTCCTGAGAACAAAGGGTGACTATACAACATTAAGTTGTCAAAATTGAACAATATAAACAAGCTGTACAATTTAAAAGAGTAAAAAAGATATATTGAAACAGGGAAAATTTACGATTTATCTTTCTTGTTTTGTTTTAATTTAGTTTCATATCTTGCTTTAAAATTTGCACAATATATCTAATATAATCAAGTAAATAATAAAAAAACCCAAAGTTAATGAATGAAACTATTGTTTACTATGCCACCTTGTTTATCATGGGCTCTATTGCAGAACCTGGCCACATGCCCTTATAACAAAAAATATTATAGGGGTAGAGCGGTTGGGAGTTATTTAGACCTGGGTATAATTGCCTAGCAGGGGAAATATTTTCCAGGGTGTTAGTAAAATTAGATACAAGCACTCAATCTGCCAGCTAAAGCGTTAATTGTGGCCAGATAGCTGATGTAGATATATGCCGTCTCATTGATGTCATCCGCAGTAATAGACATGGGTGTTGAATTAAATATTATTAGTACCAAATGTTTAAACACTACATTTAAAAATTTATAAATACTGGCTCTTTTCTAATATTTACAGAAAGTATTGTGAATGCCAAAGATGTGCAACTTTTTATAATCAAATAGTAACAGATAAATCAAAAAAGATTGATTTTTGATTTTTGATTTTTTTACTATTGTTTGATGTTATTCTATAATTGCACGCATAGCGCAGTATGGTCAATTTGTATTATTTCAGAACGCCATCTATCCCAATCGTTACATTTTTTAAAAAATAACCTCCAGATGCATATGCAACTGAAAAGACGATTTGAAAATCGCTGAAAACCAAGTCACCAAAAAATTCAATGGCATTGACATTATATTGGCCAAAATAAACTGATATTATATATTCTTTCGTATAAAACAAAAAACGAATCATGCACATTACTGCATGTGCCTTAAAAATGTATAAAGGCAGGCACAAACACCTTCCGACAACAAAAAATAATATTGCAGTACATTTCTATCATGAGCATCTACAGCGCGACCTTTTTGACCGACCAACCGTTCAACCAGCCGAGCGTAGATTTCAACATTGCCAGCACTATTGTATTAAATAATATTTCCAGCTTGGTTGTAATGCAGAACAAATTCACAAATACAGCGAGAAGCACACTTGGGTATATGTTGACAAAAATATTGAACTGCAGGAATCTCGGGCAAATATCAGCAGGATTTGTGGGTGAAGTAGTTTACGTGGACTTTCCTATACTAGGAAGCATTGTAAAGAAAAACGACGAGGCTGACCATGTTACAACAGCCGGTGGTGATATAAAAGTTTTCTCACCAGTTTAGGGAAGGATTGCTGCAGTTAACCATAGGCTTGAAGAAATACCTATTTTAATTAACATCTCCTGAAGAAAAGGGTTGGATTTACAAGATTAGGCTTCCGAATTTGCACGGTGTGGATGACTTGTACAGCGGCGAAGAGTATTCAAGATGCTGGAATACTGTATACAAAATGCTTTGACTAAATAATAGGTTAAGCAGGTTTTTATTATATCAATATAACCCGAACTTGTATATATCTATTCTGTCGATTCTAAAATGTTTTTAAAATCAGCATAGGCCTGTTCAACCTCAAACAAGAGCTGGCGCTCCTGGTCTTCGTCCAGTTCGTCACTGGCCTTCATCTTGTTCAGCTTAATGAGCCAGTCTCTGAAAATAGGTTTCCAGCGATAATCCTGGGGCAAGAACGACGCAGCATTTATGCTCTGCAACAACTCCGTCAACAGTGGGTGCAGCTTATCCACTGAGGTCATATGCATACTCAAGGCATCCATAGTGGTGATGAATTCCTGAACAGACTTGGCCACGTATTTGGCATTATTCCCCGACATGTTTGCGTTTCCGTGCTCAATAGTGCTTGGAATTCCAACTTCCAGACGTCGGATGGCGGCTGGGCAATTGAGCTTGTATTTCTGCGTAAATTCGTGCAGGTCCGGCTGGCCGATGACAATTTGCGATACTGTCTTGTATTGAAGGAGCAGCTTGCTGCACTCGGATGTGTATTCGGTTGCTGAAATAGAGTCACGCGCAAAGGCCCGTTCTAGGTGCTCGAGTGACATGACAATGGCGTAGAGCGCAGCCATGTTTTCGTAGACTTCGCGCTCGGCCGATGAGTTGTACAGTTTGACCTCGTCCATGGCTTTTTGGCAGTTATTAGAGGAAATAGAGAATAGTAGCAGACAAGAAAAAATTAAATAGGGATGCTGATATTACTGTGCCAGTGAGCGAGCAAAAAAAAGACAACAAATAATTATAAGGGTCTCCCTCCTTTTTTTGGCGTGGTGCTCAGCAGGCCAAAACTTGGCGGTCAAGTGCGCCTATTTAAGTGCAGTCTTTCTATGGGCAGGCAGCACGTGTGCCGATGGCTCGGACACATGCTTACATGTTTGCAGTTCTGGCTCGAGCCGTAACAAAGTCTCTTTCTGTTTTTAATTTGCTCAATCCCTATTGGCGCGCATCTAGTCCAGTGAGAAGAGAAAAATTATTTGGAAACGGGCGCATGAATTTTCCACCTTTTTGTGTGGCAAACACATCAAAAAAAACATGGCATAAGCAAACACGCTTCTTTTTGCACTTTAATATTTTTTTTAACTTTAAGTGTGAGTAAAAGTGAGCGAATTGAGGCTATTCTTTCTTTTTCTTTTCTCTTTCTTATATTTTTATTGCACAAGCCTTTTTGTTTTTAATTTTTTCATTCACTCTTCTTTGTTAATTCACTCCCCTTTTTGACGACGTTTATTTGTGCTTCAGCGACTTTTCATTTCTTCCCTTTTATTATACCTTTGTTCCTTTTATTTATTTTATTAAAACATGGCAATCAGTGAGGGCTTCAAAAAGATGCCTCTGGCCAGCCAGCTGTGCTGCTGGATAGCGACGTTGCAAGCAGTGACAATAATCGGGCTGGAAATCGGCATACTAGTTTATGTGCTGAAAAACGTAGAGAACGTCTTTAAACATGGTCAGCGACAAGGGCGTGGCCATATACTTTCTTTTGCTGGTTATTGCGGCGATATTCGGGGTCTTCCTCCTAGTGGGCGGTGTGATGAACGGGGACACAATCCAGATTATCGGGTACTGTGCGTTCAGCCTCTTTGGCATGTCGTTGGCCATCTTCCGGTACTATCAGGTGAGGAGCTGGCTCTTGTCTGATTTCTACGAGAACGTGTTTCAGGACATACAGGGCCCATGCTGGCCAGCATTGGTGTGATGGCCGGCATGACAGTGTTCTTTGGTGTCATGGCGTACTTTTTGTACAACACATTTGGCTGGGAGATTTACAAGCGCGTCGGGGCAGATATGAAGATTCGGCGCATGTATATCAACTACCGGTTGTTTGTATTGCTGCTGAAAATCGACTTTTTCGTGTTTGTCGGGTTCGCAGTGTCGTACATCATTCTGATTCTCAAGTCGTCCGACCCTGAGTTTGCCATCACCATTGCGCTGGTGCCTGTGACGCTGCTCGTCCTGCTGCTGGCGTTCTGGTCGCTGCGCCGCGAGTCGGTCATGACCATGTGGGTGTTTATCGTGCTCTTGTGCGCAAGCACGGCTTATTTTGTCTACAAGTGCGCGCGCATGTATGACCCCAAGCAGGAGGCCAAGTTTGCTAAGCAGCGGCCGATGATGACATACTATACGATTGTGTCGCTGGTGGTCATCTCTGCGACGCTGCACCAGGCTGTCACTTGCCTGGCCAACTTTGGATATGGGCTCAAGGAGCGCGTCGAGATTACGCGCGGCAAGCGCAGCGACATGGAGCAGATCCAGGATTACTACGTGAATGCCGCAGGCGACCGTCGCATGAACCTCGATGGATAAGCAAAAAAATCAAAATGGGTTTTCCTGCCTCGAATAAGTGGTGGTTTTTCTTGTCCAAACATGTTTATTTTCTGTATTCTTTTTTCCATTGACATTACCTTTTTCTTTTCTATTCTGTATATTTGAATATATACATATATCTTCGAATTGTTAGGAATGGCCAGAATGTACTGTGGCAAGCTGTCGCCGCCAAAAATCAAAGTAGGTTAATCTGCGCTAAGCTGGTAATATATTGTTTTCCAGGAAAAAAACAAAGCAAAACAAAATAAAACAACAGAGGCGTCTCGAGTATGTGGCTGGCAGGGACGCGAGAAAATATTAAAAATAGGCAATATAAAGGCATCACATATATGAAAGAAAAGAAAAGAAAAGACAAGACATGCACATATCGTCAATATATGCCTAAAGGGTATTTCATTTCATTCTTCTGCATGTTCTCTTTGCTCAGAACAATACCAACGCTGGGCAATTGACATGCAGAGCGCCCATGTATGCGTGTGTCCGCGTGAGAGGAGCATACCTATATTGTTTCTTTAGTCTATTATTAGACAAAAAGCAAGCCCTCGAGCTTGCTCCCGCTCTCACTGCCACTGCCACTGCCACTTCAGTCCTACCTCGCGCATAAAGGCCAAGGGCAATCCACGGTGGAGGTGGAAACAGGGGCGGAGTGACATTCACCCAGTGTAATAGTAAAACTTTGAAGGCCCAATGAAACAATGCGTGGAACACAGAAAAAGAAAAGGTACAAGCTCATGGTTGCATCATTTTTCAAGTTGATTTACTTGATCCAAGAATAGAGCAGTAGACTAAAGTGTAAACACGGGTTACATGAAGAGGCCCCCGACTAAAAATAACAAAAAACACAATTTATCACCAGGTGTAGCCGATAAAACGTATGCCCAACGTTTGTGATAGCATACATTCTTTGAATTATTATTTTTAGTTGTCTTTTTTCCGCTATTTCTTTTTTTTATACTTTTAGGCTTCTTGGCACTTTGGGTTTTCGGTTTCAAAGCACTATTTTCTTTTTTTCTTTTATTTTCTTTCGTCTTTGGGCTTTAGTTTAGGCTGCTTTTGTCTTTTCGTTCGTCGCTCTTCTTAACTCGCTTTCTCACTTTCTCACTTTCCTCTTCTCACTTTTTCTTCTTTCACTCACCCACTATTTTTATTTTTATTTTTGCATGTTTACTTGTATTTGAGCAGCATACAGACACACTATACGCCTTTCACGACCAAAACAAAAAACACCAAGAGGAAAATTTATACAAGTCAAACTAAAAAAGGGATCTACTCAAGAATAACAGCAATTGTTTTTCCCTCATTTTTTTAAACTCTCTCTCTTTCTGACTTTTTTATCACTCTCTCTATCTATATTCACCACACACAACATTTTTATTACACAATGAATAGAAGGAGAGACTCTAGCAGCAGCATCAGCGGGTTCCAGTCATCACCACGACAACATCAGCAGCAGCAGCAGCAGCAGTATGACACCTCACAGAACTACCCTCAGCAGCAGTCATACAACTATGCAAACTACGACGACCACAGTCCCATGCCGATGCCACCGCCCCAGGTCGGGCATGTGCGCAATCCCTCGGCTTCCACAGCAGGAATGACGGACGACAGCCCGTTTTTCAGCGCGCAAGAAGAGACCTTTCCGTCGCCCAAGCCGCTGTACAACAACACGAACAACCACAATAGTTACAACAACAGCTACAACAACAGCAGCTACCAAGAGGACCAGTACGGGTATGGATACGGCAACAGAAACACAGTCATCAACCCTTACGCTGACGGCGCCGCACTAGCAGGGGGGCAGCAGCAGCTGGAGCAGGGGGGTTCTATGGCACACCGCATGCCGAGTCCGCATTGACAGCCGGCGGCGGATCGCTGGACAAGGAGGCCTCTGAGCTAAACCAGCTCAAGCCCAACGGCGGCAGTGGATCATCCATGAAGCGGCGACACCAGCGCCGCAAATGCTGCGGCAACGGCATGTACTGCTTCTGCTGCTCGCGCCGATGCTGTTGCATTTTCCTTCCGATTCTCGCCGTCATCCTGGTCGCGCTAGGCGTCACACTGTTCTTTGTGTTCCCGAGGATCCCCGAGGTCACCTTCTCGGGCGTCTCTGTGGCCGGCACCAATTCGGCCACCAAGGATATTTCAATTTCGGATTTGTCCGACAATCTGACGGTTAACCGGCGCGGCGTGGTGACGGTTCCGCTGATCATCTCGCTCAACCTCACCAACCCCAACTTCATCCCCTGGACGATCCACAATGTTACGGTCGACGGGCTGCTGAAGAACACGACGACTGGCGGCGAGGACTATCCGGTGGGCGAGGGTGGCCTTGTGGTGCCGTTCAATATGCCGCGCAAGTCGGTCGGCAATACCATGCCATCAGGTTCAATTTCCACTTGGACACAAACAACACGAACTACCTGGACGCTGCCGTCATTGTGCAGCAGGCGTGCACGGCCGGCGGGCCCCAGCTGCGCTTCCGCTACCACGCCAAAGTCATTATCAAGGCCATCTCGTGGCTGGGAATCAAGCCGGTGATCTCAGACACAATCAAATTTGACTGCCCCGCCAAGGAAATCGAGAGCCTGGGATCAACATCAGCGACCTGACCGGGCTACTGAACGGCGTTGTCTTGTAGTGTTGGAGTTGGATAGCATGCATTCGGAGCTTACCTTTTCGCATTTTTTGTTTGTATAAAGGATGCCGGTTGTCTTGTTTTTTAAAACCCGAAAAATTGCCAGGAAAAAAGCAGCAGGGCTGAATGCGCCCTTTTTCATTCGGACCAAGCAGTACGGGGTGGGATCGCAGCAACAGCAGACAGCAATGACAGCAGCGGCGATCAATCTATCAAACAAGAAAGAAAGAACAGCCGCTTTTTCCACAGCCTTTTTTCGTTTCGGATAGTGTTTCGTTTTTATTTCTTTTTACCTCGTCAAAATTGTAAATATTTCCTCTCCTCTTTAATTTCCACCTCATTTCCTTTATATAATTCCACAACTAATTTTTTCCATCGCAAATGATCAGCGCCGTGTTCATCTACAACCAAAAGGCGAGGTGCTCATTTCGCGGCTGTACCGCCACGACGTCAAGCGGTCAGTGGCAGATGTGTTCCGCGTACACGTAATTTCATCGCCAACCTCGGTGGTGCGCAGCCCGGTGACAACCCTGGGCAGCACAAGCTTCTTCCACATCCGCTATGACAACCTCTGGCTATGCGCAGTGACCAAGAACAACTCGAGCGCAGCGCTGGTTTTCGAGTTCCTGTATCGGCTCCTGGGACTGGGCGTGTCGTACTTCGGGCGGTTCGACGAGGAGGCTGTGAAGAAAACTTTGTGCTGATATACGAGCTGCTCGACGAGGTGCTGGATTTTGGGTACCCCCAGAACATCGAAGTGGACACGCTCAAGCTGTATGTGACGACGGAGAGCGTGCGGTCAAAGAACGTGGTGGAGGCACCGTTGCCGCAGAGCATCACGATGCAGGCGACGGGCGCGACGACGTGGCGCCGCAACGATATTGCGTACAAGAAGAACGAGGCCTTTGTTGATGTTATTGAGAGCGTCAATTTGATTCTGTCGGCCAAGGGCACTGTGCTGCGCGCCGACGTGCAGGGCCAGATCGTCATGCGCTCGTTCCTGTCAGGCATGCCCGAGTGCAAGTTCGGTCTCAACGACAAGCTGGTGCTCGAGCGCGACTCGGCAACAGCAGCTGCCAGGGGCCTTTCTGCGTTGACGCCGGTGGCGCCGCGTGGGCTGGGGTCGCGCGCCGGCGGCATGGGCGGCGTCGGCGACGGCGAGAGTGTCGAGATTGCCGACTGCCAGTTCCACCAGTGCGTGCGGCTCGGGCGGTTCGACACGGACCGCACCATCTCGTTCATCCCGCCTGACGGCGAGTTCGAGCTCATGCGGTACCGCACAACGGAAAACGTCAACCTGCCGTTCAAGGTGCTGCCTGTTGTGCGCGAGATGGGCAAGACGCTCGTCGAGTACGAGGTGCTGATAAAGTCAAACTTTAGCTCCAAGCTGTCGGCGACCAACATGGTTGTGAGTATCCCGACGCCTCCGAATGCGACCAAGTGCCGCATCAAGGTGTCGGGCGTCGGCAAGGCCAAGTACCACCCTGAAGAGAACGCCATTGTCTGGCGAATCTCGCGCTTCCAGGGCCTACAAGAGACGTCGCTGACTGCTGTCGTTGACCTGGCGCCCATGGCCAAGCCTGTGCCGTGGTCGCGCCCGCCCATTGCGTTGGACTTCCAGGTGCTCATGTTCACGGCGTCGGGGCTGCTTGTGCGCTTCCTCAAGGTCTTTGAAAAGTCGAACTACCAGTCCGTCAAGTGGGTGCGGTACATGACCAAGGCCGGCAGCTACGAGATCCGGATCTGATCTGATCTGATTCGGCGTGATCTGCACCGGTCTGATTCGGCGTGACTCGAAATGTGCGCGTGACCACCCAGAATTCGTGCATTTGAAAACGTGATTTGCGGTCTCACGTGCGCCCAGCCAGCCTGCTTGCCAGCCTGAGAATTAATCCCTGCCCGCTTCTAAGCATCCGCGAGAGGAGAGCAGGCCAAGTGGCGACGCCATCATCATGGCAAATCGAGGGAGGAGAGAGGTGAAAAAGGCTGCCTGCTCTACCTTTTCTTTTCTTTCCGCATTCTCTGACCACCTCATCTTTCCCTTCCCCTTTCCTCTTTTCCTTCCGCATATTTTCTGTACTCTCTCTCTCCATTTTATATTATTATATATTACTACTACCTTTGCAACAACAGCCACCTCTTTTATTCAACCCACCCCTCCCAAGCTTCTTACTCCCGCCCCTGCATAATGCGCATTGCCCTGCTCGCTCTCGCTGCCCTCGCCGCCGTGGCCACCACCGTCGCTGCCCGCGAAGTGGGCCACCAGCACCACTTTGGCGCCAGCGGCCACCCGCACCCATCAAGACCCGCCGAGGACCTGCGCCTTTCGCACGACATGCAACCTGGCAGCCTCTACGTCTCCGCGCGCCTGATCAAAGTCAGCGAGCACACCAAGGCGCGCTGGCTGCCGCTAGACGACATCCTCGCCCTGCGCCGCGCAGGCGTCAAGTTCATCGACATAACCGACGCGCAAGAGCTGCACGAGTCCAGCGTGACTGCATCGTCGTCCGAGTACGTGTCGCGGCTGCCGCAGGTTTTGGGCCGGGGCAAGGAGGTCAACGGCGCGATTGGCCTTTTGTCGACCGAGCTTTACGGCGATGTGCTGAGGCCCTTCACAGCGTTCCACAACCGGTACTACGACTCAGAGAACGGGCGCAAGTCATCCGAGTGGCTGCAGGGCCAGATCCAGCAGCTTGTGACTGGCACCAGCAAAGCGGGTGCAAACGTCACCGTTGAGGCCTTCAAGCATCGGTTCCCGCAGTCCTCAATTATTCTGCGCTTCCAGGGCGCCTCCGATGAGATCGTGGTTGTGTCTGCGCACCAAGACTCGGTCAACATGTGGATTCCCTGGTATGGCCGCGCTAACGGTGCCGATGACGACGGCTCAGGCACAGTCACTATTCTCGAGTCCCTGCGTGTGCTGCTTGCCAGTGACTTCCAGCCTGAGCGCACGGTTGAGTTCCACTGGTATGCCGGCGAGGAGGGCGGTCTCTTGGGGTCGCAGGATGTCGCGCAGGCGTACAAGCGCGATGGCCGCAAGGTTGTCGGTAACCTGCATTTCGACATGACGGGCTTCTGGCGCCAGAGCGGCGAGGAGCTCATTGGCCTGGTTGCAGACAACACGGACGATGAGTCGCGCGCGCTAGTCAAGAAGCTGGTTGGTGAGTACACGCGTCTGAAAACCCGCGAGTTCAAGTGCGGCTACGGGTGCTCGGACCATGCTAGCTGGAACAAGGCCGGGTTCAGGTCCGCCATGGCCTTTGAGTCGGACGAGCTCGAGGGCAACACTTACATCCACTCACCCAAGGATACCGTTGAGACCCTGGACTTTAACCACATGCTTGAGTTCTCCAAGCTCGCTGTCGCCTATGCCTACGAGGTTGGTTATGACCACGGTTTGGACTAAATTTAGGGAACAGGTTTTGTTCTTGTATTCTTTCTGTTTTTTAAAGCATTTTTACCCTCCCCCACAAAAACATTGTTGCGTCTACAAAGAAACTGAGTCGTCATTTGCTTTCTCTGCATTTTGCGTCTGCAAAAGAAATCCCTTCAAATGCAGGTTCACAATAACGGATATACAAACGAAACAGGGTCTTTGTGAATTTGGATTCTTCTTGTGTACTTGGCTTTTTTAAGGAAGTGTTTAAAATTAGATTCTTCCATCCAGTTTTTCTTTTACACAAAGAACGTGTTATTTTTTGTAAACCAAAGTCCAAAGGCCAAGTTCCACAAGGCCCAAGGCTCAAAGTTTAGGGCCAAGTCCTGCAGAGAAAGCTGTAGAGAAAAATAGACTGACGTGCTTTTTGTATTTTATATTGGTAATTTTTTTTGGAGGAGACGTGGGACCCAAGAACAAATTACTTATAAACCTTGTTTGCTTCTCTTCGTTTTCAACATTTTCTATTTTTCTCCTAACGTTTTTCACTTACCCATCCTTTCTCATCTCATCTCATTCCATCCCATCCATCGCATTTTGCATTTTGCATTTTTTATTTATTTATTTGCATTTATAACATTTATTCTTCATTTCGCATTAACGACCATCACATAAAAAACACCTTTTTACGCATATATCACACATTGTATTCATTCATTCATATATATATCACGCATCTCAAGCCTACATAAAAACTGCACCATATATTTTTTATTTACGCTCACATCCTTTTTTTCATTCTCATCTTTTACTCATAACTTCATTTTATAACCATTTATTTCCCTTAAAAGCAAAAACACCTTTACAATTATCATGTTTGCCTCTACTGCTCTTACTTCCGCCGCTCCTTTTGTTTCTTTCGGCACTATAGTTTCAAAATGCATTCCTCGGTCCGTTATCCAGTCCACCGTGCTGTTCCCATCTCGGATCGGCAGGCCAGCATACACAGAGACCGGGTATGCCTATGTCTCGTCGCTGAGTACCGCGTTTACCGCCAGCGCCAGCACCAGCATTGAATATGACAATGAAAGCAGCATTGACCATGATGTGGATATGGAATTGACTCTAGCAGCTCTGATGAAAGCTCATTGTCATTATCGTCATTGTCGTCGTCGTCGTTTGGTATGTCCACGGGGTTAAAAACAGTCACACTTCAGGCCATCAAACAAGATAGCCAACATATTAACCGCAGCTTGGAATCCGTCATTTGTCCATCCGAGTCCTGCTCAGGCACCGGCGACTGGCTTGTGCACAGCCCCGCAGCCCCAGCAGCCTGGGTGGTCGGCGGCTTGGCATTCGCGTTAGGCATTTGGTTTATATTCCATCATACAAATGGCAGAACAAGGTGTTTCTCGGTGGGTCAGTGGCCATGGCCTCTCTGTGCCTCAGTTTGTTTCTGCGTGCCGTCCTGGTTAAATTGTCCGATACTGGGCAACAAGGGGCGTATAAGGCGTCGTTATTCTTTAATTACTTTTCAGGTGTCTTAGTGCTTCACCTGATTGTTCCATGATATTAAGGCTGAGGGCGCATTTCCATCCCTTAGTGGGCAAGGCTCACACTGTTATCACTTGGCTTCCACGTTTGCTTCTCATGGCCTGCGCCGGTCTTTCTGCAGCCGCTGTCGCCGTCATGTTTTCAGAATCGGATATCGACACAACGTGATGGGCGGCACAAGCACGAGAATCACCCAGACCTTGCTGATTCTCGTCATGATCGTGTCCCTGGGATGTCCACGCTGGTTGGTAAGATGGCCAACTATGATGGTGCAGAATACTTTTCACGCCATCTTCATATTGCTTTCTCTACTATTGGGCTTTTGCTTATTTGGGCGGCGTTTATGCTGGCTAGAACTTTTGTGGCTCTGGACAGTCCAGCAAGAAGCAGTGAGGTTATGTTTTATTGCTAATGTTATGCCACTGATATTGGTTGTCGGCGTCATGACAGTGCTTAACGCCCCCTTGACATACAATTTCCAACTGACTTCCAACTGGAAGTGGGTCTCTTGAAAAAAAAATCAGTTTTTTATTGTTTATTATGTAATATTTTTAATCTCATCAATATAAAGATATTTGTGTTTGAAAATAATTAAATTATTGACATAAATACCAAGTTGGTATTGATATTGATATTGATAACGATAAATAAAAAAAGCTTTTATTGGGCTTTAGAAATGATAGCTACCTGTTTTTGCATCATACTTTGCACGCAACAAAGGATCGAGGTATACTTGCTTTTCCATATCAGGCGAAAACGGAGGCGAACTCTTGAGCTGGAAAAACGGATGGTTTCCAGCAAACGTGTCCTGCCAGTACCGGTACGCCCTATGCTCACGGCGCGTAGTCTTTTTCTTATACTCCTCAATCTCTCGCTCAGACAAGGTTGCCAACAGATAATGCGGGTGAACAACCAGGAGCTCAGCGCCAACCTGCCCAAAACCATACGACTTGAGTAGCGCAGCCTTGACCATGGGTGTCTGGATCGACCGGGATGGGTAAAAAATATACTCACAGCATAGTTCCTTATCAATATTGTCTGCGTTGCGGTTGCCCGGGACCAGACCAGTGCGCATTGACTGTATGGCGCCGTTAAGCATCCAAGCGGCGGCCGGGCCCTTGGGATGGCCAGTGAGCCATTTTTGGCATACTGCCGGTATGGCCAGCCCCGGAGAGCGGCCTAGGGCGCGTAGCTGAGCGTCCAGAACCTTGGATTCATTCAGGTCGTTGGCTACCGTGGCTGTCCCATGCAGAGATGCCAGTCCAATATCGTTGGCGCATAAACCCCATGCCGCCAGGCTACCGCGCAAAGGCGATATCTTGGAGTTTTTGCGCCAAAAATCTATCCCCCAGGTGTCCAAAGCAGCTGCGCGGCGCGCCTCTGCTTGCTCTGCAATTGCAGACACAGCTTCGGAATTATCCGCTTCTTGCTGGGTTTTTAAGGATGCCCAGGAGTTAATAAATTTGAGCTCGGCTTGTAGTTGGCGCTTGCGGTATTCGATGCTAAGCAAGGGCAATGATGACAAAGGCGGGAGTTGTTGCTGCTGTTGCTGTCTGGCGGAAGTCAGTAGACCCATTCCGGGCGCCGGCAGCGAGTAACCTTGTTTATCAGTCGCCGATCCAGTATAAGCAATAATAGCATAAATAGGCGCGCCAAACTCCAGCGCCGCCGATGCCGACATTAAAACAACCACACCAGCACCCTGTGTTTCAACAAATCCCGACCTCGAATGGGTTGATGGACGGGACATTTCGCGCGGCAACCTTCCCTGTGCTTCTTCATTAGTGGAAGAGCAAGTGGCGCCCATTTGGGCAAACTCGTAGCTGCCTTGGTCGACAATACCTTCGAAGGCACCGGCCATCATGACGCGCGCTTTGCCTTGGCGAATTGTATCTGCGGCTACATCAATAGACAATAGTGCAGAGGCGCAGCCGCCAGTTGGAGTTTTGATGGGGCCCGCGGAGGAAAGTAAAAGCATGTTGACCCAAGCAGCCATACTGTTGGCGAAGGTCTCCTGTAGGATATCACTTTGGACTGGTTTGTCCGTAATCGGCGGCGGTACAGATCGCGAATCGAGTGCACGCCGCCGGCGCCAGATCCCATTGATGTACCGACTTCGGAAACGTGAAAGTACGCATAGAGCTCGTAGGGGTCGGTGATTCCGGAGCGCACGAGAGCCTCGACTGTGGCAATGATCGCGTAGCAGGTGACGAGATCAACCTGCTGGATGATATCTTTGGGGATTCCGTAGCGCTCGGGTGACCAACCAGAGGGAAGCTGGGCGCCGACAAGCCGGTCAAAGCGCAGAGCCTTGGGTACCATTAGACATGCACCCCGGAGGAACCGCACAGACCACGAGCCATCACCATTATCCCAAATGTCCACCTTATCTTGGTTGCGCAGTTTGAACTGCTGCGCCTCATCGGCGCTTGCTTCAAAGGCCGGCAGTCATGTTGGATCTGAAGCTCGCGCATTAGCGGGATCACCGCCGGGTCCTGGACATCCCACAGATGGTCGGCCTCGAGTGTACGAATTCCGGTATGTTCTAGGATGAATTTCTCGTACTTGCGCTTAATGTCCTTGTCAGCCACCGTTTCTCCTGTTTTAGCATCGACCCAGCCAACGTGTCCTTTAGGTGCGTTTTTAATCAGGCCCATGATCCACGCTAGCTCAATGCATCCCTCGAGGGAAAACTCTCCGTACGCTTCCATTTCCCACCGTGTCTCTGCGTTGCCGTACGGGCCAACTTCGCCGTAGCCGGTCACTACGATGACTTTGTCCAAATTAGCCATGCCCTCAAGCTGTCTTAGGTCACGCAGCTGGTCGTGGCCGGGCGACATGGACGGCGGCTGGGTAAAATACTGCCGGTGGTTGAACAACGGATCAACCCCATACTCCTTATGCAATATACCGGCATCGTGGCCACTGGCGACTGAAATATCGGCGAAATACGACATGGCAATGGCATTGCGGCGGCTGCACTCGGCAGCCAGTATTGTCGAATCCCAGCCATGGTTTCGGCTACGTTCTGAATGCGCTGCAGGCCGCCGTTCAAGTCCGCCCAGATAGGCGACAGGTGGGACATGGCAATGATGCGTGGGTGGAGGAGGCCGAGAATATTGAATGCCATTTCGGCGGTCGAGAATGTGCGGCCGCCGTGGCTCTGCCGCTCGACATGTTCAGCCGCAGGGTTGTTGATGGACATTAACCCAGTACCGCGCGTCCAGCCAATGACAGCCCGGCAATTGAAATCAGGCTGCCCCAGGACTCTGACCGCCACCTGCTAAACACAGTCTCCAGAGCTGCTTTGCTCTCTCCGTAGAGCCCGTCGTAGCCGAGTTCGCCGTGGTTGGGTGACATGGGAAGAACCGCAAGGGTTGGCCACTCGTCCCATTGGCGCACCTCCTTGGCGTGCTTAATCTCGCCTAGCAAGCGCATTACATTGGTGAGCATCAGCCGCATAGAGAGTTCACAGAGGGAGCCTAGCTGGGAAATGTCGGAGCCGTAATCAGCAAGCGCAGCAAAGGGCAGGACGTAGTCAAGATTGCGTCCCAAAGTACTATAGATAAAATCGACAAGTTGGGACACATCCTGCGTGGATGCCTGGTTGAACGGCACAACAATAAGAACAGATCCTTTGGCGCCATAGTCTCTGTACAGCTGCTCGTAGAACGGCATTACCTTAGCATAGCTTGTCGTGGTGGCAATAACAAAGGAGCCTCCGGACAACAAGCCCTGCAGCACCTGGGCGCCGATTGATCCTTGGCTGGCACCCGTAATAAGCACAGTGGTGTTGGCAAATGAGACACCAGCGGCGGTGGCGCATTGCTCGTGCAAGCAACTGTAGTACTCGGCTGACTGCTCCTCAGAGTACTCCCAGGTATACGATTGTGTGCGTTGGCGCAGGTGGATGAGCGGAGGGAACTCTGCGTGCTTGGCACTGACATTCCTGACGTACTCGGCAAAAGTGGGCTCGCCAGGGCGCGGCGAACATTCGGAGTAGGATAGTTTGCCGGCAACGCTGATTTCGGTGGCCGGATGAGATGGCCGGGACAATTCGCGGTACACCGGCTGAGCACCGCTACCTTCTGTCGAGCCAAGAGCCTCAGTGCACCGTGCGTGTATCTTGTGCAGCAGCAGCAGCAGCTCTGCGGCCTCAGTGCTTTTGCCAGCAGAAGGCTGCGTAGCAACATCCAGATGATGAATAAGGCCGTCAAGCAGAGCAATTAGTGCGTCGTCGGCGCGGTTAGCAATCATCAGTATCCGGCGCTGAGTGGACTCTGCGGCCCAATCAACAGGCAACTTTGATACACGTACGCTGTTAAACCAGGAAACCACGTCCTGGCGTGCCCAGTTCCAGTACGAGTCAAAGCGCCGGGCCTTTTGTGGGCTGAAGATGCCGCGGATGCCGTCGATAAATTCCGGGCCCAGCTCGGCGGAAATGCCGTCTAGCCTCTGGGTGGTTTCGATGTTTTTCTGCTGCAGCTTGTGTAGTACATCGTGGGTGGTGGGCATGGATAAGCCTGGCTGCTGGTGCTGGTGGTTGGCAGACGGAGGAGCTGCCAGGTATTCGGCGTACGCTTGGATCTGCTGCTCGGCCATGCGGCGCAGCTTGGTCTGGGCATGGTCAAACTCGGCGCTGTTGATATTTGCACCGCCCGCCAACAACAGCGGAGACAAAGCCGGCCGACCCGATTGGCTAGAAGAGGATGTTGCCGGCAGCAGATCAATTCCCGCAGCATCCGCGTATGTCCGTGCCACCAATGCCAGCCATTCTTCAGCTTTATCCTTGTCCTCCAGCCTTACCGCCGGCTCCATTGTCAATGCCACCAAAAGTGCAGCATCCTGCTGATGCGCTTTCACCAGCCCATGTGTGTCAGCCAAACCGCGGCGGGCAGCCGAAATTGAAACGCTGCCAGGCATCTTGGCGCTGAACAGGCGGGCGACCTGCGCGGCGGTGTATTTGCCAAGCCCCTTGAGGGGTTGCTTTAGGTTAAGACCGGAGCTGACTTCGGATAGGCTGATTTCGTCGATGCGGTCGGGGATTGGTTGGGTTGTAAGGATGTTGAATTCTTTGAGAAGGTCGCCGATGATTTCGTTGAGCAGCGTGGATTTGCCGCCGGTGAGCTCCCGCAGTGAGCTGCTGGCTGGTACATCGACGAGCGGACGCTTGGTCTTCTGGGCGATGACGGCGCAAATGACATCGACAGCAGTGAGTGGCACGTCCTTGACAATGGTGAGCGGCACGTCCTTGGCAATGGGGGGCGGCACGTCCTTGACGACAGCCAGTGGCACATCCTCGACTAGCATTGCGGGCTTTTCCAGCTTGTTTATCGCTTGGGCCTGGGCCTGGGCCTGGGCCTGGGCCTGGGCCTGGTCCTGGGCCAGCCTGGGCGCCCGGTAGTAGACGTCGTCCTCATCACGCAGCACATGCATCAGTGCCACACGGCCATCCATTCCAGCAACCTTGAGCGAAGCCTCAGCCATCCGGCACAGAATTGGAACAGCACCGATTTCGACAACTCTCTCCACCTGCATCTCATTAAACAAGCGATCCTGTGTTTCGATCCACCGAACAGGCGACGCAAACTGATACGACAGCAGCTCAATAACAAGCACGCTGGCCAGCCGCATTCTCTCCTCAGGATGATCCTCAAACGCCCTTTGCTCATCCTCCGGCCACAAGGACAGCTCGTGGGCAAGCACGGGGGAGTGGGTTTGCTCGAGGACCTGGGTGGCGAATGCGCGGGTGACGTGGAAGCGCTGTGCATTGATGTTGGGAATGTAGCGGCCCTGCATTATGGCCATATCCGTGTCCGTGGCCGGATCATCCGGTGGATGCACGTGCGGAACTGGTCGGCGCCCGAAATCAGGTGGGTAGAGTGGAACGGAACGTCGATGCCTGGCAATGGGATGGTCGCGCGGCTGCGGCTGAGCGTGCGGCAGTCGTTGAGGCTGGGCGCGGCAGTTTGTGCGATGATGGCGAGCGCTGATGGGCGCCAGGAGCCGCTGCGGCCCGGCTGGTCCAGCATTGCGCCCAGCTGGTCCAGCACGGCGCCCAGCACGGCCAGCAGCGGCCGCGTGCCGGCGACAACGTACTGGTGGCCACGCACATTGTAGTTGACGATCTCCAAGAGCCCGCACGTGCTTGTTTGGCCAATGGCGTCGACGACGAAGGCCAGGCCGGCGTCGGTGAAGGTGGAGGCAACGCGTGCGGGGTTGACGGCGACCATGGCAAAGTCCGACATATGGCTGGCGTCTCTGTTCACAGTGGCCTGCATGGTCATGCCGCGGATAAAGGTGATGTCGATAATGTCCTCCAGGCTGATCAGCCCAAAGGCCGACAAGGCTCCGTATTCGCCCAGCGAGTGGCCGGCGACGCAGGCGCTGGGCGGCACCAGCCCATGCGCGCGCATATCGGCCATCGCGGCGATGTCAAAGGCCATAATCGCCGGCTGCGCAAACTGCGTCGCATGCAGGAGCCCGGCCGCCGCGTGGAACGTCAGACTCGGCGCAGCCGGGGTCACCTCGGGAAAAAGCGGAACGACCTCGGCCTTGTGCTTGTCATTATTGCTGCGGCGCTTGAACTCCATGTAGTTTCTGCGGATGCGCGCGCCGCTGGCGCCGCCAAAATGCACGGTGACGTCACGGGGGTTATCGCGCATAATTGAGAGCAGCGAAAACCCAAAGCGCGCGCGCATGTGGCGGTCGGCGCGGTCAAGCACGGCGCGCGCTACCGGCGACCGCGCGTACAGCGCCATGCCCATGCCGGGCTCCTGCGAGCCCTGCCCGGTGAACGCGAACGCGGTGCGTGGCGCGTCGACTGTCGCCGTGCACTCGAGAACGCGTGCGGCCGGGTCGGCCAACCGGTGGACGTGGCCGCTGATGACCAGTGCGCCGTCGCTCATTGCCACGTGCTCCAGGTGCACAAGCAGCCGCTCGCCGGGCTTCACGGCGCCCAGGACCCGCGCCGAGAACGCCGTTGTGCGCTGCGGGCAGCCGCCGCCCGCGGTTTTTTCGACCAGCGCGCGTGCGGCAGCAGAGCACCAGGCCGATAATCCCAGGCCAGCAAAGTTTGGAAACCCGGCGCCGCCCAGGCTCGAAAAGGCACACGCGTCGCCCAGGCTCGAAAAGCGCGCGTCCGGCGCTCTCACTTCCAAGGGCTCGCGCGTCAGTGAGTACGTGCCGCCGGGCAGCGGGCAGACGTTCGGCGTGTCAATGTACGCGAGCGGGCTGGTGTAGTCAGGTTGCATGCCTTCGCGCAGCCGCTGCAGATACGCCAGCACCGGGTTGCCGCGCGACATGCTCTCCACGTATGCCACGCGGCCGATCAGCTCGCGCGTGTACACGCCCTTGCGCAAGCACACAGTGCCATCGGTGCGCACGCTGTCGTAGGAGCCATCGGGGCGCAGCGCGTACTGCGAGTGCAGGCGGAACACCAGCCGCGCGCCAGGCAGTAAGCAGAAGGCTGAGCCGTTGCCGTTGCCGTTGCCGCTGCCGCTGCCGTTGCCGCTGCCGCTGCCGTTGCCATCGCCATCGCCATTGTCAGCGTAAGCAAACCATGGCTTTGACTCAAGTATTGCGACGTCATCGGCCGACGCCAGAAGCACCGTTTGCTCGGGCTCCGAGGTGTGCCGGAAGCCTGGCCCGGTAAGCTCAATGCCTGGGAACAAATACGAAAACGTGACTTCAGCTACGCAGGTGTCCTGGCGCAGCACTGACACAAACACCACAGCGGCCATGGCGTTGGCTCCCGGCTGCTGCGACACTTCGATGACTCGGGCGCGGCACTCGACTGAGTCGCCGATGCGCAGGTGCGCGTGCACAGGCGGCACACCGCCTGGAATCAGCCGCGTGGCTGTCGACGAAAGCTCGGCCACGAGAAGGCTGTGGCTGGCCGCATCATTGGCTGCCAGCGCAGCAAAGGCGCTGCGCTGCGCAATCACCGCCGACAGGTAGTCTAAGGGCACGTGCATGGCATCGTCCGAGTTTGGTGGGTACGCTGCCAGGTCAATGCCGTTGGCGCGGCAGAACGCGCCCACACTCGCGGCCGTGATTTCAAAGCGTGAGTTTTCCCCGCTGGACTCGTCAGAAAAGAGGCGGCGGGTACTGCGGGTGCGCTGCGCCATGGCCTCGTGAATCGGTGCCCAGGGCGTCGCCGGGCTGAACCGGAACGCCAGGTCCAGGCGCCGGCCACCGTGGAAAATTCCCATGTCGACGGTCCTCTCGCAATACTGTACGATGCGCTAAGCTCGACTGGGTCGTCTGTGTTGCTCCGCTGAGCTCCAGCGACACAGGAATGCCGGATTCTGCACATACAACGACGCGCGCTTGGCGCCCCACACGCGCCTGCAAAAGGCGCGCCGCGTAGTTTGCCGCCAGCTTGGCGCCCTGCACATGCTTGGCGCCGCCAGCAGCGCAGAAAGCCAGCACGCACTGCCCCCCGTAAGCGCATCTGCCCACGCAGCCTGGTCCGCCGAATCGCCGTTGCTACCATTATCCATGCTTTCTGCCACCAGCCGCACCAGGCGCACGGTCGTGCCGTCATCGGCCGCTTCGCTGAGCACAGTAATGCCCTTGTAATCCGCCGCCGGCCCAGTGGCAGCCTTGCCGGCGTTGGAAACCAGCTTGTCTTGGTTCTGGTCCCGGAGAAGCTGCTCAACCGTTGCCTCGTAAATTCCGTTGAGAATCTCGCCGACCGGTTGGTTGGCAGTCTTGGTGTACGCCACGGCAATGGGGCTGTGCGGCACCAGCACGCGCTGTACATCGCGATCCAGCACTGCGTCCATCTCGCTGCACTGCGTCAAGCAGTCGCGCATCATGTACCAAGCAAACCGCTCGTCCATCACCGGCACAAACGGCACCGGGACTGTCTGCTCGGCGTGAGTGCACAGGTTGACAAAGTAGTGCACGTCTTCGGACGCCAGCAGCTGAGTAAACATCCGTGGGTACTCCTGCTTGTAGCTTGCAATTTCGTCCAGCACAAGTTCGTAGTCAGCGGACAGAGCAACGGGCTCACTCAGCTCCACCTCACTTGCTTGAAGCCGCATTGCCGTGCGGAAGGCAAACTTGGCCACAAGCGCGTGCAGGCTGGGGTCGGCCCAGCGCTTCTGTCGCTTGACATACATGAGCTCCACCAGCCGGTCCAGCACCTCGGCGTATGTCATGTCCTGCAGCTCGACAACTGCAGAACCAGCCGTGGTGTCATTGGCGGACTTTTTGCCGAACCACGGCCGCATGTAGTCCGCGTTGAGCCGCTCGACAATCTCTTGTTTGCGTGCCTGCAGCAACGCCAGCTGCTTCTCGCGAGGCTGCCCAAACACTGTATCGCTGAGGTCACGGCACAGCAACGCCGCACGAGTAGCCAGTACGTGCATGGGGAGCCCCTTATCGTCCAGAACCGAAACAACGCCAGCCGAGGGATCCGCTGTGTGGAGCAGCTCGATGTCATACGCAGAGATGCCTGGCATCTGAGCGATTAGTTGTTTGACCTCTGGTCTACGGGCGACTCTTAGCTGCCATCACACGCGAGCGCAGCATAATCCCGTCAAAAGGCATGGCAGCCTGGCTACTGCTGCCGCCACTGCACCCGACGCCCAAGCGCCCGAGATGTACGGAGCTGCGTCGTTGGCGTCGCCAAACCCAGCGCCGGCGACAAGCACAATGTTGGGGTGCGCGCGGATAGCCGCGTACACGACATAATGGGAGTGTGGAATTCTTCGTATGAGTGCCGCCCGCCACTGCGCCACCCATCCACTGGAGCATAATGAACACCGACGGGTACGCGCCAGCAATTTCGACGGCAGCAAGCAATTGCTTGCGCGTAAGCGGCCGCAACGCCAGGTACTGCAGGCCGGCAGCCGAAGTTCGTTGATAAACCAGCGCTGGCAAGGTCGGGGATGGCGCCGTCTTCGATGCCCAGCCCAATAATAGGCAGCCCACGCTGGCGCATTAGCTTGGTTGTACTCAGCTGCCATTCCCATTTGCTGCTGTTGCTCCAGCTTGCGCCGCTTAGCGCTATCCAGTGTCCGTGGGGCTGTTTGCTGCAAAGCTCAGCAGTGCGCTTTGTTAGCTCACGCTCACTGCGGATATGGCTAATATCCAGCTCTGCCAGATACCCCGCGTGCGCAACAGCAGCAACAAAGTCCACGCTGGCCGTTGTGGGGTCCATTCCGCCGACCAGCACCATGGGCATCCCGCTGAGAAGACGGTGCAACTTGGTGTCAATGTGTAGCTGGGTCTTTGTAGTGTCTGGAGCTCCATTGTGCAGCAGGCGGGCGGCGTACGACTCTTCCAGTTTGCAGCTGTGCCAGCCAAATTATCTGCAGCGGCCATTAAAGGCCTGCGCAGGATTGAAGAGCAGTGCCAATATTATTTCAATGGCAGCAACGCGGTCTGCGCACACCAGCGATATGCCGCGGCCCTGGATGATCTGGAATGTGGCCCGGCGGACCAACGCAGTCTCAGAGCTGCCGCTGGTCATGTCCACAATGTGCGTCATGCCTGGGCAGCTGAGCGCAACCGGCCACTCAGCAGGTCTAGTGTACAGATACTCTGCAATGACTCGCGTCAGGTTGCTACTCTTGCTGCGGATATCCGCGCAGCTACCGTCCGGAGCGCGCACAGATGTAATCATATCCGTGGCTGCAAACAGCCAGCCCTTGCTTTGCGCATAGTCCATGTGCCGATCAACTACTGGCGCCATGTGTGCGCTGTGGAATGCGCCAACCGCAAGAAGCCTTTTGAGCACAACGCAAGGCTTGCGCAAAATAAACGGCACGTTGTCTTGGTCACCGTCCGCGTCAGTTGCTGCTTTTCGCGCACAATTTTTTGAAACTGCGTCAGCCAGTGCTTGTTGCCTGAGACTAAGCACCAGGTGTCCGTGTTGATCATGGACATGTACACTTGGGCTTCCAAGTTGGCCCGGTGGAACTTGTTGTACTTGTTGATTACAGCTTCGGCAATGTATCTGGTCGCGCCCTCGACTGAAAGAATAGCAGATGATTGTTCTTGTATTCCAATGCTATTGTGCCAGTGGCTGCCAGTGGCTCGTTATAGGGCTGCGGGCACACCATCTGCGGCAGGCATCCAGCAAGCATCAAAGTGCCCAATGCCTTCTGGCTAGCCGCAAGCAGCTGTGCCTCGTTGGTAGCCATGGACACTGCAACCGCAACAACTATGCCGTGGCTGTGGCCAGCAACCGCTACAAATTATATGAACAACATTTTTAGACAAATAAATGCAGGTAAAGCAAACTGAAGGTTATCGGTTAGCTTACAGAATCATTGTCTTCAACTTGACCATAAAATATTTTTTTGAAAGCAATTCCACTTTTTGTTAATAATAATGCTTACCACTCAGGCTTTTGACAACTTGTTCAACTGGTATATTGAGCGTTTTGTAAAGAACAACAAGCCGCACAAGCTGTACCAGGCCCACCAGCGGTGCAGCCACTGGGGCTGAGTTGATATACACGGCTGCAGGCACCACGTCCTTGCGACCAGATACATCGGCGCTCTGCGCCCTTGAGAGGCTGACCCACTGGGCCACTGCCAAGCCGTGCGGGTAGCAATGAGCAATCTGCAGATCGCACGACTCGTCATAAAGAAACGCAGACATCTGGCAAATAAAATCCAACACCAAAGGCTCGTACACATCGACAAGGCGCTGCAGTTCGGCCAGGCACACAGAGCCGGCATTATCAAACCCGATAGATCCTTCAAACACCATCATAATTGTTGCCGTTAATGATTCGCTGGTTGGTTCGGAGAACAAAGTGATGCCGTCGGGGTGCCGTGTGCTGGGGCCACGCCGAGTAGTAGCCCCTTAGAACAGCACATGCCTGGTCCTCACTTAGGCCGTGCTGGGCCACCACAGCGTGGACGTTTGTTTTCCCGGCATTGCAAAAACGTCGCTCAAACTCAATGTGAGCCGAGGCAGAAACACTGTGCCCGAGTGATCACGGCTGACAAATTCGATAAATCTTGCGAGCAGCTCAATGGCACTGAGAGGCGGCTCGCTAGTGGCACACAGGCTTTTGGCAAAGCTGTCGACCAATGCTTTGCCAATATCCTGACTATCTGGGGAAATTGGAATGTCCACAGACACTAAGCCATGCGATATAATAACGTGTGTCATATTGTTGTTTATTTGGTTGACAAAGGGGTGTTTCAAGTGGGCTTATTGAGATTGAGATTGAGACTGTAATGAGTGAAAAGACAGAATATGATATGGCAGAACAAATAAAGAGCGCAATTAATATGCAGCGCTTAGCAATTGGGGAGGTCAAAAGAGGTTAATATTTGAAAGTAGAGTAAATCTAACTGAGAAAAAACAAAATAAGAATAAGTCGAGTGCGTGGAAGATACTTTTTAAAACACATGAACTTAATAAACTGGGATGCGGAATATTCCAATATGAACTGTTACGGCCGGGTTGAGTATTTCTTTCTTCTGCTCAATTTTTTTGCCCCCTCTTCATTGTTGACATTTAAACAATATATTTTCATTTAAAAATAGGGAGTATTAATGCGACGACAGCGCCACACTTTTTGTTAAATAATTTGTTATTTTCTGCTGGTTGAGTGCCGTTTCCAGTTTGCTGTTTTTTATATTACTCCGTCCGTAGCTGTGGCTGTAGCTGTGGCTGTAGCTGTGGCTGTGGCTGTGGCTGTGGTGATATACTTGGTTATTATTTTTATTTAAAAAAGTGAAATGAAAAAACCATTGTTATAAAAGAAACAATAATTAAAATATTCACACACCCACGCCATAGTCCCTCCTTCCCTTCTTCAAATGTGCTTTTTCATAAAGCCTTTATTTTTTTACTTGAACAAATTTATTATTTGGCCTATCGATGTGATGAGAAGGGGGGGCACTGCTGTAGTAGTGTTAGAATGATGGAATGTTTTTATAAATTGTTTTTAATACTAATTTTTAATAATAATGTTTTTAAAGTGCTATCAGTGCCAGCCTCGTCTTATATACGTGTCTCGTCACCCTTGTTGTGCCCTTCACCAGTTGTGCCCTCTGTTGGTGAGAGCTGCTTCTTATGAAAGTAGCCCGGGTCTCTGATATGTCATTGTTATGGTCTTCGCTTGTGTACGCTCATGCACACGTATTTTAAGACGGACAATGTGCCTGAATGTTAATAGTGGCGTCTGATTTGATCCCCTATAATCTAGTTCATATTCGATTTATCAGCATGCGGATGGAAATCTGTTTCAAGATTCTCAACATCTACTTTCATGTCCTTGGGCTGCGCAACACCGACTGCCATCAATTCATTCAGTGGGTGAGGTCATTGTAGTCCAAACTTTTTTACTAGAATAAAAAATTAAACACATGCTGAAAACACCACAGTCCTCACACAAACAATCCAAAAAATAACAATCCGTGTTAAATTCAAATAGCATGATTCTGATATCACACAATACCAATTGTTGTATTAAATTTTTTTAATAAAAGTTTAGCACATAGTTGCAAATGTTGTGATTTGAGGGGGCACTAGTCACCTAGTGTCAAAGTTATGTTTGGGGTTTGTTATATTTTTATTATCAAGGGAACTAAAAGTAGAACTAGGGCCAGGTTCGTCTTATATGTGTATCTCGTTACCTTTGTTGTGCACATTGCTACTTGTGCACCCCATTGGCGAGAACTGGCTTTTCTGCGAGCAAACCGGTATCTTGGCAGGTTAATGTTGTAGTTTTCGTATGTGTGCACTCACACGTGTACATTGCAATATGAGGAGCGTATCTGGGCATCATTATTATGCCTCCCTAATTTACACATGCATAATCCAATTAGTGCCCTATCAATCGGTATGCAGATGGAAACCTGTTTCATGATTATCAACCTCGATATCCACTTCCATATCCTCGGGCTGCGCAACACAAGTGTATCTATTTTCTCTCGTTGAAAATAGTTGCAATTATGTGCACATAGGAAAGTTATTTCAAATCCGCTCAATAAAATATTACCATATAGTAAAATAGTGACTTTTAATTTCATTGATAAAAATATTTGTTAGAATCGCTTTCCGAAAAAACAAATAACCTGTGTTGGTTACCAAGCTATTAATTAGAAGGTAGCAAGTCGTATCAGGTTACTTCGCATCAAATGGAAGGACAGTCAATTTTCAAGTAATTGATAACGAGTCATAATTGACCCAAACAACGCTATCGCTATTGTCACCATTGCTTTATCCCAGTAAAAATAAAGAACATGTCAGTTAATTGGCAGTTGAATATTTAAACAGGTAATTGTACAACGCGTGACACTACAGGGGTGCAATCCAGACAATGGTTTGGCATGGCATGGCATGGCAATTATGCTGTGAAATGTCAAATAATGTTTTGATCAGCCTGAGCACGTGCGCCTGAAAGCGGAGTTGTCACTCACACAAACCGATGCTTCATTATCATAATGCGCCCCGTATTATCGAACTGTAAAAAATGGTGCTATGCAAAAATGATTCATGTTAGTTAGTTTGTATATAAATGTCTATATGTATAAAGAGGAGAGCAATACATAGCCGAAAAGCCGACACATCACACGGTCGACTTGCGCTGGTAGCTGATTAGGTTGCACGAGTCACGACCCCATGGATCGACAGGATAGTAGTTGTCGCGACCGCGTACCTTGAACCACAAGAACACCTCCTGCAAACGGCGGCCAATGCACCTGACATTGGGCTCAACGCCCCAGGCATCAAAGATGGCCTTCTTGAACTCCTTCAGCGTATATGTATTCTTGGGCAAGCGGCCGGCCTCAGGCTCTGTCGGCACAATCCCCGAGGCTGCCAGCGCCTTAAACAGGTCGTAGGTTTCTCTCAGTTCAAGGATCTTGCGGAAATAGTCCAGGACATCGCGCTTCGGTGTGTACTCGTCGATACCGCCGCTGCCGTAGCAGCTAGGATCCAGTGTGCTGACGCAGGTACCGTGCTTGACCCATTCATGGGTCCAGAACCAATCATTGTTGCCCTTGTTTGATGGCCAGTACGTTGTCATGTCGGCAAACAGGCTTGGGTCGGCATCCTGGATGATGCCTGATATGTTGTTGTAGCTGCGCGAGGGGTCACAGCCGTTCGCTGGAAGCTGCTTGCCCGTGCACGTGTCGGGCCACAATCCGTGGACGGTGAACGCATTGCTGGGCCCCCAGCGCGTGTCCCACTGCATGGAGAGCACGAGAAGACCATTGTGCGGCGAGCAGCAGGGGTTGACGTCCGTACCCTTGCATGAAATGGTGTCGATGGGGCAAGCGTCGGGTGCAGTGGCATCGGCATCGGCGTCGATGGAAAGCCCGTCGCCGCTGTCCTGGACGAGGAGAGCCGGGCGCAAGTAGTGTGTGCCGCTGAGCGGTTGCTGCGCATCCAGGAGCGGGGTGGCGATGGCAGCCGAAGACAAAAGCAGCAGCAGGGCGAGCGTAGGATGCATTGCAGTATTAGCAAAATAAAAGAAAGGAAAACGAATGGAGTGAAATTGAATATGAAGTGGTGGGTGGGTATTTATTGGATAATGGAAGTGTTGAAAAGTAGCAGAGTTGGGATGGAGAGAAGAAAGGAAGGGGACAATTCAGCCAACTGCTTGCTGTTGCTGGTGCTGGTGCTTCTGCTGCTGCATTTGTCGCTTCTGCTGCTGCTGCTGCCTCTCTGCCTCTGCTGTTGCCTCAACCCGCGGGCTGCCGCATTGCTGTTTTCCAGGCAGGCAGGCAGGCGGGCTTGTGTGAATTGCGCCGTGTGCACGTGTACGCAGGAAATACGGCATTATTCAATAGTCAGTCATCTGACCATTTGGCGATTCAGTCGCTCAACGGCTCGGCTCACAGCAAGCGACTCAGAAGCAAAATGGCAGAGGCGGCGGGTGGCGGCGGGTGGCGGCGTGCTCACTGTTTTTAGGGCCGAGAGAAAGCCCGCCACAACGCCAATGTCAATGTTGTGCCACTCGCTTTTTGTCACAATTAAATTTTCGAGCCAGTCCGAAAAGAGGGTCCCAAAAAAGCGTAACGGTTTGCCTTGAATTGGACTTCAATTTACAATTCAACTTTGTCTTTTGTTTCCTTACATTTCATTTCATTTCATTTTCGTTCTATTTGTACTTGTTCTTCTCTCTTTAATTTCACTTTTGCTACGTTCTCGTCTTACAGAGAACACACAGGTCACATTTGACTTAATATTTTCCCAAACTCCTGCTAAAACAAACCCGCTTCGCATTCGCTTTCACGTCTTCGTCGACGCGCATAGAACTCGACATGGCAGGTAAGGCTCGGGTCCATTGCAGCAGGCGAGCGCTCAACGCAGATTGAAATTGAGAGGTGGATGCTAATGCGTATAATTCGTTTTCTAACTTGTCCTTGCTCTTTGTCAAGATGTAGACTTTGGCTTTGACTGGGGCGCTGAGGAGGAGGAAGAAGAAGAGGAGGAGCGAGCAATCGAGGGAGTTGAGCAGACAGGCGGCAATTCACAGGCCTCAGAAGAACAAAGTGGCGCTGAGGATACACCGGCCAATGGCAGACTGCCACCAGGGGTTGTGGTCCACCGCGTAGCCGCGTCGGACAAGCAGGCCAACCCGCACGGCACAACAGAGAGCTCGCTCGTTGAGCCAATGTTGGCGGACGCGGCCAAGCAGCAGAGGCGCAGACGCTCGAGGCCGGCAGCGAGGAGAACATGAGTGCTCTCGAGATCTTTTGCCAGCGCGCAGCCAGCGTGTTCATATTTCAGCGCGTGTGGGCGGCCAAGGAGGTTGGTCGGCTGCTGGATCGCGAGCCGCGGCGCAACGCGCTGGGCGTGCTGGTGCCAATCGCCATGCAACTGGCAGAGGACCGCGAGCTGTTCGTGCGTGAGACCATGGCGCAGAACCTGCAGCCGGTTCTGCACGTGTACTTTGGCAGCGCAGACGCTGACGCTGGCGCTGGCGCAGCGGAGGCTAACGCAACCGAGGCGCTATGCCGAAGGCCGAGGCTTTTGACGCCTGGCTGCACCGCGTGCTGCTGACGCCGCACCCATCAGTGTCGCTGCCGGCGCAGCGCGCGGCCGTTGCGCTTGGGCGCCAGCTGTCGTTCGACGCGTTCCACACGCGCATCGTGCATGGCGTGGTGCTCAGCCTGGTGCAGAACCCGGTGCACCAGCACCTGGCGCGCCAGCACGAGCGCTCCAAGGACATGGTCATCAAGACGCGTGCGTCGTCGCCGCCAGCGCCAGTGTCGACGTCCAGCGCCAGCGGTGGCGTGCTGGCGACGCTGTTTGGGCGTCGCAGCTGGCAGGGTGACAAGGCATCAGTGCAGACCGACAAGGAGCTGGCGCAGCCAGACATCGCTGATGACGGCGCGGCCGGGCTCGACGCCCTTATGGGGACGTTCTTCGTGTCGCCGGCGGATGAGGAAGCGCGGCTCGAGCTGACGCGGCACAAGCTGCTGATGCTGCACATGATCCACCTGGTCTCGGTCGAATTTGGTGCGGCGATGCGGCCGGCGGTCTTCGTACCAGTGGTCGAGCGCGCCGCCAAGGACCGCGCGTTTGAGGTGCGGCGCGACGCGGCGGCGGTACTCGGCTCGCTGGCGCGCGCCGTGTCGGCCGACCTGGCTGTCGATGTGCTCTTCCAGTGCTTCCTACAGCTGGCGCAGGACCCCGTATGGCAGGTGCGCCAGAGTGCTGCGCGCCACGCGCTGCCCGGCTTGGCGCTGGTGCTGGCGGCGCGCGTTGCCGAACCCAGCACCGAGCGCGGTGACCCGGCCGGCTTGCTGGCCGCGTTCATGTACGCCAATCAGCCGCCACGCCCCGTTGCTGACCGCCAGTGGTTGCAGCTGATCGAGCGGCTGGCCGGCCCGCGCGAGCCGTCGCACCATGTGCGAGCCGCCGTCTTCGAGTCGATCGGAAAGCTAGCGCTGGCGCTGGTCGACTGCGCGCGGTCGCGCGACGCGCTGGTGGAGCTGGTTGTCGGCGACGTGCAGCGCGCGCACAGCGATACTGGGTCGGGACGCTTTGGGCTTTTTGGCTCAAACACCAGCCTGCAGGACCTCGATGACGACGACGACGAAGAGGCTAACGATGAGGCCGCCGAGGCCAGCTCAGTGATGGCGCGCGCGCTAGGCACGATCCAGGGCGTCGCTGCCGCAGCGTCGGCGCCCAAGCCAGCGGCATCGGGATCGGGGTTGGCATTGGCGCTGGCAGCCTCATCGTCGGCTGCAGCCTCGGCCGGACGCGGCAAGGACGCTGGCCGCCGCCAACACGGCCGGGCCGTCGGGCGCGATGTCCTATACCAGTGTGCGTTCAACTTTCCAGCCGTACTGGCGTCGGTCGGTGTGGCCGGCTGGGAACGGCTTCGTGACGTCTTCATGCAGCTGAGCAAGACGGAGCACTTTGAGGCGCGCCAGACGCTGGCGTGCTCGCTGCACGAGGTTGCACGCATTTTGGCAGCGTCTGAGAGCGAGAATGCCGGCCACAGCAGTGATTTGGAGAGCATACTATGCCTGTTCCTGATTGACGGCGCTGAGATCAAAATGGGCGCGCTGCGGCATCTGGCGACACGCTCGCGTGGCTGTCGCGTCGAGCCGCGTGCGCTGCCTGCCGATGATCATGCAGGTGTTCAAGCATGATGGCAAGCAGTGGCGCACGCGCGAGCTGATGGCTTCGCAGCTGGTCAAGCTGTGCCATTTGTTTCCGGCCGCCATCGTCGTCAGCAGCCTGTTGCCGCAGGCTGTCGAGTGGGCCCACGATCCGGTGGCCGGCGTGCGCGCGGCTGTGGCGCCGGCCTTTCCGATTGTCTTTGAGCTGACCAAGCTGGATCCATCCACGCAGGTCAAGTTTTTTGAGACCGTAATTTCGTTCTCGCACGCTGCAACCTTCCGCGGCCGCCTGTTTTTTGTCGAGATCTGCTCGGCGCTGCTGGCCCACGACCAGGACCCGGACGCCGACCCCGTTGATTTCGACCAGTTTTTCTTGCCGTCGCTGGCCGCGCTCGCATCGGACCGCGTCGCCAATGTGCGTATTGCCCTGGCGCGCTTGGTCCGCCGCATGCTAGAGAACCGCATGCGGCGCCAGAGCATCTCGACCACGCTCGCTGACATGTGGGTCGCTGTGTGTCCGCCCGCCGCCAAGCTGGATGGCAATGGCGTCGACGCAGTGGACAAGTCGCTTCGCCGGATAACCAGCGAGGCGCTGATCAAATCGCCCTCGGCCGAATCAGCACTGTCAACGGCCGAGCCCCCGCTGGCAGGATCGATGACGGGGCTGGCCCGGCAGATGAGGCCAACAGCCGCTTCTACGCGCATCGCTCGCTGGGGTCGGTTGCACGGCGCCGCGGCGAAACACCACGCCGATGCGCGCGCACCTGTTGGCCATGATGGTGCAGCAGTTGGCCAAAGACACCGACCGCGACGTGCTTGACCTCGTGCGCGATCTCCCAGGCATGCCCATTTCCGCGGCCATTCTTTCCCCCCGCCTCTGCCATCTGCCAGCAGCAACACCGCCGAGGCGCGGACGCCACGCGAAAAGGAAGTCACTGCTAATGACACCTCGTCACTGATGAAGAGCTTCCCTCAGCCGCCGCCTTCTCCGCCAATGGTTCCCAGTGACTGTGCGCCAGGAATTGTTGATTGTCAAGCCGAGAAGAAAGCTGGCGATGTTGAAGGGATAAAACGTGTGCATATGGAGGACAAAGAAAATGGTGATGACAAGGTTAATGACAGCAACCCAGAGGATGACATAAATGACAAAGGTGAACTGCAAGTTGAGCCTGGGGACACCGCGAGTGATGAGGACATCGACGAAATGCACATTGACTCAGCTGCTACTGTGATCGATCAATTTGAAGTCTCCGAGGATACATTTCTTGTCGATAAAATGCACTCTGCCAAATTGGCCATCGGCAAAGAGGATGTGAGTTCACCCAACGATGATTTTTACAGCGACGATGATGGTGATAATAGTGATTCAGTGTCGGCGCTCAGCAAGCCTGTGCATTCGAGTGGCACTCCC